ACAAATATGTGACATATTTTATTGCATCCTATCGTATCATGCCCCACTGTCTCACATCGTGTAACATCACAATGTACTTCGTCATATCACATATAAATATATCACACTGAGTTATACTGGCATCACATCTTATTGGCTAGGATGTGTATGCACTCATGGACTTAAGTAAGTTCTTTATCATGGACATGGACATACGTTACATTTTTTTAATGTTATAGGTTCTAGTGGTATCTATTTGTATGTTGGCAGTATTTTTGAGCACGCATTTTAGACCATTCTAGCACACTTTTGAAAGTACAGTCAGTTATGTTAAAAGTCGTGAAAAACTCTTTCATTTAAGAGTCATTTTCAGTCGGGTTGGGCATTAACTTCAGCCTATAAAAAGTAATTAGTTTAAAGCAACAACAGTCATCTGTTTTCATTTTGCATTGTCTTCATTATTCTGGTCTCATGTCTTGGCACACCAGCCAAAAAAATGTCCACCCTAACTGTGCATGTTGGGGTGGTGCTGCTGGGCATGTTTGCTTGCCTCTCCTCTGGCTTTTGGGTTTGGTTTCCTCCACCACCTTCTGTTATGGTGACTTCATTTCTGTGAAACCCAAGGAGCAGCACCTTCTGTCTCACTCGGGTTTGTCTTTCACAGCCTGTATTAGTTAATCAATTTAGCACGGAGGAAAAAAAATCTAAAAAATGCAACTGCTCGGATACCGAGCATCTGGACCAAAAATGCTGTAAATTGACTCGATTGTAAAGCCTATGCAGGACTGATGAAACATTAGTAATTTTACATGCTTTTTCTGCTGTATTGGCACTGTTATTGCTTTGTTTCAGTTTATATTGAAGTATTACTGAAGTCCCTGTTAAAAGTAATGTCATCCATCTGTTTGCAATGTATTATAGCAGAATTTCCAATGCCAGCTGTGCATTTCGGGTATGCCTCCTTGAGTCTCTGATAACTTAAGGGTTTGGTTTCCTCCACTAGCCCATTATGTTGATGTCATTACTTAAACAAACCTAAAAGCTGGACCTGCTATCTCACTAGGGTTTGAGTATATAGTGTTGAAAAATAAGAGAAGGTAACGTTTCGTGAATTTTAATGATGAGATATTAAGTTAAAGGAAAATTTTTTGGACTATATCAACTGCCATGAAACCTAAGAAAAGACCATTATTAGAGAAAAAAACAGTCAGTGCCATGGAATGCCTCCGTCTTTGAAAAATGTTAAATAATATATGTATGTGGGTAGAAAGGGTCTTGGATCCTTCACACTTAAATGAAACCTAATATCTTCACAGTGATTTGACCACAGGGCCACTCAGACCTCTCTTTAGCCTGTGTTCATTTTGTTCATATAACAATGCCGCTAATCTGTGAGGAAAGGCCTCATCACCTGCAGGGGTCCACCTGTTCAACCTGCACTATCTCTCCAGTTTCTACATTCCCACTGACCTGAGACAATACAAAGCCAGGCAGCTTCACCTCCTCTCACTTCTCATGTTACTCCACCACCCAGGGCAAAAGTGGACATGAAAGTGCTGTTTATATGGATGGGTGAAACCAGGTAAAAGCAGTTACACACCTTCTCATTCACAGGGAAGTACACAGACCACATGCTAATGGTTGGCGACAGATGTTTTCCACTGAAGATTTACCAAACATAACATGAGCTGATGCACTTGTGTGAGTTTTCCTAAACACACCTGTTCTTATAAAAGTGAATGAATGCACTTCCAATTAGCTGTGGCATGAATGATTGGTTCCATGACATTTCATTGTGTTTTATTAGGTATAGAGATGTAATTTGACCTTTTTCTTTGAAATCATGGATAATTTGTCAATATTTATACTATTACAGTTGTTTAAATGAAAACATCTGTGGGGTAAAATTCTGAGATTGTAATAAGATTATGATATTATGACATTGCAGTGTCATTCGGGAGTTTGTGAAGTGCTGTTTCAAATCTTCAAATTTAACATTTTGTCTGTCGCCATGATAATTATTCAAGCTGTAAATTACTGAATCTTGACAGAAAGGAGGACACGGGTATGTGTGAGGTGTTAGCAATTGCGTCATTATCAAATCAGGGCAGCCAATCATGTAGCTGTGGGATTGTAATTTACGAAATTACAAAAGCTTTACATGCAGCTTTAAGCCTTGGTATATGATAAGGAAACTAGTTTATTGTACTTAAACTCTTTCTATAATATGCATTGCTCTGCGGTAAAATCAAACATTTTTGTATGCGGAGGTACTCGGTATTGGAGCAGGCCCCCTGAGGCCATTTGAGGAACTACAGTTTCTGAAGTATACATTTTTGTCCCTGGACTTTAAAAAAAAACTCATCACTAACATAAACTCTTGGCTTTAACATTCTGCCTGAACTAGGTGTTTGTGTGTTTTTAGTCAAAGCTGATTTTACGAGGTTTGCTGAATGTGAATTCTTAGTGTTAGATACACAAAGCTGTCATTTCATCATATCATCATAAAATCATCACTAAAAAGTAACATTTGGTATTCGATGGAGCAGGCGAATGGACTGTTTCTTTACAAAATGTAAATAATGCAGTAAAGTAGGCTAGGACCTCTAAATATTACCAGAGTTAATAATCACTTTGCCACAATGGACATCAGAGTGCCCCGATCCTTAACAACTGGCCTGCTTTTCTGACTGACTTGTTAAACGCTGATGCAACTGTTCCCAAACCGACAGCAACAGGGATGCCATTCACATATCTCACACCAGAACGTCCAAAGTCATTTGCTGCAATTAGGAATGTGGTTAAGACCTAAAAGCACCCCCTCCAGCTACATCCTGCCAACACACACATAGAGAAATACCCACTAACACACAGACACACACTGAGACGTAGAGGGCTTTGTAACATCAACAATGCTCTTATTGTTTTGAGTTCTGCTGTGTGATCGTGGCCCGGGCTGGTTTAGACTTCACACCACCATCAAACACCAGCAGATACATTAAAAAAGTAGGCAGTGGGCAGTACAGTGAGGCTGTTATATTTCCTCTGTGGGTTTATATTATAACAAAGTCGCAGGCTGATCATTGCTGCAGGTGGGTAAAAACGAAACCTTTAAGGTTGTAAACATCAGCTTTTCAGGGACTGTAAAAATGATCCTCAATGAAAGTGTTTGTTAATGTTATGATTTTCTGAAGACTCCATGCCTTCATGAACACAAAACCACAGACTTTATGATTAATGTGATTAATCATTTATGATCATCATCCCTGAGCAGGTGTTTTTAATGAGGGTGTACATTAATATTTTATTCTGCTTTTTCCTGATGGATGATCAACCCCCCCAACCTTAAGACATCCTCAGAATCACACTACCAATCTGTTTTTTCCCCATTAAATCCTGGTTGTGGTTTAAACCTCAGCCTTTTCAAGGGTATTTCAGCCTTTTAGTGACCTACAGCAGCCTGCCTTATTGTCTGGAGGTTTGTTTGTCCAGCTGACTGTAGACACTTGCTGTTTATTTGGCACAACAACCTCCATTAGTGTGTCCTGGCACTGTTATTTGTCTTCTTGAACTATTCAGGACCAGATATACAACAGACTGCTTTTCTTTTTTATGTGTAGCACATCATATGAGCTATAAATGTGAAACAGACTTAGTAGTAACTGCACTTAAATCAATAGTTTAATCCATTATGCAAGTGACTCTATTTATGAGACTTTTGAAAAGAAAAAGAGGGGAGACTGCCTGTGAAATTAACGTTTCAAAATGTTATACAGTGTCACATAAAAGCTAATTTGATATAAGGATCACAGACAATAATAATAATAATAATAATAATAATAATAATAATCATCATCATCATAATAATAATAATAAGAAGAAGAAGAACTTTATTGATCCCTGAAGGGAAATTCAATTGTCTGTTGTCTCATCTGCCATTTCTGCAAAAGTTATCTATTATTTACACAAGAGTTATAAAGTCTAATGGCTGTTGGTACAAAAGATCTTCTGAATCTTTCTGTCCTTCAGCAAAGAGAGAGGAGCTGTCCATCACCAATGGCCCTTTGGTCCATCAAGGTGTTGTGAAGTGAGTGATCCATGTTCTTTAGAATAGACTCCACCTTCCTCAGTGTAGATCTCTCCACCGCATCCAACCACAGAGCCGGCCTTTTTCACCAGTTTGTTGAGATGTCTTGCATCTTTGTGTTTGATGCTTCCTCCCCAGCAGACTGCAGCATAGAACAGAACACTTGCCACCACAGACTGGTAAAACATCTGAAGCATCTCACTACAGATGTCTATTGATCGGATTCTTCTCAGGCAAAAGAGGCGGCTCTGCCCCTTTCTGTAGATGTAGTCTATATTCTTAGATCAGTCCAACTTATTATCCAGATGTACACCTAGGTTTTTATATGATGTCACCATTTCGAAGTCCACTCCACAGGTGTTCACTGGCTGAAGAGGGGGTTTGGATCTGTGGAAGTTTATGATAATGTCCTTTGTCTTTGAGGTGTTGAGGAGGAGGCAGTTTTTGTGACTCCAGTCACTGAAGGCTCTTATTAGATCTCTTTATTCAGCTTCTTGTCCATTTCTGATACATGCCACAATAGTCTGTGGCATTAAGTGGAAATAAAACAATACTTTTGATTCAGTCTTATTTAGCCCATCTATTTTCAGGATCTTTATATCTGCATACTGGTTCACTGCTTTGCTCTGACAGGTAAAATGAGAAGTTTAAAGCCAACATATAATCTAATAGCGGTAAACAAAACATTCAAAAATGATAAAAGGATGAAGATTTAAAATAATGTGGAATGAGAAACTCTGAATACACTTCTATGGTTAAAAGGACTTAATATTCCTTTACTTTCCTGCTTCTTGTCTGTCCAGGAGAGTCGTTCGACCTGCTGACTATCCTGAAGAGGGCGCTCTGGAGCATGAGGGCAGACAGAGCTCAGCAGGGGGAGAGCGCAGCAGCAGTAGTGGTGGTGGATCTCAGTCAAACCGCACTAGGCTGATCATCAGAGAGGAGCATCGGGGTCAGCAGCGGCTCTTAACTTTGGACTATAAAGGCACGTCTAGACGGTGCTGCAATGCTGCTGCAGGGAGGACTCTGTGCTGCCTCTCTGGCACTTTTATTTTATTTTTCCACTTTGGAGCGAACTGTGGTGCTCGCCTTCAATCTTGACACCAATCATGTCATCAGGAAAGACGGGGAACCGGGGAGTCTGTTCGGGTTCTCTCTCGCCATGCACCGGCAGCTTAACCCGGATAAAAGAATGTGAGTGATGACTTTTCCCTTCTACTTTGAACTTTACCACCTACCTGTATGCTTTCTTTCACATGTGACTGTTTGAAGGTGCACCTTACGAAACAGGTTCACTTTATCTACTAAAGTATAATTTCAAACTTTCTCGTAATATAATCCCCTTTAATCTCAGATTATAGTTGAAGTACCCTGGATTTATAATATCCTCACAATCTCAGGCTCTATCTGTGTTAGATTAATGAAATCCTTTGCATGCACAGGTTGTGATTTAAGGAGTGGCAACATCTAAAAGTTACTGTAACTGTTACAGCCTTTGGTGTTTTGTGAGTAGGTTTGCGTGTTTTTTTGTTCCAGTTTTCTAAAGAGGTTGTCTGTCTCCCTGTGGAGCTTTGGATGTTCACGGGGAAGAAGCTGAAAGACAACAAGTGGATCAACAATGGTTATAACTGTGATGCAAATGTGCCTGTGAGGTCAAACTGAGGGGTCACAGAGCACAGAGAAAAGTAGTGTCCATGTTGCGTGTTGGTCGATTAATCGATTAATCCTTCCACAGAAAACGAATTTTAACACATGGTAATTAGTGACTAAAGTAAAATGCTAATGATGTCATTCAGTGCATAATTTAGGATTTAGAAAACCTTATTTAGTAGTTTAATTTTTCTTTTTGATCAGCTATTGATTATATCTGAGTTATTTCTGTCAGGTTTTTATCAAACCAGGTTGTTAAAGGTTAGATTTTGTGTCATAGTGAAGGCACTCATTAGTAAAATGTTTCTGTGCCATTAAAAAGATTCCCATTGATAGAAAAATGTGTTATAATGAATCATATCCTCTGGTCAGCCCCGAGGGGTCAGAGATGACATCAGTGTAGTGAGCCTGGTCATCCTGCCACACAAAAAGTATGTGAGGGGTAAAGTGAGGGGGGATCCAGGGTGGGGTTGTGTGGTAGAGACTGCATGGTGGAGCTACTGTAGACACTGGAGCAGGAACAGGAGCCTGCAGCAGCATGTTGAGACATAGAAAGCAGGGACGAGAATTTGAGATAGCGGGATTTTGAGAGATTTCCCAAAGATCAGAGAGATTAGGCTTAAGTTAAGGAATTTTATCTTCCTGGTGTTTTGACTGAAAGGAGGCTCTTGTTGTAAAGGATTGCTAGTTATACAAAACTCAAGCCTGTCTTTTCAAATGCATATTTTTGGACAAGGACCCCTTTGTGCTCTCCTGAAAAGAGGCACGTTTACTTTTGTCAGAGCTGATAAGTGTAAAGAGAGTGAAAGTCATGGAAGTGGATGTAATATTTGTTGGGCAAATAGAGGCTTGAAATGTCACACATGCCTGATTGTTGGTTTTCAGCCAGTAAAAGTAAGAGGAGAGTGAAGATTCACCTGACATACTGGGCTGTTAGGAGGCTGTTTTTAGATACAGGCTTTTCTTGGTTAAAGCTATTGTGGTTTTTTTCTCTCTCTATTTATAACAGACTGAAACAAATACTGACGTGTCTTTATGACCTATAAAACTGACTAGACTATTTACAAAAAGACTGGCTGTTTCTATACTGCTAATTCCAATTGCAACATCAAGTTGGGTTCTTGGATCTGAACTTTTTGGCCTCATCATCCTAGGAACACATGATGATTGTCAAGTACCAGCATTGATACCAATCCAAATCCATCAGCTTATAAAGGCCCACATCTTTCTCTATGCTTTCTCCATGATTTTCTTTTGAAGCTCTTCTACCTCTGGGTGGTCACAGACTCAGGGGTTATGGACAAGTGATCACAGGTGCTGATGTTTTATATTTTTCAGGAAGTCTTGTTGGTTCAGGTTCAGATGACAGGTCTTGAGATGCTAATATTTAAATTGCTAGTATAAAACTGGATATGATATCTAGTTTATGATCTTAATAGTGACTTGGAACCTGACTTAATCTATGAAGATGTAAAAACTCTCCTAAAAAAGATTGAATCAGAGGAGGCTTGGCATATTTCACTTTAAAATGACTTAAAAAAGAAATGATTTCAAGATATTTCCATGTAGTCAACCTACTTCAAAGTAATCATAACATAGGTTCAGCTGTACTGACAATGAACTGCTTGAAAGCTACACTTATAAAATCAGTTATTGGTCATAGCCAAGTCTTTAGGTTAGAACATATGTGTCTATATTACTGCTAAGAAACTCTTCTTCCTATACTGTAAATATTATAACTGACTGGTATGGATTTAGAAAGCTGCTTCAAGTTGTCTGCTATATGTCAGCTTTAAATCCTCATGTGACCCCGATGTAATCAGCCAGACAAATCAAGTGAAAGCTCGTTAGAGTTCCCAGCAGCAGGTAATGAGCAGCAATGTCTGACTTAAAGCTGTTAGGAACACGACCAAGCTCATGAAACCACTAACCGGCAGCAGTGTGTCTCACACTCTGCATCTGTCTCTGTTGCTCTTACTGGAACATGTGTTTGATGATGATCGCCAGCAGCTGCTAAGCTCTACTGGATATTACCGCTTACATTAATGTGATTATCATGAATCAGAGGTGAGGAGAGGAATGCTGGCTCTCACAGGATCCATTGTAAACGCTGATGTAGAGCAACGACCAACGTGGCAAGATAGACTAAATAGAGCTAGACTTCCAGTGTTTAAGAACCAATCGCTTAATATCTTACAGTTAAAGCCCCTGTGATGAGTTTTGGTGAATTATGAAACAGACTGGATTAAACAGTATTGCTTCTCTATGATATATGTAAGCAAATAAGATCATTGACAAGAAAGCTTTGACCATAGGGGGCGCCAAAGTCAACACAGATAAAAAAGTTAATCGCAGGAGCTTGAGCTGCATCATCAGACTAATTATGTGGTGATTAAAACAGAAGTGTTGAGTTAAAGAAATGTTTTCTCTAATAAGTTTATTAAAGGGGGCTTTATGGTCTTTCTAAAATCAGTTTCTAATGATGTGTAAGAAAGCAAACTCTTATTTTAGCGTCAAACTGAGCACATTGTAATATACTGAGTATTGACTGAGTGACTCAAATGAATGATGCGTAGGTTAATGATGTGGATATAACATCCAGTGAAAGAAACCAGAGAGAAAGGCAATTTGAGTGGACATGCACGGCCATCTGTGCCCCAGTAACCTGATAGATGAGACCCATCAGTGACTCACCAGTAAAGACATACCTGTCAAACTTAAGTTTGGCTTTATTTTAAAGAGGTTGTGTTGCTTAGGAAAGTATTCATAGCTGCAGTTAAAAATTTAGGTAGGAAACAGGTTAAAGTCTTTATTCATGATTGTGTCTGTGACAGTGGACACAGCCTATCACAGCTCAGCACCAATCACAGTTGTGTGTGAGTGCTCGTGTGTGTGTAAACTGAAACAGTTAGAACAGCTGCAGCAGTTCTTGTGGCTTTGAGTGCACAGCTGGAGGAGCTCTGGCCCACATCTGCTAACAAAGGCCAGTGAGATCACTGTGTAAACCCTCAGCAGTCACAATTCATGCCCATTTGTGCTGCACTGAAAGACATGCTGCATGGTGAGAGGTGGTGTCACACTGTAGCCTATTGTTGCTTTACAAAAAAGTGATACAGTAGACTTTTAATGACTCCTTTTACATTCAGTAACTTACTCAAAATTAGGTTTTGTGTTGTTTTAAAGCCTGTTACTCAAAAGTTTGCTGCAAATTTTGATGTTCAAGAAAATTGCTTTAACATTTTACTGTACTGTAGTGCAATTTCCTGTCACTGACACAGACCTTATGTCTCTGGTAAAACATCTGTTTTGAACTGGTATATGTATCTCTATGAATGTAATACAGTTCACTGTGAGTTCATGTTCAGTCAAAGACCTGCAGCTGCAGTTGGATTCCACTGTTTTGCAGATGATTTGATGTTTTATGTTGTTGACTGTGATCATTGTAACATATTTGGAGTCTTTCTGAGCACTTCCAGCAGTCATCATATTTATAGCTGTAGAAAAAAGTAACACAAATATTTAAAGAATGTCTGAAAAACAAGGTTATGTGTCTGCTAGTCTGCCATGTTAATGGCAGAGCTACTCCTCAAATACTTGCTAAATTCAACAACTTTCCAAAGAAGCTCTGCTGTTATGTTGGAGTTATTTTCTTTTTCATGTGTCAGGAGTCTGTCATAAATGTTGAGTTTTCTTGTGCATTGCTCTCATGTAGTTTGATCTTTGCATCTTAATACGATTCATTTACTGTCATACAGTATCTGATTGATTCTACAACATCATCCATGATTTCAGTGTTCAACAGTTGTACCTCTGGAAGATAATAACCTCTATTCTGAGTTTAAATGTTCTGAACATTTTGAAGCTTATATTTGGATTTGCATTTGACTGGATTTTGTTTGAGGGAAGGGTTTGCAGTTTAGTCTTCAGACTCGGCTCAGTAAGTCCTTGTTCTGCAGATGATGCTTCTCAAGGATGTGAGACAGATTAGAAAGTGTGTTACTGAAGGAAGTGTGCAGTAACAAGGAGGTGAAAGGGTGGAGAGGATATCCTCGTCTTTGAGAAAATCCTCACACAGTGCTCACACTGTTCAGCTCAAACATAATAGCAGGGTCTCCCTTGGGTCTCACAGTTGTAAGACTTCATATAAATGGCTCTGGAATTGAATTGATACTTGATACTGTTCTTTATTATAACAGGTTATTTATGTTCTCATTATTTACAGGTCAGCTGATCTAGTTTTCAGAGAAGGCTGAACCATTTTAAGGTTTAAATGAATCCTTATTGACATGCAGGAGTAGGTTTTAGGTCAAATCTCAGTTCTTCATAAGCACATTTACAGTCAGTTGGAAGTTTGTCAGATCTGTAAATATTTTCTATAGGAGCTCACTTGTTAAATATAATAGTTTTTATCACTCTTAGTTCAATCTTTCATTTTTTTATTCACGTCAATAGGAAGCATAAAAGTTGGCCTAAGCCTGATTTGACCATGTTGGGGAGCTAAGGTTGGCTGAAATGGCTCACTAGCAACATTTAATCAAATTTCTCTCAGACAGCTAACAATTTAGCCAACAAAAGTGACAGTTGTTGGCTATAAATGAGAAATCTACTTATTTGTGTCCATACTTAAATCCAGTATTCAACTAAGAATTGAACATTTTAAAAAAGTCTCCATCACTTTTGTAAACTCTCATTGTTTTTGTTTTTTTAAGTCTGTTTGCCAGACATAGCAACAGTTACTACTTAAAGGGTGAGCTGATGGATGTTGCAATATGGATGTTAGCTACAAAGCTTCAATATTTCTCTCACTGTTTATTTTCAGTGCAAAATCAACTCATGCAGTTACTGGGCAACCACAGACAGGAAATGGTTTAGTTTGGTTTGGTCTCTTACCAACACAAGTCTTGCACCAGCAAAGTTAACACCTTGACAGTATGCAAAATATCAAAACGGAGTCAATATGATACCAAGGTTTCAGGGGGGTTGAAAAAGGGTTTCACTTTAGAAAGTGAAGTAAAGTACAGGAAGTTAAAGTCTAAGCTATGCCCAACTTGTCCACAAGTTAATTTATCTGTAGTCATTCTTAACATCTGTCAAAGTATTTACACAAAGTTTGTAACAGTGGTGCGCTAATATTAACCACCCAAAACAGATAACATAGTTATATCACTGTAAGTTTTTCCCTTCTTTTTCAAAGGATGGCAAATAAATTCAGGTCTGCGCCACTGAGTGGAAATCAAAGATATTTCAATGATAGTCCAAGTCACATTTATTGGAATATTTTTCTATAACTTTATTGTTTGTTAGGCATAAGTCCTAAATCAATGTATAAAAGAAGAGCTGAACCCTTTTCATCAGATAAGTGTTGCTGATAATGTCATCTCTGTAACTCCTGAAACACATCCTCTTTTCATGCCTGTCGAGGCTGTGTGAGATTGTGGGTTTAGAGGAGAAGTTGTGGTCAGTGAACTGTGTTTGGACAGAACAGTGAACACGCTCCAAATTGTCTGCCTCACTGCTCCTTTGCCCTCTGCAGAATGTCAGAACAGTACTCCACTGTCCTGTACCGAAGTTTCCAGTTTGTTCCTTATCACAGAATCGCTTCTTTGAGAGAATGATTGAGCACAAACAGAATTCAGATGCCAAACATGCTTAATCATCCTGAGAAATATGCGGCATAAGTGGAAACCAAAACGTCACTAGAAAGACCTTTACATGTATGTCTGATATGAGCCAAATAGAGCCCACCAGAGTCTTCACAGAGATCTGAGACTCTACAAGAGATCACCAGAGGGGATTAAGCCTCCTTAGATAATTGAACTTCTAACCCTTTCTTTGGATTTATTTTTGTCCTGGAAATGATCCTGGACGCGGATTGTTTCACTCAGAGTTAACCTCGATGTTGCCTTCATGAAGTACTTTATATCGATATATCTTATTTTATCCTGGTCCAGTAAATATTGTTTACTTCAAAATCCTCAATATGATCTGATTTGATTTTGGATTCCAAGTCAGAGAACTATCAGCTGATAACCTTTGAGTGGACTGATTGAGATTATAGTATAGTATTTTTTTTTGCCTCAGTGTTTCCTGATTGGTTTTCCTGCCACACTTCAGCTGGCAGCATTTCAGAATTCTGGCCATAGAGCAGCTGCTGGACATGAGCTTTAAACAGCCATATGTGGTGGATAACCGATTTAAAGAATTTACCAGCAATAAAACACCAGAATCAATAATACTATCATCCAACTATTTAAAGACTAGATTTCAAACCAATTAGATTAATTTAGAATAAAATCAAACACTTTTTAAACTGCCTCTTAGTGCCAACATGCTGCACCGAGAGGCAGTGGAGTTTCCAGGGTTAAAGAGTTCAGTAACAGCAACGTAACTGTCGGCCCACCCACTTGGCACACATATCATCCCATTGAGGAGGCTTCATGATGGCTTATGGTCACGCACTTGATAATGATGCTGTGGCAACAGTCAGCTGTGCAAGTTTGTGAATGGGATTCTGTCAGTGTGCCTCTTGGTGCCTGTAATGCCACCTATGATGTGGCCTATATCATTAAATTGATCTGCATCCAGGCAAGTAATTGTTCTGTCCTACTTCAGTAAACAATTTTGTTTCAGTCACTGTTTGTTAGAAAAGACCAGCTAATTTTGTCTGTGCCCACCCACTCTATGATTTCTGCCTGTGCTACTACTCTGTTCATATTTCACTATATGTTTTATTTGTTGTGACAATGTATATGTCATACTGTGTGATATCTCATGAGTGACAGAGAGGAGAGGCCTGTTTTCATGGTTGTTTCAACGTTTATTTCCATCTTTAAAGTCAGCACAAGCAGAGCAGTGACATGCACTCATTTGATGTGACATCAGACATCATCCTAATCAGCTTGTGGGAGACTGTAACTGTAATTGATGCTGCTCTAATTAAAGGGATATTCCGGCGTAAAATTAAGCCAGGGTCAAACACACAAAAGAGCCTCTCTACAGCCACAAATAATGCTCAGAACAGCACCTAACTTCATTAACAGGGTCCCAGCCATAGTACTAGCCTTCAAACATCTTTTTAGCTTTGCCTGGTTTCTTTAGTATACAGGTGGATTCAGTCATTTATTAAGAGCTTCAGCTGGCCATCAATCTCCCTCCTCCCACCTGTACAGGATCCCTCTTTTTACTGTTTGTTACGACCCAGCTCGTGAGGGGTTAGCAACGAATCAAGGGGTGAGCAGCTCCCTATCCCCAACAATTCCACAAAAAAAAGATATACAATGAAATCGCCTTCACACACGAATGCCAACACAGATTTCCTGACAAGAGTGTAGCGAACGCCAGTATCTGCCCATGAAGCGCTCTCATCGCCCATCCCCGATTGGTCCTGCGGACTCAGCCCATTAACCAATCAGCAGCTGGTCCCCGTAGTCCTCTCATAGTCACACAGAAAGAAATAAACATGACAAAAGGTGACTCTGAACTAGAGTGTAGCATGTCACTTTCTGAAATTAGCTCAAAACAAGGTAATCAGGGCAACACATATAGTACAGCCGTAACATTGTTTTTCCTGTGTGGAAGTTTGAGTTTGGTTATTTTTCATCTCATACTGTCCAAACCATCAAAGAAGTGTTGTGTTGCTGCTTTTGAGGAAACTTCTTCAGACAGCTAACAAAGTTACATTTTTGGTGTATGTCAAAAAGCTCACTGTTTATTATTGTATGTACAACAGTCATCATCATGTGTTAACTTTGGACTCCAGGAAAGCAGAACACAGTTTGTCAGATGATACAGTTAACCTCAACTGAAAAATAAATACTTAAAGTTTTTGTTTTTTATCTGTATTTCTAGGCTGTTAATTGGTGCACCCAGAGCCCGAGCTTTGGGCACACAGACTGCCAACATCACTGGAGGTCTTTATAAATGTGAAATGACCCAGAGCAATGACTGTGAACGCATTGTGTTTGATAATGAAGGTGAGCTTTCTATCTATCTATCTATCTATCTATCTATCTATCTATCTATCTATCTAGCTAGCTAGCTAGCTAGCTAGCTATCTATCTAGCTATCTAAATGTCAGTCTGTCTATAGAAAATTGATATTGGTGCTAATATTTTTGCCTTTTGTTTTATTCCAAAAGAAAATGTTCGAATTGAGAATAAGGAGAATCAGTGGATGGGGGTGACGGTTCAGAGTCAGGGGCCTGGAGGAAAAGTTGTGGTGAGTCAAACTGACCTTCTCATTCACCGTTTCCAGCAACTTTATGTCCAACTCAGTGTGCAGCTCTATGTAAGAATCATAGTTTTGACTTTAACCTGGCTGTTATCTTTTTTATATATCAGACCTGTGCACATCGCTATCAGAGGCGTTTGTTTGTTAACACGCCTCAGGAGTCTCGGGACATCACTGGTCGCTGTTATGTCCTGAGTCAGGATCTGACCATTGACTCTTCTTCTGATGAGGACGGAGGGAACTGGAACTTTTGTGAGGGCAGAGCCAGGGGTCATGAGATGTTTGGATCTTGTCAGCAGGGTTTGGCTGCCACCTTCACCAAGGACTACCATTACGTGGTGTTTGGCGCACCAGGAGCTTATAACTGGAAAGGTTGGTGACATACAAATACAAACCTTATACCCTCAAATAATTTATGCTGTGTTCTCACTTAGTGAATTTTTGTGATTTGAATTATAATTGATCTCTCTCGGCAGGTATCGTTCGAGTGGAGCAGAAGAACAACACTTTGCTGGAGATGGGAGTGTACGATGATGGCCCGTATGAAGTTGGAGATGAGCATCTCTTGAACCCCGAGCTTGTGCCTTTACCTGCTAACAGCTACCTCGGTGAGTGTCTACCATAGACTGTATATAGAATGGACGCCATCTGCCTCCTCGCTGAGTGAAGCCACCCGAGAACAGCACCCTCTGGTGACGGGCTGCAGTATAGGTCATAAATCCCGCCTCCTTCAGCAATCCCTATGGAGCTGTGGACAAACTCTAGAAATTTATTACACAGAATATAATTTTTTTCCCCCTTGCTTGCAATGTTGACATGTAGTTACAGTAAGACTGGTTTGTGCTCAAGTCCTCTTTTTTTCTGTGCAGCTCCATTTTTAAAGTTATTAGGGGGTTCATGTTTTCTATGATTGACACTTGATACAGCCTATGGGTGTATGAAGATTGCACAGCTCACCCGAGGGATATGCTGTTTGAGCCGAGCGTCATCACAATAACTCTAGGCGACTCTCCTGCCGAATGCGTACAATGCTACTGCGCAAATGGTGTGGTGCGTCCAACGCAACTGCGAAATGTTGGTTTCAGGAAGTGGAGAAAAAATGCAGAATTACAGAGAGCTTTTCGGCTTCAAATCTGTGTATTAGTGGAAGGCGGAACCAAGTTGTCTATAGTATATACAGTCTATGGTGTCTACCCTCAAAACCTTTTGATGGAACCGTTCATTATTGAAGTTATGAGTTCCAAATGTTTTCTTATTGTATCAGATCCAAATGTGTGTTCTGAAAATGATCCATGAACCTGGTGTAATACTTTTTTTCAATTACAATTAATAAAGCACTCTAATACCAACAAGGTACTGCAAATTCAGGTTTGCAAAAGAACATTTGTTGACAGATGTACAAGCTAAAAATATTCTTACAGAAAGGAGTGCATGTGTGTCTTCACAAGCAAACTCCTCAGTAAAATTAAACTGTCCCTCTCCCTGTGTGTGAAAACAATTTCATTCTCCATTTGCACGTCTGAATCTAATGACAACTGTCAATGTTTGCTCCCTCTAAGTACTTTTCCTACCATTGTTACCAGCTGCTTACAGTAAGAGAAAAATGACAGGAAAGGACTTTGGTCCTTGTTGCGGCACTAGTGTCTCCTACTGGTCAGTAAGTTAAACTGCATAAAGTAAGAGGACTTTGAAAATCTGTGCAGGTGAAAAGCCACCCCCCAGGACCTACAGGAAACAATCTATTTTTGTGCAAAAGCAGATTTTCATTTTCAATATTTCTTTGTTTTTAGGATTTTCCCTAGACTCAGGGCACAAAATCACAGGGAGTCACGGCCTGACGGTGGTGGCTGGAGCACCCAGAGCCAATCACAGTGGAGCTGTGGTCCTGTTGAGGAAAGAAAACGAATCCTCAGGCAAGCTTTTGGTGGAGCACACTCTTCAGGGACCAGGACTGGCATCTTCCTTCGGATACGACCTGGCTGTAGCTGACCTGAACGGCGATGGGTAAGAAAAATTTCACTGCAGTATTGGATATGTAAGAATCACAAAATGCGGAAAACTATACTCATATGTTAAAGAAAAGTGTGTTAAACTTTGAAGTTTTTGAAAGGATCTGACTTCCTTTAAGGTGTTTTTACTATAACGCTGTCATATTTAAGTGATTTGTGTCCTTTTTAATGGACTTCTGATATATTAGTGATTTGGCCGTACTCTGCATAACAGCTGTTTACTTCTCTTCTTGGATGCAGATGGCAGGACATAGTTGTCGGAGCGCCTCAGTTTTACATGAAGGACAGAGACATTGGAGGAGCTGTTTATGTTTACATCAACCAGGCAGGAAGATGGGACAGAGTCATTCCTGTCCGTTTAAACGGTACCAAAGACTCCATGTTTGGACTGGCTGTGGAGAACATCGGAGACATCAACCAAGACTCGTATGAAGGTAATTCAGCTAACATTTTCCAGGTTTGTTCATCTGTTGGTTGATTTTTGTCTTATCAGGTTTTCTTTTCCTGTGCAGACATCGCTGTTGGAGCTCCTTATGAAGATGGCGGATCAGGAAAAGTCTATATATATCATGGCTCTGCACAAGGAATCAAAACCACACCTGCACAGGTCGGTTTGTTGGAATTATGAGTAGATTTCTGAGATTAAGATTTCTGTGGCTGTCTTCACTGACAACAGTTTATCATGAATTTGAGATCAAACCACATTGAAATTGTTGCTTTTTACAGGTCCTTTCAGGAAAGCCGCACCACATTAAACTCTTTGGATACTCTCTGGCTGGAAACATGGACTTGGACAGTAACTCTTATCCAGATGTGGCTGTGGGATCTCTGTCTGACTCAGCTTTAATCTACAGGTAATTTTTTCCCCCTCACACATTATGATTAAATTTAAACCTTACTGGTTTGTATTAAACTTTATTTAACTGCCTTTCTTTCAGAGCACGGCCAGTCATCAGCATCAGGAGGGATGTCAAAATATCTCCACAGGAAATTGACCTCTCAATAAAAAACTGTGGGAACAGCATTTGGTAGGTGTTCAACGCTTTATTTCAGCTGGCCTTGTGGTTAAAATATCCAATCTTAAAAGTTAATATAAGACATTTTCTTGTTCCTTGTGAGTAGGATAGTTGCATTGGTGTAAAAACTGTAAGTGTACTTTAAGCAATACTTAAAAGCTCACTGTAGTATTGATGTAGATTTAAAATGCTGTTATTTTACATGGCAAAACATCTTTAAAATAACGGTAATGTTGCTTTCTATTGAGGCCATCAGTATAATAAAACCCATCAGCTCTTGCATTCTTTTATCCTCATACATCATCTCCTGTGTTTAGCTTCACTGTGGATGCGTGCTTCACCTACACAGCAAACCCTGCATCTTACAACCCAAGACTTAGTAAGTGACGCCACGTTAAAACCTCTCATTTCAGAGATTCAGCATTTCTTCAGCTGCTCTAACATGTGCTTCCTTCCTCATCACAGCGATCAGCTTCTCTGTGGAGGCTGATGGAGATCGCAGGAAACAGGGGCTCCCCTCCCGAGTGACGTTCCTGAATAAATCCCGCACAGAAACAGACCACCACTTTAACGGCACCTTGGACATCCGGGGCCAAAGACAGGAAACGTGCACAAAGATAATAGCCAAACTGAAGGTAAGAAATATGTACCTCACAGAACAGATAGATTTGATAGGAAAAACTTATCAAAGACATAATTTCAATTAATAAAGGTTGAGAAATATTTTGGTATTTGGTTATCTGATTATTTGGGCAGAAAACAATAGATAAAAAAAATGATGTGCAGCCAATTACTTGGTTAGACTTTTAGACTCTCAGGCAGAATAGAAATTCAAATAAGCAAAAAAGGATGGTATTTTTCCACTCCGGTGTAGCTGAAGCCTTTATTTTTCCTAATCCTGCTGCTTCTGTTTCTGTTTTTCCTCCAGGAAAACATTAAGGACAAAATGAGAAGCATTCCCATCGAGGTGTCTGCAGGGATTGTTGGCACTAAAAGAAGACAGTCGAGGAACGCCCTCCCTCAGCTCATGCCAATATTAGACTCCTCTCAGCCGAGCAAAGACGTCATACAGGTGAGTGTTCAGTCTGAAACATTCAGTCAAAAGTTATCAAGCAAAATCTTTACACAGGAGAAACTCTTGAATGTGTTTTCCACACATTTTCTTTTTCAGGTGAACTTTGTCAAAGAGGGCTGCGGGAGGGATCACATCTGTCGAAGTAACCTGAAGATGGAGTACAAGTTATTCTACAAACAAAACAACCTCGATGTGTACTCTCCGTTAGCCATGTGAGTTCTTTCACCTCATTTCTTTAAAGCAACAGGTCACCTGAAAGCTCAGAGCTCAGCCTGACGTGATCGAATATATTTGTGTATCTGCAGGAAGAATAATGTCCCCGTGTTTCATCTGAACTATGAGAGGAAAGACTTGGCTATACGTGTGACAGTCAACAACATGAACGGAGACGACGCTTACGAGGCAAAGCTGTTGGGGACTTTCTCAGAGACGCTGTCATATTCAGGAGTCCGCTCTCATCAAACAATGGTAAACCAGACAGCATCTCTAGTGACACCTGGAGTGTGGTTGTGGTACTGCTTACACAGGCTAAGAGATTGATTTTGGTGTTATGCATTTTAGTTTTTTTTTTTCTTGTCATTTGGATTAGAAATTGTTGCATGTATGAAAATAACAAAGTAGATTTTGGCCTGTGGGAGACGATTTTTTGAGAGATTAACACCTAAATTATTTATCCATCTCCAGCTCAGTACCTTTTATTTCTATTAGCTTGAAGGCTTAGCTGTGCTTTAATGATGCATTATAACTATGCTACCATACACCGATGAAGCATTTGACTTCAGTATATACCAGCACCATTATAATATCTAAATTTTATCAAAAATACATCATTTAGACCTCTTTCCTGACACTTGATATAAATGTAATCCTTATACAAAAAACTTGGAATATAGTGCTCACATCTCTCAAGTCTGATCACCATCCAGGTCTTTGAACTTCCCTCCTCCTTTTCAGGTAGGGAAGCCCATCATCTGCAATGCCAATCAGAACGGCTCTCAAGCAGACTGCGACCTGGGAAATCCTTTTAAAAGAGACTCCAGGGTAAAGAGACTGAACTCATCCTCAGATTTGCATTTTCACTTTGACACTGTAATTCAAGAAGTGCAATTTCAGATGTTTTTGAATCTTACTTCCACCAGACGATGTTTTACATCATCCTGAGCACTGTGGGCATGACTCTGGACACCACAGAGATTAATGTGGATCTTCATCTCCAAACGTAAGTACAGCTGCTGCAGCTGTGAGGGTGTGAGAGAACTGAACTGCAGAATGCACCTGTTAGACATTTGCCTTTTCTTTCAGGACGAGTGTTCAAGAAGATATGACTCCTGTTAAAGTAAAGGCCAAAGTGAAAATTGAACTTCCTCTGTCTGTCAGTGGGTGAGTACATTAGACTATGATCAACTTCACTTAAATATAAGTTTATTACCTCAGTGTGATTTGAAATGTAAATATTTCTGATCATTTTCTCAGAGAGGCCAGCCCAAATCAGGTTTCATTCGGAGGTGTTGTGAAAGGTGAAAGTGCCATGAAGACAGAGGAGGAGATCGGAAGTTTGATCAACTTTACATTCAGAGTAAGTCTGTTTATCAACCATTGATGCTTATGTAGGTGCAGGTTGTCTTTCTGGGTTTTTGACATGGTTTCCTCTACAGATAAACAACTTGTGGAAAACTCTGACATCCTCAGTCAAAGCCTCTCTTCACATTCACTGGCCAAAATATAACAAAGTTGGAAAATGGCTTCTTTACCTGGTGAAGATCACCTCTACAGGACCACAGGAGGTCCTCTGCTCCCCGCAGTCTGAAATCAGCTCTCTCAAACACATCAAGGTGGTGCCTTCAGACCTCTTTGTATAAAATCAAATCAACTGTCAGTTTGTGGAAACCTGCGGGGTTTAATTCTCTCTTTTTTTTTGTATTAATAATAAGAAAATGTTCTTTCAGGAGTCCTCTGTGTCCAGGACAAAACGGGAAATTGGAGAAAGAAAGCCTGCTGCAAAAGTGTCTCCACTGTACGGCAAAAGTAAAGTTCTGGTGAGTTCTTGATCTGGACATATTTGATTTTATCTGGTATATCATTTTAAAGTTGAACCGAAATCTTTTGTTTGTTTCAGTCATGTGCAGGTGAGATCAAATGTGTGGTGCTTGAGTGCCCCCTTCAGGGCCTGGATGGTACTGTGGTTGAACTGAGATCTCGTCTGTGGAACTCGACTTTTATTGAGGTAACATGTTATGTTTTGAGATTTAACATCTATGTCATCACCAGTGTTTAACATAATTTATTCATCTTAACCAATAAGCTGCTTTTTTCTCTTCTGCACAGGACTATGCCTCTCTGTCGCACCTGCGCATCATCGTGAAAGCGTCTCTTGTCCTCCAAACTCAGGCTAAAAACATGATGTTGACAACTCCTGACACTGACGTAAGTACATCAGTGAAAAAGACACTTTTTTTTTTTATCTTCATTTCTAACTGTGTCTCGGTTTCTCTCACTTTGACTTTTTCCATCAGGTGATAGTGACAGTGTCTCCAGACAGTGAAGTAGCACAGCACAGTGGGGTTCCCTGGTGGATCATACTGGTGGCTGTTCTCGCAGGAATACTGATCTTGGCGTTGTTGGTGTTTCTGCTGTGGAAGGTGAGGGGGCCGTTATAACTTTTCATCATCCATGTTTAGTGGTAGATCAAATCCTGGGGCACAAGTTTGTGATAGAATGTAATCTTTACTACTCTCACATGTATCTGCTTTTAGCCACCACACTGTATTTAACTGCACACATTGATTTCAGGTCTGGGTTTGAACACACCAATCAGTGTAAAGTGAACTCAACATATGTGGTATTTGCTCCACAATCTACTAGGAGCCAGTGTGTTTCTTTGTTTTTCTTGACGAGATCCTAGTTATTGTCCAGCAACATCACTGATTCTGTCACCCTTAACAATCCAACCCCTCCCTCTTGCCCCCCCCTCTCAGTGTGGTTTCTTCAAGAGAGCATCAAAAGACGAATACGATGCTGCGTATCACAAGGCAGAGATCCATGTTCAGCCCTCTGACAAAGACAAACTCTCTGCTGAGGCCTGATTTATCCTCAGATCAGGGGTAAAAACAAGCTGCAAGCATGGAGTGTCAAACTGCGCTCACTGAAACGACTCACTTTGAAGCCAAATCAGCTGCTTGAATGCTGCAAAATTCAATCAGACACATACTGTACTGAGCTGAGAAAGAGCTTTTACTTTACATGAAGTAATTCTGATTATTCTTTGTGTAAAGTTGAATTTTTATACATTATGTGTCTCTGAATTTTGCAAAGTAATTAATGTAATTTCTTTCAAACAGGCTTCAAATATGTTTTTGGTCTGCAGGTGCTTCTGCTGGCATGGCTTTCACCGCCTCGCTTTTTGCCCCCTAAAAACCTGCAAAGCATGCTTAACATTCCTGCAAGTCCCCTGTTGCTGCTGCTAACACTGTATACAACTTATTTTATCATTTCCCACTTTTTTTTAATAATAAATCCTTATTTTGGATCCCTCTTTTCTTAGTGTGGATTCTTCCAGCGCTCCAAACAAGACGACAGCATTCCTCGCTATCACGCTGTGCGGATAAAGAAGGAAACTCCTGACTGTAAAGATGGAAAAATGAAACTGGATCCTTTGGATAAAAAGCAGTGGGTGACAACGTGGACTGACAATGAAAGTTACTCTTGAGTCTCTTTCTGTCAAACTGATAGCGTACACAAAAATTACACAAGTGCCAGTGTCTTATTGAATAAGTTTGAGACCACACAAAACTTAAAAACTACACTGAACTTTGATTTTTGTTCAATCAACATGACTCTGATTGGCAGGAATTAGTCAGGTTCCTGTCTTTTTCTTACACTGTATAGAAGATGAAATGTTTTTGTAAGCTTTGTATATATTTAAATACTTTGCACACTGTATATTTATTTTTTTTATGAAATAATTTCAAGCAGCCAAAGAGTGTTTTTTTCCCCAACCTTATGTCTGATCAACAGAGGACAAAGTTTACCATTCTTTGTACAGAGCTGTACACTTGAAATGAAATCTTGATGTCTATGCAAGGATGGTACAGTTAGCTCAGAGTAAGCCACTCAAAGCTTTTATGTGTCTCGTTTTAATCCTGTTGAGCGACTGACCTCTAGGAAATGACTTTCAGGTACATTGCCATTTCACAATAATCAGTACTGTGCAAAAATCACTGCTCAGTCTACATGAAACTGGATTTCCCTAAATGTCCCTGCACTGTAGTGGCACTCAGGTAGCATCCACTGTACAGTAGGCCATCACTGAAGTTCCTCTGACCTGTGTGAGGGATCCAAAGGGAGATGAAATGCCACACAAATGTATGTTTTAAAGGTTGAAATGAATTGAATGTTTTGTGAAATTGTCAATAAAACTTTGACTAAAAACTGTCTCATACAGTAGAATTTTATCATGAGTGTGAACTAAGAGATTCTCTGACACCTCAATCAGTGAACATTGTACTGTATTCTGTATACTTATGAAAACCACATATTTTATTAAAGCTTTGAAATAATACAATGGAATAAGATGTCACATCTGCACACTGTGACCAAAACAGAGTAACAGAGCATTCATGAGATTTATTTAAATGTCCTTTCTATTACCAGCAAAGCATTTACATGGACTAGATGATCACTGTCATTCTAGTCGATAAAATATAGAGCTGAAAACACCAGAAACTACTCAAACCAGGGCAGTGAAAAAACTTCACAGGCGTTGAATTACATATTCACATCAATGTCATGTTTAAAGGCAAAAATATCCAAAATTAGTATTTTCTCATCATATAATTCAATGTTTTAAGTGCAGTTCAGTCAAACGTAAGACGAAAGGTTTTCTCCTGCTCCTTGCGCTGGTTGTCGCACAGTTTGGACACTTCCTCCACTCGTCTCTGGAGGAGGACCGAGTTCTGATCGATCCACTGAAGTGAATCCATGTGGGTGTTGAGGATTTTACAAATCTGCTGGAGCTAGGGAAGGAAGGAAAAGAGAGAGAGGAAAGGAAAGCAGGTTTTATTTTCAACATTTTATGCCAATGCACCCTCAAAATAACTGTCAACAATGAGGCGATATCTTACTGGGTCACTGGTATCTGCAGGGCCGCTGGATGTGTTCAGGTGCTCAATGATCTCCTTCAGGTCCTGCGACATCCTCTTCAGCTGTGCGTCCACGTTCTCAGCCAGCTTGTAGGTTCTTTCACGTTCCTCGTCTGCGTTCTGCATGTAGATGGTGCCGCTCTGCTCCTTCACTGACTCCTCCAGCGGGCAGAGTAAATCCTCCAGCTCCTTCTGCTGGGACAGGATGAAATCCAGCTCCTGGTTCAGCCTCCTCTGATCCAGCTTCACCTTCTCCATCTCTTTATGCAGCGCTGTGATCTTCTCCCCGTTCTCCACCAGCATGCGATCCCATGCATTCACCTGCGTCGCCTGCTGCAGGAAATGTCTCTCCTGGTCCTCCAACTCCAGACTCCATTTATTAATGAGACCCTCCAGCTGGGCGTAGGTCATCACAGGTGGAGCGGCGGTTGTAGTGAGGGTTGCAGCTGCAGCGGCTGTTGTGGCGCTTGGGCCTGATACAGGTTTGAGCCCCAGTGAGAAGCCTGTAGCTACACCTGTTGTGGTGGCTGCAGCTGTGGCAGCAGGGGCAGGAGCAAGAGTGGAGGTGGTGGTAGCTGCTCCGAGAGGTTTGAGCGTGAAAGCCAGACCTCCACCTGCTGGTGTGGTTGTTGCAGGCACAGCAGTGCTTGCTGCTGGAGTTGGAGCTACACCCAAAGAGAAGCCTGTAGCTGCTGTAGGGGCTGTAGCAGCTGCAGCCACACTGGGAGCTACTGCTGCTGTGGAAATAGGTGTAGAGAAGAGAGATGGAGCCGGTGCTGGGGCAGCCTGAGTCAATGCAGCAGGAGCTGGGGTGGATGAGGGTTTAATCCCAAAAGCAAATCCCCCTCCTGGAGGGACTGTGGCTGTAGCGGTAGAGGCTGGTTGGGGTTGGGTGCCCAGGGTGAGAGTGGAGGGAGCACTGGCTCCAAAGCTGAAACCCCCACCTGTGGGTGCAGTGGAAGCTGGAGCTGTAGTCATCTGGACTTTGGGTGTTCCAAAGCTGAACCCTCCAAAAGTAAGCCCTCCTCCACCTCCTCCCGCTGCTGCTGCTGCGGCCGCTGCAGCAGCAGCAGCCGCTGCAGCAGGAGGAGCTGTGGTTGCAGGTGCTGCAGCTGGGGCAGGTGCCAGTGTAGGTGCTGCTGCTGCTGCTGGAGGTTGGAGTTGGGCTTGAGCTGGAGTCCCGAAGGTGAATCCTCCTCCTGCTGGGGCGGCAGCGGCGGTTTGAGCGGACAAACCCGTGCCCAATGCGAACCCTGTTGGAGCTGCTGTGGAGCCCAAAGTCAGCCCTGCAGCTGTCGTGGTTTGGGGAGTCGTGCCAATGCCAAATGTGGAGGTAGGGGTTCCAAAAGAAAAGCCACCGGCGGCTGCTGTGCTCTTCGCGGGGGTGCCGAAGCTAAACGAACCGGTGGGGTTGGTGGTGGCCTGACTAGCGGTGCCGAAGGTGAAGCCCCCTCCGGAGGCTGCTGGTGCGGTGTTCGCCAGCCCGAAGCCCGTGGCGGGGGCCGCGGCTGTTGTCTTCGGAGCTCCGAAAGCAAACCCTGTTTGCTGCCCGAAGTTGAAACCGCCGCTCATTTCTTTGCTGGGTGGACAAACAATCCGACTACGAAACCTGTAAAACACGCAGGATGGTCACTTCCGCCCCGAACTTCTCTGTTGCTTTTGGCGGGTCACTACCTCCAACTCGATTAACAGGAGTTGCCAAGGAAACAGCTCGACTCCCACTACGCCTTTCCGGACGTTAGCGTTTATTTGAATCAATCACAGCTTTGTTTCCGTTACCTTCACCCAAATGTCGAACAAAAACTCACAACACAAACCAAAACGTGGTTCGAGGGCTCTCATTTCTTCAAGCAGGCACCTACATAGTCGACTAAAGGAAGTGACGACAGTAGGCTTAACTCGGCGATTCTTGGCCTGAGTTTTGTCTGCCAGACCCCAAATCCCACCCCCTTGGTAAAACTGACAGATCAAATATCCAACCACGATCCTAAACACACTCACACTGAAATATGATTGGTTCAAATCGCTACCTGAAGACAATCCTCAGGGTGAAGAATTTCAAGAGAACCCGGCGTACCAACTGAAACTCAAAACTACGGAGGCCGAGAACCGCCACAACTGCAAATTAAAAGAGAATGCAAAAAAATAGACGTCACAACGGAAGTTACCGAGGCAAAAAAAAGAAAAGAAAAAAAGAAACTAAAGCCCGCTGCAAATAAAAAAAAAAAAAAAAAGAAATGGTGCAGATAAAAATAAAGCCACAACAAAAGCAGAAGTTAACAACGCAAAAAAAGTGGCAATGCAAAAAAAAGTTACTTACTGCAAAAATAAAAGGATGCAGAATAACAAGCGCCAAGATGAATTATCAGACAGCACTGACCACAGAAATACCAGATACTTGAACAGTTTTCGTATGAACCTGTAATAACTTCTATTTAGAGTGAAAGGCAAAATTGTCAAATAAAAAGTATAGAGTAGGGCCAAAAAGCAATGAACTGTTCATTTGTAAAACATCAGTGTAATTTTCCTAGAGGAATTAAACTCCCCATGTTTTTGTAAAATGATATTTAAAAAATACTTAAAGCAAGAATAATAGACTATTAAGTTCAGAATTAAAACTAAAATGTCACTCGCTATTAAAAAACACAGTTTTTAATGAGTGTCTATTAATATTACATATTATTGAACATGGATTTGAAAGGAATCAAGACTTTGCAAAAAAAAAAAAAAAAAAATCATAGTCCTGCATAAAAAGATACTTCAGTTAATATATATATATATTATGACATGGGGATCATACGTTCAGTTCAAATCATAGAGAGGACCTCAAAGCTTTGTAAAAAGTCATGGTTTGAATCGCTTTCAATCGTTAGTCTAGTCAGTGTCTTAAAAAATATCTTCATTTAAGTTTTAAACTGGTGGATATTTGGTTTCTTTTTGGACCATTTACATTTATGTATATAAAATCTTCCACACAAAGTAAAAAGGTTTAATAAAAAAATGTGACTTCGGTCCATGTTGTCTGCGCAGACGTGACTTCTCTTGACGTTGTTGTGACTCTTTGAATTCGCCGTCATCATCGCACAGCGTCCTCGCTATGTTGACATTTAGAAGTTATCTCTGACGATTTTACTATGAGCCATTGGGAACGAGGGACGTGAAATGTGTGCAGCATTATTCGTGATATGGATGCATATATTTCTCCTCAAAAACAGAATTTTAATTTATCGTAGTTTGTGCCCGAGCGCCAGAAATTAGCCTTTATGCTAATGTCAACGTATCGATTAACGCCTGCTAGCTGTTATTTCGTGGCTATTCTGGGGATGTCACCTGTGATCGAAACAAACTAGCATCTCCACTTCCTGGCGCATCAACGAAGAAAAATACCGTGAGCTTGTTCCGGATCAGTCAGGATGAGGTTGTTCAGGTTCCTGAGGAACAGCGTGTCCATTGGGAAGGACATCGACTATTACTCCAAATTCTCCCCCTCTCCTCTGTCAATGAAGCAGTTTCTGGATTTTGGTAAGAGGACGTGCAGTTTGATCACGATTGGCTTTGTAACAGGGGGTGAATGGTTACACCAAGTAAAACAGGACATTTAGTCTTCTCGTTTAGTACTAATGTTTAGTAGGGTTAGAAGCGAAAGTCAGCTTGATATATAGATTCAGAGGTCTCTCCACTTTAAAACAGTATGATAATCAAGATGCTGATGCTCATTCATGACTTGTAGTTGTGCTCAGAACTGCATCTCTACAGATTAGATGTTGTGTATTTCGATTTGTACAACAACAGAAACTGTTGATAATCCTTAGCATAAATAATTATTTATTTAATTTGATTTTATTTATATAGCACTTTTGAGATTGTTTATTCGATCAAATATATACATACAGTACAATTTTAGACAAGAAAATCACTATTTTTTGGAGATCGAAAAGGAGTAGGTTAAAGCTATTTAGCTTATATGTACCTACCCTCATTCCTTCCTATTCGTTTACTCTTTACATTTCTCTAGAATTTAGAATTTCTGATGTTGCCACAAAGTAACCAAAGCTCCAAAGTCTAACATGAATATGTAACTAATCATTAATACTGAAACAAAGACCTTATATATACATATAAACATCCATACCTATATACACACAAATATGCACTTTATATATATAAGTATATATACCTAAAATACTTCAAATCTCTCATTTGTACCATACCCGTATACAATATAAAAAGTATGGCAAAAAGGAAATCGATTTTGTGTGTATTTTTCAATCACACTCTGCTTTAATTTACTTTCAAATGGTGCCATTGTTTTGCTTTGCTGTTCCACAGCTTCACCCCCATAACAGAAATACACATACTTTTTAGTGTGGTAAGAATGTCTGATTGTTTGAAGTTTCTTTACCCTCTTAATAGATACTTGCCCTGTCTTCCACCAAACATTTTCTGTACATTACTAGGAAGTAGATTGTTACTGGCTTTGTACATTGTCTGTGCAGTTCTAAATTCAACTAGATAAAACAAGAGTGTACAAAGTGCTTTAACATGAAGGAAAACAAAGAAGATGAAAAAACAACAACATAACAGCAAGAGAACACTTGAGGGAAATGACGCATTGCTGGCAACAAGGAAATACAATAAAAATTGGTGAAAGACATAAAAGCTGTGATGAATGTCACATGAGCTGAGAGGTCATTAAAATGAAGACATTAAAACAAAGACATTATAAGAGCCCATGATACCCAGCCAACACATGAACCCAATCACAAAAAAGTGAGACTAAGGGGTCTATTATAAAACATGAATAAGAAGCGTAAAAGTTTTTAAAGAAGACAAAATCACATAAAAGCAAGTCTATAAAAATGAGTGATTTAAAAACAGTGACTGTTTCTGCACACCTGATCTCCTTGGGGAGGTCTTTCCAAAGTCGAAGGGCCCTGGTGGAAAAGGCCCTGTCACTTTTAGTCACAAGTCTCGACTTTGGAACGACCAGGAGGCCCCCACCCCAGGATCTCAGGGTGCGGGCTGGCTCATAGGGGGTTAGCACAGTCTGAAATCACAGCTGTACTGATGATAAATAAGTGATCACACACAAGAAACCAACAATCTTTTTCTGTGTACTCATCCCCTCTAGGTTCAGAAAATGCCTGTGAGAAAACCTCCTTCACCTTCCTCAGACAGGAGTTGCCTGTGCGATTGGCAAACATCATGAAAGAGATCAACTTGTTGCCAGACAACCTGCTGAGGACTCCTTCAGTGCGGCTGGTCCAGAGCTGGTATGCAGGTTTTGAACTGTCTCCTCTTCATTTCCTCTCTTCTGATGCTGATACAAACCAGTAGTGGTGTTTTTTTTCTTTTTTCTCTTGCAGGTATTTGCAAAGTCTTCAGGAGATCCTTGAGTTCAAAGAGAAAAATGCAGATGATGAGAAAGTCACATATGAGTCAGTGAACTAAAACACTTTGTCTTTGAAATAACTGATCTGGTTTTGTCACTTTATTCTCTAAACTTGTACTGACCCTTGTGTGCTTTTTTTTTTAGTTTCACAGACGCAGTAATAAAGATCAGAAATCGGCACAACGATGTCATCCCCACAATGGCTCAGGGAGTCGTGGAGTATAAGGAGACGTATGGCACAGACCCAGTCGTCAGCCAAAATGTTCAGTATTTCCTCGATCGTTTCTACATGAGCAGGATTTCCATCAGGATGTTACTCAACCAGCACAGTGAGTAGATCCTCCGCTGTGAAGTTAAAGATTTTCTCTGTTAGCCACTCATCTCTGATCTGTGTGAACAGAGAGCCTAAGTCACTATTATTTATAAACAGAGATGTCGTAGAGATGGGCTGCCTGAAAAAAGTGGTGTTTCAGTTTCACTGTGTCACAGAAATACAGCTAAACAGTTTCTTCATGAACTTAAGGGTAAAAGAAGTCTGGGGGTCCTGACCCAGCCCAAGCTGCTTTCTTGATCTTTCTCAATCTCACATCTTGTACCTTATTGCTCAATATTTTGATCAAAATAAACACTCTGACAACTCAGATGAAACATGTTACTCGACATATAAACTTCTTATAGTCATACAGTAAGTCCCTTCTTCATCTCAGCATCAAATCTGTCCAAACACTGAAAACCTGGGATGTTTATCTTTAGAAACATGACAGCTTTTGTGCTTTTTATTCTTTTGGATCTCCGGCACACCACTCTGTCAGTGCCCCTATCAAATGTCATGTAACCAGCAGCTGTGCCTCTAGATAACTGAGAGTGTGCAGTGTTTCTCACGTGATGAGCCAGTACACATTGAATTTTGGCTCACAAAATCAGGGCAGACCCACTGCACCCTCTTCATTTCACTTGAGGGTACAGAATGACCAGTATGCAGACTAAAAGGAGCATCACATCCTTGTCCCATGAAGCATTCAGCTGCTAAACAAGCTCTGATACACAGTCTGAAGTGTCTACACTGAACTTAGCACGTTTTATTCCTCACAAGTAACCAAGGAACCATTCCTCAAGTCATGCCACAATACCTCGAGGGCTCATTTCTTCAGTCTCATAAACAGATACAGTTCAAAATAGAGAATATCAGAATGTCCTGAGAAAGTTCATTTTTTCCCCATAATTCATTTTTAAAAATGAAACTTCTGTATAATTTAGATCTTGATGATTATGGTTTACAGCTCACTAACAACCAAAAACCTTCAACACCAATCCAAAAAGAAAGAAAGAATGAGATTCTCTATGGGGTTCAGGTCAGACCAGTTGGTTGGCCAATCGAGTCCAGTATTGCCACGGTCAACAAACCAGTCAATGGTAGTTTTGGCGCTGTGGGCAGGTCCTGCTGGAAAAGGAAATCTGTGAAGCTCCCCTGAGTTGTTGAATCTGCTTCACTCCACAATCCTCTTCAGGTTGTCACCTTTTTCTCCCTCACTTTTACCTTCCAGTCAGCTTTCCTTGAATCTGCTTCCATACAGCACTCTGACAACAGCCAGCCTTTTCAGCAATGACCTTCTGGTGTTGATCCTCCTTGTGGAGGGTGTCAGTAATCTTCTTCTGGATAACTGTCAAGTCAGCAGTCTCACCCATGATGGTGGTGTACTGAATTAGAGAGAGGCTCAGTAAGGCTTTGCAGGTGTTCAGGGTTCATTAGCTGATTCAAGGTCCTTTTAGGGCTGAAATACCTGACAAGAAACTGGACTTTTCCACAATATCTAGGTGTTCTGAGATAGTGGATTTATGTGATCTGTAAGCTGTAATCATCAAGAATCAAACAAAACAAACCAGGAATCAGCTGATCACACTCAATTACACTGACTGATGTCCATAAAGGGAAAATAGTCCTTTTACAAATCTCTGTAAGGTAATAAACAAATATTAATTGTTTTATAGTGATATCAACATTTGATCACTATTTAGCAGTGTGTTTTCCTGTGTTTTTATTCCAGCGCTCCTCTTTGGCGGGAAAGTGAAGGTGAACCCAGCTCATCCCAAACAGATCGGCAGTATTGATCCTACTTGTCGGGTCAGCGATGTTATCAGAGGTGAGAATGTTTCTTTCTGAACTATTTATGAGAAACGCACTGTGAGCTTCTGATGCTTTTAAGAACCAGTGGGTAATTCCTGTCTTTTCATGGAAATCAATCTCTCTCTTGTAGATGCCTACGAGAATGCGAGGAACCTCTGTGACCGCTACTACATGAACTCTCCTGAGCTCGTGCTGGAGGAATTCAACAGTATGTTTTCTGATACTTCTTAGATTTCACTTTTGATGAGTTAAATGCTTGATTGAAAAAGTTCTGTTCAAACTGAGTGTCACCTGTTTGTCCTGCCAGTCAAAGAAAATGACCAACCCATCACAATGGTGTACGTCCCGTCTCATTTGTACCACATGGTGTTTGAACTTTTTAAGGTAAGACTGACTTTCTGAATCTCTTGCTGCTTCATGTGATACAGTTTTGTACTTTTAAATGTTGTCTTTGTCTCGAGACAAACATTTACAGGAAAAGAAAACAGAAATCTCGCTCTCATTGTTGCAGAATGCCATGAGAGCCACCATGGAGTTATACGGGGATGCCTTGGAGTATCCTGCCGTCAAAGCACAGGTCGCTCTGGGAACAGAAGATTTGACAGTCAAGGTAAAAACTTTGCTGTCTCTTTTTATGTTTTGTACTTTCGTCTAAGATCTGTGCATTTATGTAACACAAACACATAATAACACACACAAGTAAAAACATGCATAACTCATACAGACAGCACCCAGCATGAGACTCAACCATTGTCCCTTCTTACCTCTCCTGAGGAAATAAAAGAGGATGAATGAATAGTTGACAATGAGACAGATAATCAAAAAAAAAAAAAAAAAAAAAGATAAAGACATAAAAATAATAAAATTTTGTCTGTTTTTGAAGATTAGCAAGTGAAGTGCAGGACACTGACTTAAAACAAAGAAAAAGAAAGAATACGTAACCATCATTGAGCAGCAACAAGCTCCCTGAGTGGTCAACAATAAGCTAGCATCAAAGAGTCACTTTACTAGTCGAATGAAGAGGTCCAGAAACTGACCAAGATGTGGTCCAATGAAACTGGGCTACTGCATCAAAGACATGTGGGTTAACAGTGGGGTTTGTTTTAGCTGATCTGTCATTGGAGGGAATTCTTTGTGAGATATCTTGCACTGAACCCACCCTGGTCTTACAGAAAAAGAGGAGATGTGTTTCACAGAGATACAGTTTGCCCAAACAACCTCAGAAATGACCATTTCTAGGTTTCCTGCTGCCAGGCCTCCAATATTTGAGAAGATCAGCCCTTAAACAAGATTAGATTAGCTCAGATGGGATTAGACAAGAGACTCTATTGTCATTATATCCAAACAATGAAATTCTGCTCGGTAGCTCTTAGAGACCAGCAGCATTTAGAAAGTGTCAATAATGTAAAAGACAAGAAAGATGTTAATGACAGAGAAAGGAGCTTTAGCAACAATAAAGGAAATAAGTTTAGTCCAAATTCTTGAATGTTATTAGACAAAGCCGCTGTTCAGACTTTATTGTTCTTTTGCAGGTGTGTGATCGGGGAGGTGGCGTGCCTCTGCGTAAGATCGACAGGTTGTTCACCTACACATACTCCACAGCTCCTCGGCCCAGCTTGGACGGCCGCGCTGCTCCTCTGGTTAGTATCTCTGTGAATGTGATCCAGCTGATCTGACAAAAATCTCCCTCAAAATGTAGCAACACATCTCATTAAGTTCACTGTGATAATTTCTTTCTCCAGGCAGGGTACGGCTACGGCCTGCCCATCTCAAGACTCTACGCTCGCTACTTTCAAGGCGACCTGAAGCTCTACTCACTGGAGGGTTACGGGACTGATGCTGTCATCTACATCCGGGTAACTAAACTCATAACATGTACCACTCAAATGAACATGTGTAATGAACATGCACTTTTAACCTCACCTTCTCCATCACCTGTCAGGCACTCTCCACGGAGTCCATCGAGAGGCTTCCTGTCTACAACAAGTCGGCATGGAAACACTACAAAACCATCCACGAGGCCGACGACTGGTGCGTCCCCAGCAAAGAGCCCAAGGACATGACGACATTTCGCAGTTTCTAGATCCTTCCAGCTGCTGTCCTGTAGCACATTACGCTTAAGAGGTTGTGGTTAGTGAATGTCGGTTTGTTTGTTTGTGTGTGTGTTTAGTGTTAAATAATTTGTTTTGCTTAACTGGAACAGAGAGTAAGATGACAGAAGACTAGACCGAACAAACTTTTAGTGCCATGAATCTCATTAAGAACAAAAGGTTTGCTAATCAGCTGTCCTCAATCTAAAACATTTCCCACTCTTCTCATACTGGTGCCAGTATCAATCACTACAGAAAGCAGACAGGACCAGTTTTAGAAAGCCTTGAGGTTGTTGATAGATTATTGATATTTTAGGATTTGGATTTTCTTTAAAGCTACTGTGAGGAACTTCAGTGTACCATATTTTTCAGGTCATAAGGTGCACTGAATTGTAAGGCGTATTAAGCATTGATTGGTTTATTGTTGCTAGCGCGTACCTCGGGCCTGGGCTGCCTTACATGAATGCACTTCTAGTTTAGACATTACAGTCAGGCAGTCTTGTAGACTGCTCAGGGGTCCTGTTACGGGACCAATCAGGTAGTGATACAGCCTACCGTAATGCTCCGAATATCCGTTGAGCGGAGTGGCTTGCTTACCAAAGTCTTACTTACACCTTTCGACAGATTTTTGAGTGCACTGTACCACATAAAATCGGTCAGTTAACAGTGATCAAGTGATCATTCATAAGGCGCGCTGGATTATGTGGCGCATTGTCAATTTAATAAGAAAATTTAAGGATTTTAAGTGCGCCTTATAGTCTGAAAAATATGGTAGTTTTGACATTAAGTGGTCCATCCCCTCTCTTTACTGATCCTGTCCTGTCAAGTTGAAGAAATGGTCTGTTTAAAAATCCCCCGCTGTCTCTGACAGTCAAAATTTATCACTCCACATTTGTGCATGGAAATACACTGCTCATCAGAACTGTTCTCCCTGTGTTAAATTACAGTTTAAACTCTCCTCACAGGAGCTTTAAGATTAATTTGAATGTCCTATAAATGCAGATCGTTACATATCCAGCATGTTTTTGTTACATAAAATCCAATTTGAAAGCTTTTAGATCAAACACATGTCCCTCTCTGCACAGGAAGCTTCACACAGATGCTGCTGGATGTCTAGTTACCATACAGGGTCAAATGAAAATGTTTTTTTTTTCCTCTTAGTGAAGATTATCCTCGAGTTATGAACTAGTTATGTGTTTTACAGATTAAGTTTACAGTTTGACTCAATTTAGTATTTATGGCTATTCTTTGGTGTCTTAGCTGCTCTCATTTCTCTAAAAGTCAAGTTTTAACTGTTATAGATATGTGTGTCTTTTTTTTTTTCTTTTTTGGCCCTGCTCAGTTGGTAGTTTGACACTTTGAAAGAAAAGGGAAACCTAACACACAATATAAATTTGTCTGTCTTTAAATCTGCTGGAAGTTTCTGCTGGAAAGGGAACTTGATGAAAACTTTCTTATTTAGGGCATTTCTTCTACAGAGGTGTAACGCAGCATACGCGATCAAACAAGTATTAATTTGGGATTTGTGAGGGAAAGATTTGCACCTTTTTTCTTTTTGTGTACAGGAATTCTTCATCAAATTAGTTTCAAATAGCTGCTGGAAATCTTCCAACAAGATTTGAACTCTCAAGACTTTTCACATGAGAAATAGTGTTAAGGTTTCTGTGGCTGGGACTCATCTTGTTTGATAAGTTATTTTTTCATATTTTCCATGTTGCAATAGCACTGTTACACTTCATGCATCTATCATGTGAAATAAAAAAAGATCTATAACCAGAGTATTTTGTATAATGTAGATCAATTTCTTGCTGCATGCATTTCCTATTACTTTTCTTCAGTTTTCTGCATCATCCACAGTGAGATCTGAGGGGACACTATCAGGCTCTGCAGTTCAAGAGGAGGGCTCACACAGTTTACTTAAAATAGAAATAAACTAGTACAGCACAGTTATGTTACATTACGATTAAAAATGGAATAGTTAAGCAGGCTTTTCAATCGCTAAAACAGTTCCAACCCTGCCACTCACAGAAGCGTATTGGTAAAGTTGTTACTGCTTTAATGTGAGGTAGTAACAGGTGGTTTTTCCAAAGACTTGATTCAATTTGTGTCAGTTTTAAAGTTTTCTTTGTTTCCAAGGTAAATTTAGACTTTGCAAAGAACAGGGTTCCTACACAGTTGGAATTTCCACATTTTTCCATACCCTACCTCTTAGAATTATTTTTGGAAATACCTACTTTATTTTTTAAAAAACAGTATTTTAAAACTGTGGTAATAGTATGGAAACATAGATATTTTTCAATACTTTACTTCTTTTTTACCATACTTTTTAAGACCTGGAAATTCATCAAACTACTTCCATACTTGCGTAAGAACCCTGGAAGAAAGAGCGAATCCACCGAGTGAAAATTAGTTTATTTGATGCTGTATGTACCAAGAAATGTCTCTTCTGCTCAAAGAGAGGAAAACATGATCGTTTAGCAGTCCAACACGTCTCAGTCTTTGCAGGACATGGAGTCATGCGTGAAAAAAAAAAAATCGAAGCACTTGAGTTTCTGAATAATTCATCTTTCAGCTTGGCATATGTGACGCTGTGCTCCCGACTCACACAAGTCCTTGTCTTAGACACATCTTACAAACCCGTGAGGTGTGTGTGTGTGTGTGTGAGTTTGTAGCAGACCTGCATGCCGTGTGTGTATTTATGTGGAGCATCAATGTCCCATCCCAGCGACACACAGCCAGAGTCAGGGACAGCAGAAGCAGCATTAACCTCATCCCATCTAACTTTTTTGTAGCTTTTTCACCAGCAAAAATCAACAGCATGGCTATTCTACTTAGTAGAAATTTAGATAGTATAAAATGAACAATGGTATTTCAGTAAATAAAAAAAAAAGATATGCAGTTAATAGGCACATGTATAAAACTTAGTCATACATTTAAAACCTTGTCGCCCTTTGAAGCTTAAATGACAAATATAGTGCTTTTATCCGACTGTACAATAACTGTTCCAGCGTTGAAACAAGTTCATCTAGCAAAAATATAAAATGCTGAAAAAAGCAGTATACATCTTACTTCCATAGGTAAACGTGTGCATGATCTGCAAACACTACATCTGATCTTAAACAGACTTCTAATCATATCAGCTTCGAGCTTTTTAGTGGTAAAAAAAAAAAGTTCCTTTTTGGTCACATATCCAACTTTCAACATTCTTTGACTTTAAGTTAAAATGTCTGAATTAAAAGTGATAAAAGAAGAAAAGATGAGGAGCTGCAGGTTGAAGATGACTCTCATCAGTCAGAACAGGAACAGCACTGGCAGTCATACTCTCTGGTTGTTCACGTAAACACCATGTGACATAAACGTCGTGGCACCACAGTATTAAAAAAAAAAAAGGTACTCAGAACTCCGACTGGGATGAACTTTATGAGCTGCATGAGTTTAAAAACAGAGCTGCCTCTTCCTCAGCAGACTGAGTCACTATTGAGTGGCAGTCTTCCACTGCGTCGACCCTCCTTCTCCTTTTTCTCTCTCTGTTTCTCCAGCTTCTCCTGGGCCTTACGCATTTCCTTCAGCTTCTTCTTGATCGTTGAGCGGTCGCTCTGACTCGACACACCAAGAGCCTGAAAGAACAAATGCACAGATTTATTAGAATACCACCACGTCTGAAAAGTTACCCAAAAGTTTGTGCACCTAGAGCCTGCTCAAAAACGGTTATCTTATCACATGACATGCAGAAGCTACAAGGCAGGCAAGTGGGAGATGTAAAGACAGGAAGATGTCGAGGTTTTTGCTTTAAAAAAAATATTATGAATGTAGTGTGAAATATGAAATTTGCTTGTTTGACCATCATACAAAGTAACTGTTAATGACGGCTTCACAACAATAAAATCAAAGTTATTCACCTGCCTCTAATTTCAGGTGACATTTGTACATTTCTTAAAAAAAAAAAAATCACAAGATCGAGCAACAATATAGAGGGATGACAAAAATGTTCTCATCCAGAACCTCTCTATAGACCTCTCTCTCACTACTGGTCCCCAACCACCGAGCCCCGGACTGGTACCGGTCCGTGGATCAATTAGTACCAGGCCGCAAAAAAAAAAAAAGTTGATTAAATATATTTTTTTCTTTTCATCCGTCCTTCCAGTATTTTATTTTGAAAGACCACCACTTCCGCCATCACCTCACTTTCGCGCTTGCCCTTGCAAAAATGAGCCAGAAATAGAGTTTACTGGAGAGAGAAAGGGTTGATTCTGCATTATGGTGAGTTGATGTTAAAGTGTAATGAAAAGTGCCTAATATAAAATGTTATTGTTGTATCCAGATTACATACTATGTACTGATTAAGGTTTTTGTTATTGGAACCTCCGCTCCCCTACCCGGTCCTTGGAAAAAGTTTCCTGCATGAAACTGGTCCCTGGTACAAAAAAAGTTGGGGACCACTGCTCTATATGCTTTTCCTCTCCAAGGGGAAACTGTGCAGAATTATAAAAATGGGAGAGAATATCTGCAGCCACAAGGTGGCAGTCAAAGGCTGAGGTTGGCTAACTAATATGCTGGGGTCTTTGGCGACATCTTCAACTTTATCATATTGAGCCATCATTGTTACATCATAAAGACCACCCTGATGAATTTCTTACTAACTTGATTTGAAAACTCACCTTCAGCTTGTCACTGTCCAGCTGTAAGAGCTGCTGGCCGTCCACTCCCTTAGCCGTGAATTCAGGTGTGTACTGGTCCATATTCATGCCCATCAGCCAGTGACAGACCTGGTTAATGGTCCAGTCACTAACAGGTCGGTTTTGCCACTGATACTCCTTTCCTGAAGCTATCGGCTCATCATCCAGAGTCTATGGAGGACACATACACAGACACAAACAGAATTAAAATATAAACACACTATGAAAACGACCACAAAGCTCAAGTAGTTTCGTGTCATCAAGTCACTTTCCTTTGTGTGCATGTTTATCCATCATTAAGGTGAAAAACGTTCAAACATCATAAAAGGTAAAGATAACCACAGTAGATTCACATCAAACAAAAAAAGAAGTTGTAAATTAAAGTCTGCTGAGATAGACATCCCAAAGCTGACACAGCAAAAAAACAGACGTGCAATGACAATGAAGTCATGCCAATAACATTCTCAGCTGCAGCTCTCTGTGTGTATCTTGATTCTGTTTGAGGAAAGCTGAGACACTTGACACTGACACGAGTAAAAAAAAAAACACGGGCCAGCAGACAGCGAGGCGGTCAACATTGTTCTGTGGTCTGCCAAAGCTTGTAAAGAACATGAGGCACTAGTTGATGGTTCCAATAGAAGCAAGCTAAGAACATCACATCTGACTGAAAGAAAGCTGAGCGGCAACACTTTTCGTAACACAAAACTGAACAGCTTTGATACAAACACACGCAAAAACACACACACATGCAGCTCTTTTCTGTTCCCTCTGCATTCACTATTTAATCTCAGCTATGAAAGCCGAGGGGAAGCTCAAAGAGCATGCTTGAGAATGTCCCCTTTCAGCTGCATCAAGGCGTCCCACACAGCTTTTGTGTCTGTGCAACAAGGAGAGCACTCACCTCGCTGGAAGAGAAGATTAAAGTGTGTGAGCGCCCAGACAGATTGGGCTCAGCGACTAACCCAGAGATGTCTGAACTGGGACTGGCAGGGTTAGAATCATCTATGACTGAAAAACTCTGGAACAAGTGGAAACAAGGAACCAATTTACTGCAGTCAAACATCACCAAACAACAGGTCTTTGCAAACAACACAGGAGTGAGGACTGAATTAAACCGGAAAATTTAGATTAATGGTATTAATGATTCAGCTGTTAATGCAGTGGCAGCAATCCAGATCATTTACGTGAACAGTGAGTGACTTTGATCATCAACATGTGAAAGACAGAAAGAAGATCGACTACTTTGTTACACGAATCAATCAAATCAATCCACCACCAGAACTACATCAACAACGTCTACTCTACAGCAACCAGCACACGACTACTTCTACTGAAAAACAAGCACACACACGTCAGGTATGGGGTAATGTTTCAGTTTAGTAGATGCCTGTAATGATTTATTAGAACAAATCATTCGATCGTCTTTATTTGAAATTTAAATATGCAGGCGGTCGTCTCGAGTTTAGGAATTATACACCAAATAAAGCAGGTTGTGCAACATGAGTTTGTATTATTAAAGCAGTTAACTTCTGATGATCTGATCAGCTGGTACAACAAGTCCCAGAAACAAGGGATGTAACAATACACTAAATGATAATGATACCATTTATAAAGCTGGTACTGTTTATTCACATTTTCCCAGGGTGCAGGTTCGTAAGTTTATGCCCCATAAAACTGTTTTTGTGATGCTTCTTTTCTACATTTTTACTGCCCTGATTCTAGGTAACTACTTTATTTAAAAAAGCTTTTACTTTGAAAGGACACTTGAGGCATCCCCACAGGTTTGTATGGTTACAATAGTAAATAAAAACAGCTTAAAGCACAATCAACATCCAAAATTACATTAAAAATAAGCACCTGTGACCTATGCCTTTATTTTGTCTGTTTGTCCTTCTTTCTCTCTGTGATGTGCAGAGCAGGTGTAAGTCACCACTAAGGATGTGCAGTGAAGACAATGGTTGGCAGAGATGGATATGGATTAGGGGTGTCCCGATACAACTTTTTTACTGCCGATACGATACCGATGTTGTCGCCTTCAGTATTAGCCCTTATCGATATTGATCCGATATTAGCACATTCTTATGCATGACAAGTTTTGCACTTTTCAGACTTTAATGAAAAATACTGCCACATGTCCGACATCACTCCTACTCCTTCCTACTTTGTTAGTCTGGAATGGACATCTTGTATTTAAGTGCTTATATCTGAGATTTTAGATGCAGGCTGATGTAATCTGATATTTGTTATTTGCTGATATCGGACTGATGTCTGATATCGATATCGGATCGGGACATCCCTAATATGGATCAGTCTTATTTATAGCCGATTGTTATGTTATTGGTAATAGTGGTAAATATTTGAACTGCTATATGGAAGTCAAAAGCAGAGAATGACCTCTGCTATTTGAACAAAATGATACATGGCCTCACCAATTCATCATTGCGAGTATAATTTTTGGCAGTCTTGCGAGGTATCGTTACATCCCTACCAGAAGCTACTTTTGGCTTCATTATTTTCCTCTCATGAAAGCCACAAAGATTTTTGGCTGAAGCGATGGGGAATTAAAAAAAACACAGCAGTTATTACGACTGTGATCAAATTTAAGAGATGAGTTATAACACTACCACATACCAACTACAGAAGATATAGAGATTACATCAATACATACAACAGGATGTATTGAAGTGAGACATTAGTTAGTAATGCTCTACTGTGTCATCTATAATCAAAGGTGAACAGGAATGCATGTATACTGTACCAAATCTAACGATCGACTGAATAAAGACGACCAGGAGAGGCTTGTCTGTTTGAAGGAAACACGGTTCAGTGAGATTAACGTCCAGGCAGAATGGCATTAACAAAAACTACCACGAACAATCAAACAAACTTCACTTTTCTCAGAGTAATCAGATCTCCCTAACCAAGTCTGCATCTTGAACTTATTAAACTGCATTGTGGGAACTGTATTCTGACCACAGCCTGTATGACAGTTAGCCATGCGTTTCACTGGAGGCTTTGATGTGTCACTACTTGCAAACTCATTAAAAGCCACCAGATCTTCACTGTTAACTCTCTCTGGTGGCTGACATATGGATCCAGTTATTGAAGACTTTGTATGTTGAAGCTTATTTTAAGATCAGTCCAGAGACGGCACGTGTCTGGAAGCAGCCTTACATTCATGTCTGCTTTTTCTACTTCAGAGGAACAACATGTCATGATCCTACAGACGTCTTGATTTCACTTATGTGATATAAAATTAAACTGTTCATGCAAACACTTTTGCTCTTCTTCACCCTTGGTTAAATACCTTATTCTTGCGATCCTGGCATAGCTCACTGCTGTTCTCGTTTGCAGTGTATGGCAGACTGCTGCTGGAAGATGAGGGCTCTCTATCCCTCTCTTTGTCCCCAAACCAGGAGAAGGGCATACAAGTTGGGATGGAAGACAATGACTCTGCAGGGGACAGATTTCCTCCAGACTCCTCTAGCAACTCTGCCGATCCCCTGAACATTTGAGGACAGAGAAAGACATGGAATATTTCCACTTTATATATGTTCCGCATTAACATTCCTAACAATAACATTATTATTACCGCCTGATAAAGGGGGCTGTATGGAGATTTGGCAGCAAGTAAGTAGAAAGCTAAACATTTACATCTCAAAAAGAACATAAATGCCATAAACACTGCAGCTGAAATAAACATACCGTGAATAACCCTTTTGTTTGCAGTTTAAATGTAGGACTTGTGTAAATGTTTGCAGCAACATATAAAGTCGGGATGAATCAAAGACATATAAAGCAAAGATGAGAAGGTGTGGACACTTATTTGATGTTTAGATCATCGCTGAAAGTTACAGGCAAGTTAATAAGAAAGCACACCTGCTGTCCAAAGATGCTCTCATCGCCTCCTTGTCATGTTTTTTTCCTTTGCCTCCTGATTTTCGCAGTCCTCTGTTGGAAACAGTAACGTGTCACACTCACGGTTGATAACAAAACAACAACAAAAAGTTGCTGACTTGAAAACATGACAGTGATCAATAGAAACTCACCCAAAGTCTGGAAATCGTCTCTTGGGTTTCCCAGCAGATGAGGGTTCATTCAGCTCCTCTGCAAGGAAACATCAGTGATCAGACTCAAACATGAAGCAGGAAAAACAGATTTTTTAGTGCAGCTGTGATATTTTGCTCCAGTATACCTTTGAGCTCTTTGCCCTTCCCTTTGGACTCCCTCTTCTTAACATTGCGCATGAATCCAGAAGGGGAGTGAGGTGAAGAGTTGTCTTTTGGAGGGGACAAAGAGGGGCTTCCACAGCTTTCAACACTGTCTCCCAGTGAGTGAGACAAAGAGGGGCTGCTGGACAGCTCTGTCTTATTCTTGGTCAAGTCTTGATTTTCTGCTGGGTCATCTTTCAGTCCCTTTTCAGGATAGCAGACAGGCACTGGGAGAGACAGGCTCTCCTGGATGGACCTCCTCCTCCTGGGAGATTCCTGCTCCTCCTGCTGCTCGTCTTCTTCGGTTTCCTGTGGGGACAAAGCTAATTATTTACAAGGACAATGCAAGGAAGAGGAGACGGACACTATTTATAAAACATAAAGCTCTGATCTCCAGATCTGATTAACACAGTCCGGTAGAAAAAGACTGTACATTACAAACCTCTGGCACTGAAGTTAAACTGAAACTGGAAAAGAAATATATTTGTTGGTGCAAGATCAACTTGAAGTCATCGGTGTGTCAGTGATTCTCAGTAATGATCCCTGTTCTTCTGTGGAATAGCTGTGAATAACTGTTGATTCAGCCTTAACTGTTCGCTGTTTCTGACAGATCTGAGTTCACCAAGAATTGAGCTTGAACACAGTAAGAAATTGGCCAGGCCTCAAAAGCAGTAAGACTGACTCAACAATTAAGCACCTCTGCATGAAATCCCCCCCTGTGTTTAATGTGACTGATGACTTCATACCTACAAAGCTAAATATTACTCAAGTGCCTCCTCTGTAGAAGAAACACAGACTGTTGGTCACTCTAAGTTTGTTCTGAGGAAAACTTTTTTTTTTACCATAACCGTGTCTGAGAGTTTCATTTTCCATCTCATGCTTTAAATCACTGACTCTTTAATTAATTTTAAGGCTGGTACAACTTGGAAATTGAATTTTGCGGCATATAAATCAGGATATCCTGATTAGCTGACCTGGCTGACCTGAGAGTGGTCTGAAGCCACGGCGAGGCTCTCTTTCAGTTTGTTTCGAGACGGTGGCTGACGTTTGGCTTTCTGTGCCAGCAGGCCTTTTGCTCTGTGTACACTGGTGTCCAAGCGTTCGGTCTCAGGGACCAGCTCACTCCAGTCTTGATCTGTGCAGGAGAGAAACAAGCATCGCAAGTGGGTCATAAGACACTGTGCACAATTTTAATTATTGACAGAGGTCAGTGGAGTTCATGATGTGTGCTAGTGAATGTTTAACAGATGACACTGTCAAAGTAGGGAATGCACATTTCCGGTCTGAACCGAGTTTAATTCAGGTGACCTTTTATCATACCGAGTAATGAGTCGACAGATTGTGTGTGGGTGACCGAGTCTTCAATACTTGGCGTCCCCTCGGTTGCTGTGTCCTGACCATTCTGAGGCTCCACATATGAGATGCCCTTTGACTCCAGGACAGCTATCTGTGGGCAAAACGTGGCTCATTAAACTGTTTGTGCTCTTACTATCAGTGAGCACAGTTATTCAGAACTGAGGACTTACTCTGCACTGCAAGCTGTCCAACTGCTCCCTGTACCACTTGTCCTTTTCGTCTAGCATCTTTTTCAGCTCCTCTTCTTTCTTCACAAAGTCAATCTCTCTGTGGGAAGAAACAAGGGAAAACAGTTTCCGATCAGTCGTTCAGCTTGTATGCACAGTCTTTTGTATGTTCAGATGAGATTTGGAGAACAACCTTATTTTAATTATCCAACGACACACACAAATTATTCAGTTTAGCTACTGAAATGATTCAGTAAAGAGCTATTTAGTCAGTGCAGGGTCTCTGCAGGTATCAACAAATCAAATGTAATACTTTTAAAAGACCATAATAAACCAATTTAAGACCAATTTAACATCCATACAGGAAAAAAAAAAGTACAAAAGACATAAAGGAAAATCAGAACATTTCACATTACTTCAAATCAATCTTTATTCCTATGGCATGTAGTTTATTTAGTCAAATTTTTAGTACAATTTTGAGACCTTTAAAAATCGTATTTAAGATGTTTTATGAGATTTCAAGGGAATAATAGACATTCTAAGGCCTTAAATTCAAATTGTTAGATTTTAAATATTTTAAGACTTTTTAGGACCCTGCGGATACCCTGCAGAGTTTTGTTATCTTTGTTGTTTACTGACAAGACCAAAACTCATTCTGAACGGAAGTTTTAGTCTGGTAACTTCCCTTTTCCGGCACAAAAAGGGAAGGTACTTAAGTTCAGGTATAATAAATAAATTCATGCTTTAAGTTTTGGTGTCACTTTCCCAATCTCTACCATCTGTCACTACCACAACGTCAGATGAATGTGTTTTGTTACATGAAGAGATTTTTTTTTTCACATTGAGGATGGTTTTTAACCAGTGGTGTAATCCTGAGGTTTACTGATTACTGTAAAACTAACAGGGAAAAACTGTTTACAGTGAAGTCTGTACACAGTTTTCTTTGTTTTCGGCAAACACAAGCATAGTTTCTCTGAAATGTTGGTGTTCAATATTTTGAACACCACAGAGAGACTCCAGTTGAAGGCCTTTGTATCTGGGTGGCACAGATACCCCAGCGATATCCTCAATCCTCAGAAGATATTCAAGATTGCAGAGGGAGTCTTGACTCCTTACACTCTGTATACATTTTGTTGGTTTGACTGGTTGGAGTAAGTAGAGGCTTCACTCCTTTTACAAATTATTACCATTAAAATTTCTCCAGACACGTCAAGCTTGCTCCACATCAAATCAACATTTTCTTCTCTGGAGTACTTTAAGGCAGCACATATTTTCAAATCAAATCTCACTTATTTTTATTTTAGATTTTGAAACAAGTGTCTCTGAATTCGACATCCACTGATTGACTTTTCATTGCTCAAGCTTTTTTCAAAATGATCTGAAAGTATTTTCTAAATTTATGCACAATGTTGTTTTCCTTAAGATGTCTTGGATGAATACGCTTCATGAATAAACTCAGTTGAACAAATGAGTGAATTCAACAGCACTGACTCCCTCAACAGTGAAGTGTTGTGTAAATGAAGACAAACTCACTTCTGTTGGTAGTCCTTTAGCAGTTTCTTGGCCTTGTTATACTTCTTGTCCAGGGTCTCATGCTGGGCCTGAGTCTCAGCTAATTGTTCATTCACACTTTTGCACAGAGCCTGGGCCTCCAGCCAGTGACTCTCCAGCTTCAGGATTTTTTCGTTGCTGTCCTCGAGCTTTTGCTCCAGAGCAGACTCTCTGGCTTCCCACAAGGATCTGTCCTCCTCAGAAGCTCTTAGCTAGACACAGGAAGAAACGTGTTACTTTGGTTTCCTTGAGCTGAATCCGTTTACAAAGAATGGCATTTGCAGTTCTTTGGTGAAATACATTTATTTAAGGGTTGTCTTGTGTTCTTGAAAGTGCATCAATAATTGTAATGCCATTTTTGAACCCACCAAAACAACTTTCATAATTATCTTTAGAATAAATACCACACAGACATTATAACTAGTCTTAAAACACAAGCCACACATATGCAGTACAATTAGTGATGGAAAAAAACATCATTTAGTCTCCTATAAAGTTTTCATATGTGCTGAGTTGATCATATATTTAATTCTTTTGAATCTTTTCAATGTCATGAAAACAAACATGAAGAAAACAGGAGTTTGTGTTGTCATACCTTTTCTTTAAGTTGACTTATTTCAGCAGTGGCAACACCATGTTTGAGCTGCAGCTAAGAAGAAACAATTGAAAAAGATATATGACTTGGTTAGAGTCTCTTGCTGCGTGTAAAAATCCATATTCTGTTGTGAAACACTGAAACTTCACTTCTATTTTCATGATGTGGGTGATATACCTCTTTGAACTTGAAAGCCATCTGAGAGCTGTCCATGTTGCTCGGCATAAACAAAGCCTCTGAATCAGGCAACTCAAACACCTCTACGCTTTGTCCTGGGGAGAAATTGGAGCCCAGTATCCTCTCATCTGCTCCGTCTTCCTCCTCATAGCGCTCCTCCTGAAATATGGCATCACACATCTGATTTCTGCAATAGCTTCACACCCTTAATGGATTACATGGTACGTGTGTGTGTGTGTGTGTGTGTGTGTCAGCAACACTCTCTAGAGCATAGATCCTGATAGTCTTGGTGTACTAAAATTAGTACATTGGTGAGTTGCCTATGGCACATCTTCAGCATTAAACATTACCTTTTACCAATGTCAGTCAACAAACACACCTTTACTCACACTTTGCATGAGGACAGAGTGTCACTTCCTGAATGTGAGCTGAGCAACATTCCTTTTTATCTCTCTCTGCTCCAGTAAATCCTGCACATATTCTCTCTCTCTCTCTCTCTTTTTCTCTCTGCCTCTGTTTTGTCAAAACAGGGCCTGTGGCTGCATGAACTTCAGAGAGCAAACATTTCACAACTCTCGCAGACAGGCAGCACTCAAATGAACACCTTCCAACACAGCAGAAGACTTGTGACATATGGCTTACTCACAGCCAGCTGCACCCTGCTCCTGGTTGAGCTGAGTGGGATCTAACTGGGTGTGGCAGAGGGGCTAATGCTATGTTCATGGCATGTCGGATTTACCGCAATTGGGAGTTTCACATGAACAGAGCCTTCACATGAACATTCATGTAGTAATTATGGATGCCTCACATCAGCCAAAGGCTGTTGTTATAATCCTCACATGAGTAGTTCTGGAGTCATTCAACCCTCCCAGTGACACAAAAGCCCACAAGTTGCTAATTCAGGGATTTTACGCTTTTTCAACATGTCACAGCCGACAATACCTTATATGACAGGAAGACCACACAAGTCTGACCTAAAGACCTCATATGACTCACCTCCTCTGTCGAGTGTTCGTAGTGGTCATCAAACTGCTGCTCCTGTTGTTGTTGCTGGTTCTTCTCTTGCTCTAGTGTCTCACTTATAAGGCGAGCTACCTCACTTTGTGTACCCGGCTTCTCCCGTCCAATCAGGAATCTGTTTGTTTGAGTCAAATTCAGTGTGTTAATGATACATACAGGTACATTCGATGACGCAGTCTTTTAAATATGGTTGTTCTGGTGTTACAAAAACAGACTTTAAAACTGACCTCACTGTGCCCTTGGTGTTCTTCAGGACTGTAGCAGCAAACAGCTGGGTGACTCCCACAAGACTTATACCATCCACCTCCACGATCTGGTCGTTCACCTGAATCCTGGAGATAAAGGAGATCAAATTTATGAGAATTCTTTTTCAAACACAGTGAGGTAATGCTCAACATGTGGCACGGCAGCAGAGACATAAAAATACAGTAGCCTTGATCCCGTCGGTGAAAAAATGATCTGAAAAAAGCTTGGGAACAGAAGTTCTGAGGCTATTTTCTTTAGCGTCCATGGGATGTTATAAATAAACCCAGTTGTTTGTGTCTTATGTGTCACTGAGCCCTGGAGGGATGAGTAATTTCTCCAGTGTGACACAAAGATTTGTTGTGGTTGTGTAGTCTTCAGTGACTGTTTGCTGTATATCCGGCCATGTACAAAACTTCACAAGTATGTCCTGTTATTTTTTTTGTAACAAAACAAGATTACAATTCTGATTGGGGCTGAAAAGGGGTGTGGGGCTTTGACTCACCGTCCATCATTTTCAGCAGCTCCTCCCTCTGTTATGGTTTTCACAAAAATGCCAAGCTTCTCTAGACCCTGGTCTGCTCCTACTCCCATCCCTATGATACTGATGCCAAGTCCGTTGTCTCCTTAAGGCAGAAAAGATTGTGGATGATTTGTCAGATGAACAACTGAATACAAAAAGGTTTGGTCATATATGTATGTCCCCTTTGTTACATATTAAATCATTTATTTTTGTTAGAAAGGTTATAAATAAATATTTGATTTCATTGTTAGAGTTGCTAAACGTACCTTTCTCAATCTCCACAGGGAACACATCCATCTTCTCCACTCTCTTCTCCAGCTCATACTCGGCAGACGCTGCGACTGGGTCCACATCATCATTACGCCGGTCATATTCCTCATTGGAGAAGGTGGTGAAGACCTAGGTTGGTCAAAATATAAAGGGCATGGCATCAACACACCACCATTTATGACTTCACCTAGTTGTTAAACACCAGGGAGACTAGACTCATGTAGAGGTGTAACTAAAGGATCTACTCAGACACGAGCAGATTATTTTTACTTTAGAGTTCATGTTAGGGCTGGGCAATAAACCGAAAATTTACAGATACCGAAATTTACGAGTATAACCAACATCATTTTGCCTATTTCGGTATATTCGGTGTCAAAAAAAATAAACAAATAAAAGTTGGTTTTACCCCATCCAGTCCATAACAAAGAGGGAAAGACAGGTGAGGAGATGGAGGACGGTTCAAAATTTGTAGTGGCCCGAGCGGCGGCTGAATTACACGAAGTTAATGTGGGAGGAGAGCAGCTTGTGAAGTAGTTATCCTCCATTTATCATTATCAAGGTGAACTGCTCAATACATCGTGATATTGATTTGAGGGCATATCGCCCAGCCCTAGTTCATGTTCATGATTGTGGCCAACATTTTTAATGTAGCATCTGGCAAACCCAATGTTTCTGAATATTTGTACAACCAGACTAACTCTGTGCTCCACTCTTGCATTTCCTTCACTAGACTCATAAGTCACGCTTTTTTGAACAGATACATATCCAATGTCAACAACACAGAAGCAGAGGATGAATTTCCAAGACACTACTCTAATAAGAGCTCGAAGAAGTTGTGAACTCTGCATGCAGCCCTAAAAAAACATTGAATTTGTCCCAGGGGCTGTCGTCTGGTTGGAATTAAAAAGCTAATACACACTGTGCAGCAGAACATGAGCAGCATGGAAAGTAGGGCACAGCTGGGAAGAGCTAAGCAGTGGATGGAGCAAAGATCAATGCTTAGAGGCAATGAGTGTTGTCATCAGTATGATAAACAGATCAAAATAAAGAAAAATATCAGGAAAAACTGATCTCCTTACCTACAGATAAGAAGCATGGCCCTGCATCACGCTCTACCTAGAGGAACATAACACAACAAACCTCTGTGCTGTTTACCTTGACCAACACTGATACCAAGCAGAGAGGATACCTTTAATCCACTCCTAGAGACACGCAAAATTCAGTATAACCATATTCAAAAATGGCTCAATGACCACCTGCTGTGACTCTGTGATCACTGACTACATATCATGTGAAGTTCATTTGAGGTCCACAGCAGTGCAGAGCAGAAATGTTTCCAAGAGACTGAGATGGCATCTTCAGGGGCCTGACACGCCTCCAAAAGGGGTCAAAAGAGGTTCAATTATGTGATCTACTCTCCTGGATTTTTACAGCAAATTTACACAAACAAATATTTATACTGTATTACCCTGATAGAAGTGAAGTTTGTGTTGTTCTTAAAGTTGCAATGAAATTTAGATAACTGCAAAGGGTTTTTCTAACTCAAACATCCATCGTAGATTTTCTATTTAACTATATGTACAAATGATAGGATAAAACATTTTGAGGGTATTCTCAGAAGTATTTTAGAGTTAATTTTATAAAAAAACTTTGGCTAAAACTTAAAAAAAAAAAAACAAAGAGTGATGATGGCGTAAACCAAAAGAAGGACTTCAGGACTGATTACAACACCTGCTGTGAGGAAGCATGATGTAATCTAACACATGATATTTCCACTCTTAAAACAGAGTTTGCAGCTCAGATCCTGCAGCATGTCAAGACTTGATGAATCAACAACAATCTCTTTCACTCTATTTGTCTGCTCACTTTGTAGCCTTTGGACAGGGGCCCAAAACTGTACCGAAACTGTTCAATTTCTCAAAGTGAATAACTACAGGAGCTTTGTCTTACAACCTTCTGATTTTCACACGGATTCAGCTCAGTGTCATCATTCTTTGTTATCTTAAAAACAAGATAAGTACTGGTTTTGGCTCCAGTATCACTGTCATAAAGCCTCCCAAAGGAAATGAAAGAAGATTACAAACTTGCCCGTGCACACTGCTGCAGCTCTGTGGTACACGCAAGACTACCTCGTACTTGTTTGAGCTTATTTGCATGCTCTTTATAAGTAGGATCTGTGGATTATGCATTTTCCACAGAAGAATTTAACTTTTATGATAAGAGAGCTATTTATCCTATTTGACCAATACTACATGTCTCTTAACAATTAGCCTCAGAGCAGTTTTACAAAGCCAGTCCAGTTCTAAAAGAGACTTTGAAAAGTGGATTAACAAACGTACGGCAGGAAGAAATTTTCAAGTGAATGAAAGATGTTTTGTTTAGACTTTAGAGACTTTGGTAGTTAAGGGGTTGAAAATGTTGGCTCATAGAAAATTAAGGAGCACCACTGCAGCCCTGGCCTCAGTATTAGTTGAGAAGCAACCATTCAGACTGGATTCTCTCCTCTATCTCCCCCCCGACTCCAGTGACTGACTCTCCTGTTGCCATGGACTCTCAGGCCTTTTCCGAACAATGTTCTGTTCTTTGCTGAAACCTAATCACTCAACCGCCGTTTTCTCTGTGAAGAGGGGCAGAAATCAACCTTTTTATTAGCTTCTTCTTTGCAAACATGCCTGACACACAAGCTAATTTTTATCACCATCTCAAGTTATCCAAATAAACAATCGTTTTCTTTTCCGGTTCATGCCCAGCCTATGGTCAGGAACAACTTACGTACTTAAGACAGAAAAACGGAAAGAAGAGTTTCAAGTTCATGCAGAGAAAGGTATATAACATGTTAATGCCAATGTCGTCCACCAAAAGTGTAACTACAGTCACTGAGTTAGTGATGTGGGGGAGTACACTATTGTACCATCCTCATATTATTAACCAGTTTCTCCTGGAAACTTCGCTCACTGCAGTATGTGTGGGCTTTTCATCCATCTTTAACAACTGCAGCAGCAGACTGTCTGGTTAATGTGTGCTCACAGATGTACATATGCCCACACCCAGAGCTAAAACCCATCTTTCCCTCGTCCCCCTCCCCACAACAGAATACCAATGTGGGAAATGAGTCAGCAGCTGTGAGGAAAAGCAAACCAGAGAAATCTCTTGCCAATGCAAAAAAAAAGTGAGCTGACCACTGGATTGTGGAGATTGTAAAGTAAGTAGGCCTACAAAAAGACAACAAATCAAAACACACTGTGGGAGTGAGTTGAGGCAGGGGTAGCGGCTTGGCAGATCATAGAGTAATTAGACTGGAAGGCATGGGGCCCAGTTTTCAGATCCTGTATAAACACACCAGGAGAAAGACCTAAATATATATCTAGTACTTTCTGTGTGCAAGCCGTTGGAATCATTAACACTTTTTTAAGTAGACGCTGAATGACAGAGACGACTATATTTATGTTTGAAGTAAAAGACCTACAGCAGGAAGAGGTGGAGTTAGATAAGAGCAGAGCGTCATATTGGTATCAAATTTCCAAAGGAGCACAAACATAAACAGGTTAGACAGGTTTGTACATAAATGGCCCACTTTTGTCCTGTGAAGGCTGGTGAAAGCTTTGGCACACTTTTTTTTTAAACTCCCAGTGAACAAAACACACTTTGTGTCCACTAACTTTTTAAAAATCTGTAATCACAGAATCAAAGTGCTTCAGGCAATCACCATCTCTCCAAGACTGATCCCATACTGAGCTGTTAAATGAACAGCATTGAGCGGCCCTGCATTAGTATTCCGCCACATTCAGTTGGATAGTCACCCGCTCGGCCAGGTGGCTGCAGGGAAACTCGGATCCTACAACGAGAGGGCCTGTCTGCTGCTTGGATGAGGGTGGAGTCTTGTCAGGCACATTCCTCTGGCCAACAGAAGACCCAACTCAGAGAGGAAATGGAAAGCATAACACTTTGGGATGGGTTGGCTTCAGAGGCCAGAGTCCAAAAATGGAGCACCCTTCTATTGTTTCAACCAACCATATGGAATATAAACAGGAGGGTGAGGGTGAGAGATTCTGTCCTAATGGAATCAGTCTCAGCAAGTGCAACACCAGAACATTTATAAATCTAAGTTAACCAGATCTTCAACCTCAACAATGTGGTTCATTAACTTACTAAGAGGATACAGAGTTTGAGGATACATTGGACCCACAATAGAAGCTAATAGACGCAAGGTGAGGTGAATACATCAAGCAACCAGTAAAGGTCCTTTCACACTGGGACTGTTTTTGTTGTGCGATTATTTCGGACGTCAGTATTTTTTTCCGAACCCGTATCCTGTCAATACAAGCGTTCACATTAGTGACGTTTTCCCGTCCTTTGATATTGCAGCATTTATTTTTTCAGATCATGGTCAATTTTTTAAAGTTTCGCATACGGTGTGTCCACTTCTGACCAATCAGATTGCGTGTTGTTGCAACATCAGATTCACCTGTATATCCAACATGGCCGATCGGCTGATTGTTTACAAGTCAGAGAACAGAGTGCTTTTTGATAAAAGACACAAACATTACAAAGATAACGACCTGAAGGACAACTTGTGGAGAGTCATAGCGTCGGATCTCTCATATGACGATAGTTTGTGTGCTTTAACAGTTTGCAAAACGTCTTTGTTTTAACGTTCATCTGTGCTAACATATGCTAACGGTTGTTACCATAGTTTCATGTGCTTATCTTATCACCTCTGATTGGCTATAAGTGCTGACCGTTTGGCTTGAGCGTGTGATGATGTTTCCAGCTTTTCTAGCCAATCAGAGGCATAGGAGGCGGGACTTTCCCTGGAAAAGTCATCCCCGGGATGCGTCTTTTTTACCCCGGGAAGTGGCAAAATCGCATCGGGCTTGATGTGTATAGTCAGGCGCGTCAAAATTCACCTCTGAATATTTGTACTTTCACGTTCTATATTCGTGTCAGCCCTGGTGTGTAAGGACCTTAATGCTTGAAGTGACCCTCTGACACTGTAGCACTTTCCAAATAACATCTTACTCTGGTGACCAAAATTCCAGTTTCATCAAGTTGCTGATTCACCGCAGTGTGAATAAATACAGATTTGATCTAATAATGCAACTGAGTTATTTCTGCAGCACAGCAAGAAATCCAACACCTGTAATTTTCTAATCTTGCCATAACATTTTAATAGCCATGCTGGTTTGCAAATTATACTTTCATTTCATTCTTTTGACACAAACAGCAGACTTTACCATGCATTGATGGATTTGTAGTTCATTTTCACAGGGAAGTTACAAAACTGTCTTTTTTACTTGAAAGTTTCCCCCCCTTGCTGTCAAAAATGATCATCAGTAACAGCTGGCTTAAACCACATTTGGATAACTCTGGCATTTCGATGGAGTGAGAGCCTGACTGGAGTATCCTGTGTTCTATTTAACCGATTTTCATTTTGATTATGTTCCTGACTCAAAAAGGTAATCAGCTTAAAAGACACTAAAGAATCCCACCCTACATAAACAGTGACAAAGCTCTGAGCTTGTCAGAATGCACATCCAGGACGTCTGCGCAACACTTTCAGGCACCCATAAAAGTCTAATGTGGCTCCAAATGTGTGTCAAAAATGTGCAGACTTTGAACCTGAAGATAGTCTGGAGATACTTAAAAGTTTTGCCACAGACATATCGGAAGCCAAACAGACTGGATCTAGTCTATCTGATTGTGAATAGTTGCAAACGTACTCAGCGCAGTTATCTACAGTGCAAACAGAGAAAAGACGAATTCTTTCAGTTTCAATGAACTCCACAATACTTCTCCACACTCTGCATGTCAAACAATGTGTTTGCTTGTTCAATAACTGCCAGTGGTTATTCCTATGACTGTGGGGGTAGGGCGAAGCAGCAGGTGCAGATCCTGGTGCAAGACCCTTTCTTTGTTATGGCTAACTAGCTTTTGACTCTTCATCCAAGTGCAAGCAGCACCAGACAAAAAACCATGATGATTTTCTTTCAGATTCCAGAAAACCACCCTGAACATGTAATTGTCCCCGAGCAGACGACACACCTTCAGCAGGGAGCGTTAATCATTGAATAACTCCTGGCTTTTTGCCAAACTATAGGAGTTCAAGGGGGAAGTGAAATCCAGTCCATGCAAAATTTAAAACTGCTGAACACTAGTACTCTTAAGGTAGGATACTTCCTTTGGAGAGAGACATGCCCAGACACACCGGCTCAACAAAACAAGTCTGTTTTTTCAATTTGCATTCATTCAGGAAACAACTTTCTCACTAAAGCCAAAGATGTAATTGGAAGTAGAGTTGTAGTATCTATGTTGTGCTCATACAGCCAGAAGGCAAAACTTGTATACTGATGCAGCAGAAATGGAATCACAGCATCTCTACTGTACTGGCCTACTAAAGCAGGCCTGTGTTCTATATAGAGGAATCCTCACACAAACCCTAATGAATGAGACATGAGGCCCTGATCAAAGCACTCACTGAAACTCACTGTATTTAGAGTCATTATCATGCAAATAAGAGCAAGAAGAGTACATGCTTGTCACTGATACACTCAAAATATCTGTCTAAACTCAAGGCTCTCTTTTTGGTAATATCATTCTCCTTTGTATATCAACCATAAATGAAATTCACTGTCAGCCCCTGCAAGAGTGATACATGTTGAAATTGCATGTCTCCGTCTCTTCACAAAGAGATCCTTTCTTCCACATGGGACACCTTCTCTGTCAAACAGACTCAGGTTACTTAGAGACTTAATCCCTGTTCTGAGTCAGGAGCACAAAGCACTTCCTCTAACACAGTGTGCTCTAGCTTGAGTGTGCTCGATTTCAGTGCCAGCTCTGACCAGCAGACTGTGGAGAATGATGCGGCGCTAGCAGGAGGCCTTTTGAAAGTCAGGCCACAGGTAGAAAGGTTAGCTAAGGGACATTTGTGTGGCTTAATTGGCTCCTGTGCATACCATGTAACCTTGACCCCATGATTTTAATCCAAGCACGTCATTGTTTTGACAAATCTCTCTGTGGCCTTTCCAGCCTGTCCAGTGGATGCAATCAGTCATGCAATGATTTAAAACCAAACAGGAAACTCTGACGAGTGCTTGGACAGCTCTGGACTTGGTACGTATCTGCTCTGTACATTTGTATTCCTTCAAATATCGTTGGCCACTGTATCTACAAACTCAAGTTTAAGTATTTTAGGAGTCCACAAAAAATAGTTTGAACTGTAGGATGTTCATGGGGTAACTTGGCTTTTCTCTACCATATTAATGTTTAATCAACATCATAGTTTGAAATGGTCAACAATGAAATTCAAGTCTATCTTTGTTGATCACATGGGTCCAAAGGGAATCCACTGCTAAGTTGTAATGAGAAAAGAATAAGTCAAGGATTAAAACGTTTATTATTTCAGTTCATTTAAGGTGAATTTTTTATTGGCTAGCCATTTCAAAATCAATTCCTCTCAGTAGTTATATTTTAGGAATGCATGCCAAACATTACTGCGCTCTGGCTTTTTGACAACAATAACTTGCGATTTTCCTCTTCTGTGTAGGCAAACTCTGTCACAAGATGACAAACTTGCCTCCAAGAAATCTGTCACACAGTTTCCTGGTAAACAGTGGGCAAAACTTACTGAGAAAAAGACAACCATAGCCCTATATTTTCAAACTCAGAATTACTGATATGCCTCAATATTCATACTGCCATTGAACTTGGTGAAACATAAAATGAAAAATGTTGGTGTGCTTCTATTGGCTCAGGTCAATGTAGATATAAGCAGTTGTTAGGAGCAGCACGCAAAGTGCAACACAGGGAAGAGACACAGTCTGGCATGTTGTTGTGAACTACAAAGCTGTGTTGATCTCTGACTCTTTCATAGCTCCACTTTGTACAGAGGAGGCGCACTGTTGTTTGCGACCTCCCCGCTACAGGTCAGCTTCTGGTCCCCTCTCCCAGGACCCCCTGCCAGGATAACTGGGATGAAGGGGGAGGGTCCACACCCTGAGATAACAGTGCATTTTCAGGCCTGGATAAACAGTGGACTGTTCGCAAGCTATGCGGAATGCATCAGTGATTTTTAGCTAAATGTTGTGGAGATACAGTGATGGTGGAAAATACTGTATATCAACGAAGATAAGCCCCTGAGTCCACCACACCCTGTGAACACCCACTGGGAGTGATTGCAACACATGATGTGAGCCAATATTAGGAGAGATTACACTACCTGGAAAATTTGTTTGAAGATGGAGCATCAAATGTATGTTATGGAAAGAAAGATTTGCAAAAGAGATCATACAGTTGGATAAAAAATGCCTCAACTCTTATATCTTTGCTTGGGAGAAGTGAAAAGTCCCCTTCAGTGTGATGAATGATTCATGGACAGATGGGAACTACACTGAGGGATTTTTTTTTAAAGTACCCATGCAATGCAGTGACTCAGAAAGGACCATGCTTTTTACTGTACAGTCTCAGGTTACACATGTCTCTACCTCACTGCTGCCCTCGTTCCACTGTGGTCCTGCTTTCACAAACTCTTATGCAATGTCAACAAAATTTCCAAAAATACCACAAACAGTGTTGCCACCACTTGTCCCAAAAAGTCTCTCCTCTCCTTATGTATTGTCAAACCACCTGCTCCTCTGATTTTTTGTAAAATTAAATGAACCCTTGTGTAGACTTTCTAAACTATGACAAGCTTCTCTAATGATACAGTGCAGCTGCTGTGACATCAACATACCTAACATGAGCTTAAATTCTCAGCCACCACAAATTTGTGGTGAGTCTGCTGGGAACCACCTGGGTCAGACATAGTTGCTGAGTCAGTGAGACCGTGGTTTACTAAAGTGGTGGTGTGCAAAATGATTTTAAGTGCCAGAGATGACCCAGAATAAAGTGGATGTAAACGAGTCAACGTAAACTGCTTACCTGTATGGGGTCTGTGGAGAACTTGATTTTCCTCTTTGGGGGAGGCTCTTCCTCGTCGGACAAACCAGGGGCCTCATAACTGTCTTCATACTCCACTTGGTTTTCCTCCTCATCTTCTTCTTCCTCATCTTCTTCCCTGAGGACCTGCTCTACATCTCTGTCATCCACAAATGCTGCGTTCTCGATACCGTATACTACTGGTGAGACTCGATCTAGGATGCTCTCGTCCACATGCTCGTCTGGTTCACTCTCCTCCTCTGCTACTTCATCATCCTCCTCACAATTAGCATCACCATCTTGACTCATAAATGAACTCTCTTCTTTCATCATAAAGTGATCGTTGTCCTCCAAAACTCGGCCTTCACCTGCAGTTTCTTCTATCCTTTGTGTCTCCTTTGCTACATCTCTTGCTAAGACTTGATGAGGGGGGTCACTGTTCAGTTTTTCAGAGGTGAAGGTTCTTCTTAGATCAGCTGGCAGATCTATGGGGCTCTGCGCCTTCTTCTCCTCAAACACATTATCTTCAACCATCTCATCCTCATTTTCATCACTCTCCGATGACTCATTCTGAACCACTACCAGCTCTGCCCGCACCATGCCCACCCCCCTGGGGTCCAAAGAGGAGGTCTGGCTGGGAGGTTTGTCCCTGGTAGGACTATGTACCACACTGTCATTAATCTTGGATTTTTCCGGGTACTTAGCCCTGTTCGTGTTGTGAAAAACACCAGCTGATGGAAGAGGCTGCTTCACATCCCTCTGGGGCTTGCCTTCATCCCCACCAACAGATGTCCTGTTAAATCCATCGCTGGATGATGAGGATCGTTTGTACCCAGGGCTAACTGAAGCTGTTTGCTCTGATGAGAGGGGTTTCCTTGTGGCCTCAGTTGTTGGAGAAACTGATTTGTAAGCTGCGTTGGTGGCTGGGAATGTTGGTTTGAGCCCAGCACTAGACCCCAAAGTTGCTGGTTTGACACATGTCGGGGATGTGTTTTTCTTGGCATCAGTAACAGGCATAGAGTTAGTGGCTTCTTTAACAGGCAGAGATTTGTGCGAGCTGTCCCTTGTTTGAGAGGTAGGCAGTGAGTGTTCAGTGGTGCTGTGCTGTTTAGCTGACACAATTCCTCCCTTTACAGGTGCTTTGTTGATGTCTTCCGAATCATTCTCTCCCATGTAACTGTCCAACCTTCTTGACATGGGTCCTGCGTTTAATGGCACTTTAGACACATGCTTTTTCTCATCCTCAGTGCTCCCATCTTCTTGGAATTCAGCTGTTGATGAAGGGGTTTGGTCTGTTTTCACAAATGTCTCGGAGGATCCTGATACTCTCCTTGTGCTTTTCCCCTCATCAGATGCACTTCCAAGAGACAAACGGTTTACTACCCTGTTTGGAGACTGTTTTTCCGCTGAAGGCTGCTCTTTGATGCCTCGTTCAAAGAGTTTTCTGGTCACAGAAAACTTCTCCGCCAAAGCAACTTTGTCAATCTCAACATCTTCCCCTTTGGGTGTTTTATCTAAATTGTGTGATTCTGGGCTTGCAGGGCTGTTGAAGTTAACTCTGTGTGTGTTGGCTGGAAACTGCAATTTTGTTGGGGACACTGGGTTTGCATCAGGCTTGATGGTCACTTTCCCTTCCTGGCTTTCTTGTTGCTGGCCATCCATCTGCAGAAATATGTTCTTGATCTTGTTCACCCTGGTCCCAAAAGGCCTCCCCCTTGAGTCCTCCCGGGTGTCGGTGGATCCATTAGCATATGATTTGGCAGAGCCGTCAGACTTTTGCCCATCAAAGGAACACTTAATGGCGTGAAAATCAGACTTGTACGCATTTCTATGAGGGGACGCGCTCCTCAGGGTCCTCTCGCCTCCTTTGCTCTCCGCTTTGATCATTTTTGCTTGATAACGACTGTAACCCAATTAGAAAAAGCTGGATTCAGAGGGACGAATGCTCTGTTGGTGAACTGGTTTCCCCTCAACTTTACGCAAGCGGTGCCATGGGTCCGGGGAGAGGGAAGGGGGGGCTTCTTTGGAGCACTGCTGTCTCAACTAAACACTCACAGAAAAGGCATCTGGAGAGAAAGGGACAGTAAAATGTGTTAGTACAGAAACCGGATGCCATTATCTCACGGTGCCTAACAAACGTCACTTTAGAGTACTTGCCTAACTCTGACTTTCTTGTTGAAAATCGACTCGTATTATCGTTGGAGGTAAGTTAACCGTTTGCTGAACTCTAATTGTAAGTAAGTTTGATAGATAACATCAGCGTTCACAGCCGTTTGTATGGAATTCGATGAGCGTCAAACTCCTGGCGTTAGTTCGCTAACGAGAAACCCAAACTATTCAGCGTCAAAGTCTCTGAAACTAGCATTACCCACCAAGAGAACAAACTTCAGCCGGTTTGTCGGTTTCTCTAGTAGTAACACGGCAGATACAAGTGCGGTTTAAAGTTTACCAGGGCCAACAGTACAACACAACTCGAGCGTTACTGCTCTAGTCTGAACAATTCATTGTGGCATTTCAAGTACGAGCCGTTGAAAACGTTAACTCCGCACGCAACTCTCTACAAAGGCGAATAAGTTTGTTACAGTCTCACCTTTACTCAGCTTCATCGTGAGAGGCTCCGAATACTACCTACGATGCCCCAGTTTTACAGTATCAAACTTGTCCCTTCTTCTTGCTCACCGCCATCATTCCCCGCTCCAGCAGCAGCGTTGTCCTGCCTCCTCCTCCTCCTTTGCACTTCCAGACCTATCGCGGGCTGCGCGCGCACGCCGGTCTCTGTCTGTGCAGCGCGCCGCCGCTGACGAGGACAGAGAAAGGGAGAAATCGGGAGCGCGCTTACATTCCAGGACTGTAACCCACCACTCCACTCCTCCTCTCTTTCTCCACAGCACAGCTCAGACACACACGAGGAGTTGCAGGAGAAAGGCGTGGGAAAGAGCCCGCTGAGCAGAAGAGTTCACCTAGACCACTACAGGGGCAAAAGTCCTCACCTAGACTACGAAACCACTCTCTTGACTCAATTTACTCACTGCATGCAACCAAGACTTTAAAAGGTTAACAGTGAGCCCTAAATTATTACCTTTAATACACAGTGAAACCAAATGTTTTCACACTTTCCATCATAATTTCAGATGCACAAACCCGAGTTCACCATTTACAAGGAGTAGTGCACCACACTGCTTGTTAAAAGTTGAATAAAGTCTTTTTTGGCTCTGAATGGGGCCCTGTTGATGTCATCATGCTTATCTTGGCTTAAAACAGAGATTCTGTGTTATCTGGAGTGTGGGGTTTGAAAACAGTTGTCATTTAGGAGACAAGAGAAGCCCAATAAAAGATGCTGTTGAGTTGCATCATGGAAAATGTAAGATAGTGTTTTGTAGTTGTTTAAACATCCATTAAGCTACAATTTTAACCAGACTTTTAAGATGTGTTTGATGCTCCACGATTTAGCAGACATTGATACCTATCTCTGGAGTGCATGTTCTGGAGAAACACTGAGTTTTTAATACACAACTACAGAGCAATGGCTTTTTGACAACTGATCAGTATACCTTTTTCCACAGAAGTCATTGAACATCTCCTAGTGTTGATAAAATGACACAGTGACAGCTGCAGGTCAACATCAATTGTTCCTTCACAACTGTTCATGACTCTGCATGCTAAGTCAATGCAACAGGCTGACTATGAGGTCTGCAAATACTCATGAACCCTCTAAAGTTATTGTCCTATTTCAAACTTGTGTTATGAGTTCAACAGAACTTATTTAAGTTCAACCAGAGGCTTTTCTTTTTAACATTGTTTTATTTGAATGTCTGTAAAGAGTGATGGAAACAATGACTTACCAAAAGTCTGAGTGAGTTGAGCTTCTCACAGAAGTAACTCCAGCTGCTGCCAGAAAGCTGTGACTAATATCAAGGCAAATCAAATTTATTAGAGAAAACATGTCATACTAAAAAAAGTAGCTCAATGTGCTTTATGTGTTGCCTTATAAAATTTTGAGAGGATATAGTCGCAAATTTAGAATGGTATACCATTTTGGGTGAAAATGGAAAGACTATATTGTGAGGCAAGCTCTATAGTCCTTTATAATATGGTATGTGTTCAAATCCATGTAGTTACCACAAATTAAGCATCATTGTAGAGAGCCTACACCCTGTTGCACCCTCTGCAACAGTACGCAGTTGCATATAACTGCTCTAACTGCGCAGAATAGCAGACAACTCAGACAACACTTTGGTTAAAACTCCAACAGCAATTAATGTTTCCTATTTGCTTATCATATTTAAAATCAAGTCCCCTCCTCAGAGAACACTGACCCTGTGACCAAAATCTAATTTAACAAAACTGACAGAAAAGTTTGAGCCTGCCTCATTCACAAAATAAAGAGTCACTGTTTTCATTCAGATCATCAACCGAGATAATGAATGAAAGTGTGGGTAGATTTCCTCGGTGGCCGAGAACCTAGATTGCAAAAATATCATCCAATCAGACTGACGTGGGAAATAGAATCAAGATTGGCTGGGTGAACAAAATCTCTTATCAGCACTTGCAAATCATCATATATTTCAGTGTGGGTGGCTTTAAATCAAATTTTTGTGACAAACTCATTAAGTCATAGTTTGAACTACTCCATAGCTGTGCATACATGTCTGATCATGCAAAGATTTTTTGTCATTATGTTTGAGTGAAACTTCATATACAGGATTTTATAACCGTGTGAAGCATCCTGAGTAAAATTACGTAAGAAAATGCAAAGAGGGAAGTAATAATTGATGCAGAGGACTACAGCATGAGGCCTGAGCAGATGGCGATCTAACTAGAAGGCATGTTTGTGAGCATCACACTGTTTTTCAGTGGCCTCCAGTCTAATCCCATTTACATTTTTAATTGGGTAAAGCATAAAATATTAAAGTTGCTACACAGAGATTTGATTGACAAAAGGACTCGCATATTAGAAGCGTATTAGTATAATGATTACTTGAATTGTACTTTAGCCTATTGTATCAAAGCTTTCAGTAAGTGTTACAAACCCCCAGAGAGTTGTCTCTGGAAGTTGTCCAGTCCTAAGGCATTTCCTCAGGATTTATCTACCCTCACATTCCCATTTGAGACATGGTTATCTGATGTATGAAGTTTTATACATGTTTGTAAAATGACTCGCACAAACAAACTGTACTTTTCACTTACATAAACTGCTTTATGTAGAGATCTGTTTATTTACCCTGTGCCTTACGGCTCCTCTGCTTTAAATCCATTTGTTTTATGTAAATGTGCAAACCTTTGGCTTTAAGTGTTGATGTGAGCTCTCACACTGGGAGTGAAAAACCTAAAACATGTCAATTATGGGGCTCTCTGTTTTTAACATCACTTCATTTGACTCAGGAATTTGAACCTTGCTCTTTTAAGAATGATTTATGTCTACAAAAACAAGTCTTCTATCTTGAGATGCTCATACAGGATGGAGCAATTAGGGTGAAGTTTGACCCTGAACAGCAGTAACTTAGCGAGTTTTACACACCAGTTCTAACAAATATATCTCCAACTGCTCCCAAGCTCTAAAATATCACTACGTGTGCACATAAGGGCTGCATGTGTCCCTGTGTTTACCATTTCCAGCTTCCTGGATCATCTCCTAGCAACCCTGGGCCTGAAAAGCTGTATACACACAGTCAGTGGGCTTTCTTCTGGAGGTAACATGGCACGCCGAAGCTGAGCCAGTGGTCCCATAGCAACCCCTGAAACAATATCCACTGAATAAGACAAACTAAATGGAAACAGAAGCAGGTGAAGAGCAGGTCAGAGAAGTCAGTGGAACCTTTGAGACATGTCTCAAAATGAATCCTGACACAATTAGGCGAACAAAGGTTTTGCAACTTCACCAGCTGTATTCACGCCGGCTACAGAGTGTGGGCACATTTTCTAAATTTTCCATCTTGTATTGTCATCTTACCTTAAAGTTTTGTGAAAAGAAGTGATGACAAAAGTCAGTGGCAAGTTTTGCAGTGCATGCTGATGTCTTCACAGATGCTCTGTTGCTGCTGTTAGTTGTTGGTATGCAGCATTACAGGAATGCATGTTTTGTTATGTGCGTGCCCCAGCTTGAGCTCAGCATGCACCTTCACTGTTTATCTTCTGAGGAGAGTGGGGGACAATGTAAAGAGGAGAGTAAATCCTGGTCACTGTGAGGATTAAAAGACAGCTGTGGACCTTCAAAATAAGAGCCTGTTGATTGTTCACTTGTAGGTCAGATATTTTACATACTTATATCCACCTGAAAGCAAAAGAAGCCAATAAAAATGTTAATAATGTGCATATTGAAATGAGCTATTTCTTGTTACCCCCCTTTCAAGATGCAGGACAGATGACTCATGCAGCCACTAAAAGTGTCAAAGTACATACCACACACTCACAGGATTTTCCCAATAAAATGCACGATGCATATTATTTCTTGGAAACTAAACAGAAGTTCGAACATTTTTCTCCTTGCAAAGGAGAACTCAAAATGTAAGTACTATTATGAGTCCTTGGTTACAGCCCCAAACAACCTCTGAAATCAAAGTCAAAGGATAATCCTCCCTTTTCTCTCTGAATGGGGATTTTGAATCTCATTCTGCCCTGATATGCTCATGTTTGACTTCAAAAAGCGAGAATACTGCCATCATGTGATAGATAGAGGTACAGGATTCTGGAGAATGGTCCAAAAAACATTGACAGTGAAAAACATTGCAGCCAGAACTCCCACTAGCACACACCTTCATAGCTTCATAGCATGGAAAGAAAAAATACATTCAGAGAAAGGTCATCATTCAGAGAAAGGTCAACTCTACATAAATAAGGGAGAGAAATTCTTCATAGATTTGATAAACAGCAAAAAACATTAAGTATTAGACAACATTGAATCACTGCTTAAAGCAACATTTTAAAAGATCGCATTCTACTTTCATTCCTAATAACTGTTTGTCTGTAGTTTATTGAATGTCCTTGAAACTTGACGCATAATGAAAGCCTCGCCCCCCTGCTGTCACTCCCACTCTGTCTTTAAATAGAGAGCCAACACATGGCTACAACAGTATTCAATGAAGTCATTAAAAGATTAGTTTACAACTATTTTTACCATCTAAAATAGGACAGAGTAGGTTTACAATTTTACTGATAAATCAGATGTATTAGGGATCCAAAAGCACTCTTAATTAAAACTGATTAAAAAAGGAAAAAGAATGAAAGAAGTAGACAAAAAGTTTCAAATATTTGTCATAGAGGTCATTTCAAAGCTATGATGTGATAGTTTCTTTATTTGGCGCCTGTCTCAGTTCATTGCCAAGGTAACTGATAGGGAGCCCAATGACTCTCTCATTATGTGGCCTCTTATTGCAAAGCGTCCTTTTTTTCAGGGCCATCACAGAACAGTTCCTACTTCAGTGAAAGAAAAGCTGTCATCTCTTGTATGAAGTGCTTCAAAAGGCAGTCACAAGCTGCAATAGTTACATGGATTTATTCAGGGGATGTATATTTTCCTCTTGAGTTCTGTACATTCACCATGATTTATAATGTGATGATAACGACAGAGTTATTCTGTAGGCTTCCCATAAAGTTCACCATGTCCTCTGGCTCACTTTTACAGGAGCATGTTAATACTCTGCAGCTGAGAAATCTCATACTGCACTGACTGGCTGATTCATTCAGGTACATATAGTCTCCTCTACCTGCACACAGCTGCTCAAGGCAAAGTTAATGGCTATTGTGTGCAGTCATGACAACATATTCAGCAAATACAAAGCTGCTACAATGAGAGACTCACAGGACATATTCTTCAGATTTGTACAAAGTAAATCTCTTGTCACGTTTTTTTGGGAACAGGGAGCTGTGGGAGTGAGACGCATTTGGGTGGTGACAAAAGCAGAGTCACCACAATGAGATCTGCATGTTTGAGCAGCTACCCAATATGAGCAACCATTCACACTTTGAAAATACTGGAAATCAGAGTTATTTCTTTTGCAACATGTGTGAACAAGAGAACCACGTTTAGGCTACATCAGTTTCACAGGTAGGGTAAGTATCTCACACTACAGTTCAGACATATTCTTAAGCAGTTCTTGCTTACCGCACAATCAATCCTACATGTACTGGGTTATAAATGAGAGATTCGCCTGTATCTGCTATTTGACCAATAAATGTAGTGCTGGTCAAAGGAGAGGGGAACATTTTCACCATGGCTGTTGATGAGTTTTTGACCTGTTTAAAGGGATATTCTGGCGTAAAATTAATTTAGGGTCAAACACACGGTAACACAGACTTAGACAGCCCCTCGAAAGATGAATGTTGCCGACCATTTGCTTCTCTAGTTATACCAACTTAAGTAACGACAGCATGATACTGTTGATGAAGTTAGGTGCTGTTCTGAGCATTATTTGTGGCTATAGAGTGGCGTTTTGGTTGAGGTTTGTGTGTGGCTCCTCAGACTGCTGTGTTTTGCTATCGTGCAGTCGTTACTGAAGTTGGTATAACTGGAGAAGCAAGCGGTCTGCAACATTCATCTCTGGAGGGAGTGTCTAACTTGGTGTTACGGTGTGTTTGAATCTAAATTAATTATATGCTGGAATATCTCTTTAAGGTAGACTAAATAAAACTATACATTTTCTGCCATTCTTTGTGTCATGAAAACCTTAAGGTTATGTCTGTTCCCTAAATTTTAAAATAGCAAGAAACTCCTCCCATAACAGTGACTGTTAAAACAGAAGCTATAAGGAGAGGTGCTTACTAACAGAAACTAATATAATTGCAAAGCTGTAGCCTGACATAAATGTAAAACAACTTAAAGACAACAAGTTTATTTGATTTCTTCATTGTAAACTAGTGCACTAGTGCACCATACAACTACAACTACAAGCTGCATTGTTAGTACATTAAATTTAAAGCTCCAAAGAGGGTTTTCTGTTTATGTGGAATTCAGTGAACAAAGTGGTAAACCTTTTATTGTTGCTGATGCAGTCTCGTCTTTTAGAAGGTTATTATGATAAAAAAAAAAAGAAACCTCCCCTGTCGTCTCAATACTATGAATATTCGCTGTGAGTAAAAGTAACAAAGGCTGTTCCCTCAGTGTACCTCCCATAGACTGTATATAGAATGGACAGCGTCTGCCTCCTTGCTTGGTGAAGCCACTGCAAGAACAGTACCCTCTGTTGACGGGATGCAGTATAGGTCATAAACCCCGCCTCCGCCAGCAAAGCTTATGGAGCTGTGGACAAACTTTATAAATTTATTACACAGAACATACATTTTTTCCCCCATTTTTCCCTCCATTTTCAAAAGTTATTATGGTGTTCATGTTTTCTATTATTGACACCTGATACAGCCAATGGGCGTACAAGGATTGTGTAGCTCACTCGGGAGATATGCTGTTTGAGCCGAGTGTCATCACAGCGACTCTCCCGCCAAATGCACACAATGCCACTGCGCAGTGTTGGTTTCAGGAAATGGAGAGAAAACACGGAATTACCGAGAGCTTTTTGGCTTCAAATCTGTATACTAGCGGAAGGTGGAACCAAGTTGTCTATAGTATATACAGTCTATGGGGTAAAAGTAAGACACGCTGTTCTCTCAGTGTACCCACTCCTTTGCAGCAATTACAGGCATTAAAAGTACAATATAGAAACTGTCAACCTTGACACCGATGGTCTCAGTTACATTTGTAGCCTACACCTCACTGATCATTTCAGGCTGTTTCGCCAACTTAAAAAAACTCCTTACAGTAGCTTTAATAAAAGATAGGTAAAGACCACATTCTGTCCTCTGGCTGTTAGCAGACATGTGTAGTCCCTCAAAAACCTTTCTAAGCATAATATGATGTTACAGCCTAACTTCAAAACCAATTGCTAACTTTTAGGATAATTGGTGTTGTGAGGAATATATTAGGCCAAAATGTACATACAAAAGAGCTGATTAAACTTGCATTCATGCTAATATCATTGCACTAAAAATTTTGGATTACAAATGGAAGCTGTATATAAACACACTCATATATATAATACATATATATTCAATATTTTGTATTTGCTAACTGAAAAGCTCTATCATGACTGAGCCTACGCATTAGCCAAAGCTCTACCCCCCGCTATTTCTGATCCCTGTTGCAGCAGCTCTGGTCAGGTGAAGCTCGCGGCAGCAGCAGCAGAGGGGCGGCATGTGTGCTGTCAGGAGGGGATGACTGAAAGCTGGTGAGGTGTGTTTGTGGTCCAGCCCTCTTTCACAGCCGCAGCCTCATCAACAGCAGCAGCAGCAGCAGAAACAAGAGCTCAAGATGGTAGCAGCGCACTCCTCTTCGCATTCATCGGAATCTACCGAGTGGATTATTTGTCTGGATAAAAGGTAAACTATCTTCATTCAAATGCGCTCACCATCTCTATTTAACGCATTGAGCGGAAAAACACAGAATTTTAGACGCGATTTCGGTTTATTTGTGATGTTTCAGAGCCTGGGTTAACATTCCTTTCATCCCCGCAGTTTTAATTTCCCAACAGAATTAATTAAATCGTGATACCTATGAGGATGCTGGCTTCATTATTGTGTATGGTTACCCTGTTTGGGAAATGAGTGTGTTAAGAGCCAACAGCCCTGGACAAACTCAATGACCAAAGATGTGTTTGAAGTGTAAGAAGCAAGGCTGCTAACTTTCGACATGTGTTTGATATGCTTTAAATATGCATAAAAAAACTGTTCTCCCAATAAACTTCTCGTGCTGTTTAATCACACTTGGTGATTAAAACCAGAAATCCATGATCCAAACCTACTGATGATTTATACTTGAACACCCATGAGGGATGCACATAATCTGCTCCAAATCACCATAGAGCAGTTGATCAGGAAAAAAAGGAAAAAGCTGCAGCACACCTGCCAGAAGAGATATTACCCTTCCCTGCAGCTGCAAAGGCCTACTGAAAAAAGTAAGAAAACGGGGTACCTGATACTAATACTGAAATGTGTTCAGAAAGGAAAAAAAAAAGATTTCAGATAGTTATGAATCATCATCATCAAATTGCGTCACTTTTAACAGGTGCAGTGTTGCACAACTGTCTGTCACAGTGTCTGTCATCAGCTGCAGAGAACTGCGTGTTTGGTCTTGCAACAAGATATGCACAAGCAGCAATCTATTCCATTGTTGTGAATTTGATAAACATGGTATGCTCTAAAGTTCAACATTTTAAGTAAGAAGCAGTATGTGTCGTAGCCAAGGTGATACCAGACACATATCTGATGTGAACTTTTATGTTTGTGTACTGCAGAGGGAGGAAAGACAAGCCTAGCGACAAAGAAAGGGTCCAAAGTGCATTAGCTATAAACAGCATAGTGACGCAGTGTGCCAGATGTGTTTGCACAGTGATATCCCTTGGTTGGATGTAGAGGCCACCTGTGTCACGCAGATCAAACATATGACTCACCTTTTCCTGTCACATACTTTATAAAGAGCGTCAGGTGTGCAGAGATGAGACGTCACACTGGAAATTTCTGCAGAATACATGAGAAGAAATCATGAAATAAAGTTTTTCACTGTTTGAGGTATTCGTGCTTTCATGAGCTGCCTCAAGATGACAGTGTTTTTAGTTGACTGGCTTGATAGACACCTTGGCTTTGAAACTCCCACTCATTCCTCTCTTGCTTTGTTTTCCTCAGCGTGCAGCACTTGATGAAGTGCACTGTGCTGAAAAAACGCAGTGTGGTTTGGAGGCTTTAAAACATTAGATGTGGCTAAAGGTGTGATGCTCCAGTCGATCGGACGGAGCATTGCGCAGAGATAGTTTAATGCACCCACAGGGAGTCGAAAGGTTTCCAGGGAACGCACCATGCAGAGCCATTTACTTGCAAGCTGTTGCTCAGTGCAGACCCCTCTATTGAACTCTGTAAATCATTTTCTGGAGCTGTAAAGCCAGAACTCATTTGCCTCTCTGAATTATTGAAACATCTCAGTTTCATCTTTTTGAAGGATGGATATGGATTCAGAAGTGATGTAAGCTACTGTACAACCACCCACATGTTACATCAGAGGCGCGGGATTCAGTGGAACAAATCGAGGGGCAGTGTATTGTGGCAACAGAGGAGTACAAAGGATAAGACACACACTGACACATCTGGGAGGACGTATGAACCTGATCACCATTCCCTGCTTCATATATGCTGGAATCAGTGTATTAAACATCTATGAATACAGTTTCTTCATGTAACCACTGTCAAATTTTTGTAACTTAAATATTATTTGTTTTCACACATTCATACCTTTGTTTAAAGATAAGATAAGAGGAACTTTATTGGTTTGCAGAGGGAAATTCAATAACTACAGCAGAGTATAACTGTGAATTCAGACCTTTTTCGAAGTGCTCCAGACCTGCTTCAGGACCTCATTTGCAGTTGTGCTGCTCTACCTGAACTAAACCTTATTGCTTATTTAAAAACATGTACATATTTCTACTTCTGACCCTTCTTTTATTCCTACAGACCAGCAGAGCGCTCCGGGGAAGATGTTGACATAATCCTGGCCCGTCTGAAAAATGTGAAGGCCTTTGAGAGGTTCCACCTGGGTCTGCTGCAGCAGATCTGTCTGTGTGGTTTCTATGAATGTTTGGAGAAAGGAATCACCTGTAACTACAAAAATAATACTCAAGCCATACATCTTGGAGAAAATACATGTTTTTGAAGGCAACATGGAGGATGATTCTTTAAAATGTGCTTGTTTTTTTAGTATATCGCCAGGGAGACATTGGCACCAGCTGGTATGCAGTCCTGTCTGGTTCACTGGATGTCAAAGTCTCAGAGACATCAAATTACCAGGTATGACTTGTATGTTTTCTTTTTTTTTAAATTTTTTTATTTGTTTTTCCATTTTTCAAAACATTTTACAATGCAACACAACATGAACATGGGGTGTTTCTGATATATTTCAATAGATTGAGTGATCAAGTACAATTTAATATAGAGAAGAGAAGAAAAAAGAGAAAAAAAATATACAAAAGAAGGGCATCGCAGGGAAATATGCATTTTCCATGGCTTCCAGATGTCCTTGAATTTTGATTGTTGAAGCCTCATTGAAAAAGTTATTCTTTCCATTACATAAACATCATATATAATGTCATACCATTCCTCTATAGATGGGATGTCTGGCTTCAGCCGTTTCTTTGTAATTGCTTTCCTAGCAGCCATACTCAGCATTCCAAACAGGCACTTATTTTTCACACTTACATTAGCTGAATGTACAAACCCAAAAAGAAGTTCATCCCAGGTAAATGTAATGTCAGTTCCAAATACAGTTCTAAGTTCTGAATAGACCTTAAGCCAGAAAGTATTTATTTTTGGACATGTCCAAAACAAATGAAAGTGATTAGCTTCTTGAGAACGACACATTGTCCAGCAGCTGGAGGATCCTGTGTGGTGGCTAGATTGAGCAGGAGTAGTACCTAATGAGACACTTCCAGCCAAATGACCTCCATGTGTTTGAACTTGATGACTTGTATGTTTTCATCATTGGTTCCAACTGAAAATGACAAACAAAATAGAACTCCCATATTGAGTTGTACTTTGAACAAACAATTCATTGAGTTTATTAACATTCAGTCCGAATCTAGATTTTCCTCTAATTTTGCACACCTTTCTGAAGCTCTGAATAACACCGCTGATTATGCCCTGGTTGAAATGAATCATTCATGCAAATTTTTCACTTCAGACCTTGAGCTGGTTTGAGATGTGGGCTGAAAAGAGTATTTTGCTCTTAACATAAGGGGCCATTTTATGATACATTAAAAAAATACTGCAGCTCTAAGAACCTTGGTCAGTGTTAGGATGAGTTTCTTTAGCCAGTCATGTCAGCCTTTAGAGTGGTGGAGCTGTGTCACTCAAATACCTCAGATACTTCAGTGTTAGATTGCTGGAGCCAGGAGCCTCCGACAACCATCCTCAACATCTACCTTGTACCCATGTTTTATATCACACAGGTCCCCAAAATATGTTCTGTCATGGTATTTCCTTCTATGGACCCTCCATATGTTCACCTAAAGCTCCTTAAAATATGTTGTTCTTTGTTCTTACCGTACACAGATTTTTCTTAGGGTCAACTAAATGTCAGCAGTATGTTTAAAAACGTAGACGACTATATATACTTGAACGGTCTCAGACCAATCTTTGTTACACTTTGTTACATGATGAAGCTGTAACCCAGATCTGTAACCAGTAAAGCTTGTCAAAATGATCATTTGTGTGGACCTTCCATCTTTTATAAGGATTTGAACATGGGCTAGGCATCCTTACAGTCAGTTTGTCTGTGTGCTAACTTGAGTGATTTCACCTCTGTTTGAAATGTATTCATGTACATAACACAAGCATGTAAGTAATTACTTCTTATCATTGATCCAATCTGGTTTTCACAGCAGTCTTTTGTACCTACATTATTTATATCTTTGGAGGACTGATCTATGTGGGGCATCAACACTGTTTCTCCCACAGGATGCTGTTACCATTTGCACTCTGGGGACTGGAACAGCATTTGGGGAGTCGATACTGGATAACACCCCCCGACATGCTACCATCGTCACGCGTGAATTCAGTGAGCTCCTACGCATTGAGCAAAGGGAGTTCAGGTCTCTGTGGGATGTAAGTACCTCTGTCTGCTCCATCTGTACTTGTATCAGCCCACAAACATCCTCTGGCCACAACACAGTCTGTGACACATTTTTGACATTTTTCAAAAATAAGGGCTTGTATAAAAAGATCTAATGAGGCTGTTGTAAAAACAGGCACCCTTTTTGCAGTTTCTGTAGTCTTATTCTTCTTCCTTTAAACCAGAGACAGCTAAGACATTACATTCAATACACACATTTCTCAAAACAATTAGACTTGACACAAGTTTTGGAAACGAGCCTGTTGTGAGACTCTCTTTTTCTCTATATTTTGGTGATTCAAGTATTAAAGTTAAGCTAAATTTAGTCTGACTTTGAGGCTGCAATCATCTCTCAATTATCTCTGACAGTTTTTCTTTTTTCCAGAAACTGTGGAACGAATACTTAAAACAGTAAACTACTAAGTGTAAACTTTACAAATCTCCTGCAAAATGAAGCAGCACTCACATAAACACTGATGTGAAAAGTTCAAAACACTATCATCCAAGGCTTTGTGAGGCTCTTTTTACCCGTTCAATTCATATACGTGTGTGTGTGTGTAGAAATAAGATTTCTCTGTAGGTTTCTTTTTCCAATTCAGCATTTTCTACATGTATTTGAAACCCAACAAATATCACCCATTTTACACAGTATGACTGACAAGGTATGAGGCCTCTTTCATACTGGAACATATACATTGAACTGTCATTCCAGTTGAGTTTATGCAGAAGCGACATGAGTGAGATGAACTGGTAATCTGGGTGCTGCATTTTGAAGGCTAGTGCTTTCAGGAGTGTTCTGGGGTAAAAACTGAAATTTCTTACTTTTAAACGGGGTTAACTTTTAGCCGGGGAACAGCTGCCTGTCTTCATGTGTACATATATTAAACTATGGCAAACTGAACTAAGCATAAACTAAAATGTAGGTGGGGTTTGGTGCCTAGTGCAAGTGGGGTTATGATTTTAATTTGGCCTCCTAGCAGGTTTACCGCCAGCTGTCCAATTACTTGTCTAAACTCCCCTGCTTTATGTGTGCAGGTATTTTACATTGCATTCCTCTCACTGTAACAGGGCCTGAATGGTTTAAATCTTTTGACCACTAGATGGCGGAGCAGTGCTGTGCAGAGATATCTTTTGGTTCTACGTGTCTGCACATGTAAAAACTGTGAGTGCTTAATGTACATAGTAATTCAAGCTCAGGTCGTACAGCAACTATCTGCACAGAGTTACAACAACATTGAAGTGTATTTTCAGGGTAAGATTTAATAAAAGTACCACGAATTCTTGTAAGAATATAGATTTAATGCAACAAGTAACCAAAGACAAATAGTACACTTTATGGAGAACCCATCCCTCCTTCCCTTGTACACTTGTTTGTGTGTATCAAGCTGTGTAGAGGCCCCTCTCCTCTGCAGTAGCCCTCACTATGGGCTGGATTACTGGGAGAGAGAGACACAACCCATTTCCTCTGGGACTGAAAGGCACAAGGGGCTGGTAAATTTGAGCTGTGTGTCTGTGTTAGTGTTCATCCCATTAGCGGAGTGACTGGACACTTAACCCCGGTCTGGATGTTTGCTGACCGTCGAGTGGAAGTGTTACAACGATACACATAACTACTCTGCTCCGGGGTCACCACTTCATTCAGGTTTGTGAGGTTAATTCAGAGATTTATTCGTGTCTGATTTGGGCACAAAGACAGCTGAAACGTGTCCCCAGATCTCCCTGGATTTGATTGTTTCCTGATGTAATTACACTGTGTAAAGTAACTTTGTGAGGATGTAGTTTTTGTACAAAACTGTTTGAGACTGTCATAAGCTTCCCTTATCTCTGTATGAAGATGGAACAGCACTCCAAAGTCATATATTTAAAAAAGTGTAGGGGCAGTTGATTGTTTATATACTGTTACCTTATATGTTTTTCTTAAACTGTTTCAATGATGTAATTTTTCATCTTGAGACATCTTTCTACCTCACTTGCCCTCTGAGCAACTTCTCGAACAGTGTTTTCTTTATCTTACATTAGAGTTCCTCTCCACAAAAAATCAGTTTTGTTTTCTCTCTTGATGGTGCCCCACTGTGCAAAAGTTTGACTTACTGGTTTGACTTGTAGTGAAGTTGGAGACATGCATAGAGAGGATCTGGATGATTTTCTATATGTCACCCTAAAGCCAAGCCAACAATCTACCTGCATTAACATCAATACATAGATCCTGTGTTATAAGATATGCTGAGATGGCTTTACCTCAGAAGTTGGCCGAGCTTTAATTGAAGGGCAAAACTCACATAATCAACCTGCTGACAGATAATCATTACACTGAATTTGATTCTCGTACAACAATTCCGATAAAGTATTCTGCCTGGTAACAATGCTTATTTTTCTCGCAGTGTTGCAGAACAAAACTAATGTAGTATCTTGCTGGTGTAAAAGCATCACTTCAACCCTTGTCTCTCTGCTCAGATGTTGTACTCTGGGGAAAAGTGCATCCAGTTTCCCCCCCACTGATGAAATGAATGAAGTTCAGCTACCTCACATAAGTTTTATTAGGGCTGTAATAACCTCTGTAGTGCATGAATAACCTTAAGCTGCATGAGATCAGTATTTTATTGGCTTACAGCCCTGAAAAGCAGGGCAGCAGAGAGCTCCTCCTGGCACTGATTGATGCGAGTAGATATGAGGAGATTACACAGGAGTGAGGTATGAAACACCTTGATTCAAGCTGAAGAGAAAGATCTGAAACTCAGAGTTAAACACCTCCCCCTCTCCCTCCTCTTCCTCCCACATGGATCTGTCCTCCTGCACCCATGGCCATGCACTCCTACAAAAATATGCCAGAGAGAACCAAACATTGCCCCAATGAACCAATGGATGATATTGTCTAACGGAGATGGTCCAAATCAATTATTCAGTCCATTTATGTGTACTTGTTTTCATAAAATCTCTGAAATTGTTTCATAACTTTGAGGATACTTATGTTTATACTATAGAAAGCTCATATTTCTGTATATCTTTCTCATCCTGTCTCTGTTTTGGTGTGTCTTGCATGTGACTGTGGTGCACAAAAAGTAGGGAAAACCCCCTGCATAAATAAACGTTCATATACACTGCTCATGCACGCAACTTTGATATTTATTTTCTCATACTGCTGACTGCTACGAGTGCCGGGATCAGGCAGCCGTGTGCTGTTTGTTTAGCAGAGCAGACATGAGCCCAGCTCAGCACACAGGAGCACGCTGACCCAGGCTTAGATGGCCTGATCATCAATTTACTCTGCTCTTTGTTTCCTGCTTCCGATGAGCACCGTGATTGTACAAACACAATTTTGTTTTTTGGGTGGTAAGACAGCCCTCCAGTGGTCTCCCCAGTCTGTACACAGCCTGCACAGAGCTGTGTTCATTACCCAACAGCCGTGGCATTTTCGATTAAGTGTGACAAACCGTACAACTTAAGCATAAGTTGTGTGCATTTCTTGTTCATGTTTTGGCTTGAGGCAATCTGTTGTGTGAGGAGGGGGGGAGGTTGGTGTATCAGTGTCATCGGTTTGCAGGAGAATAAGCCTCTTGGGCAGCCAGTGGTGAGAGCTGATGAACAGAAAGTGGCAGGGACGCAGTGTGCCCTCTGGTGATTGAGGTTCGGGTACAGAGGGGTTGAAAAGAGGCCACATAGATCCTCCGGGGGTTCAGCATCTAAATACTAGGCCATATCCTGGGTCATAGCCGTGGGAGTGCACAGCGGATATGTGCTCAGAATGAGCAGTAAGGTAATATTAAACATCACTGTTGTATTTCCTCTGCTCATTGCGTTGTTACATCACTGAAAGCATCTAAACAGTCTGAACCCTGACCAGCAAATGAAACAGGAGTCATGAAACAACTTCATTTTATCATTAGGGGAGAGTGGGGCAAGATGAGTCATTTTTCATATTTCGGATCACTACATCAAGGCAATTGTAGTTTTGTCTCTAACTAGTGTATCTGCATATATTTCAAGATGTTGTGCATCCCTGCAAACCAACAGAATGAGTGTAAACATAACTTTCTTGACAATACAGCATGCCAAAAAAAAGTGGTCTCCTATGGTCAACTTACCCTGTGGGCTAAGTTGAGCCATATCCCTACTACCCCCCACTCTCCCCCCCAGCCCTCCCTCACCTTCTCTCTCCCTAAATAACAGTCACTTCTTCACATTCATGTGTATTTTTATCTATTATACACTATTCAGCTGGTACAATAATTATTTTTATTATTATTGCATATAACTGCTAAAAAGCTGTTTTGTAAAAAGTCATCTTGACATGAGAATGTCTTTAAGTGATTCAGAACATTCAGAAGCTGTATTTCTGAAAAGAAAAAGTAACACATTTCACCATTCTGAACTGAAACTCTGATCCTCTCATCAGACTTCTTTACTTTCTCAGTTGAACCACTGGCTCAACTTTCCCCAGAACTACTATTATGACTTTATCAGTCCTCTGAGCTAAAATGGTGGACTTTTATGCTAGGTTTTTGACCTCATGTTGTAGTGCATAGATACCACAATTGATGTATAAAACAAATTTTAAATGAACTTTTTTCGTCTGAACACAATTCTGATAAAACTTATGACAGACTAAATTCACTTTCAAGAGTGAAAAATGTTTTTTTTTTTTTTTTTTTTTGGAAATAAATGTCTAACCCCTTCACCCATATGCTTCTAACCTTCACAGACTCCATAAATTGATGCCTATCTCCTAAATATTTGGTCAGATGATCAATTACTTTTATCATTTCCAAGCAACAGGGGGTGGCTCAACTTACCCTTTGGCTTAACTTACCCCACTCTCCCCTACTGGCAGAGTAAAGAATTGAGATCAAATAAAAATTTATCAATAGTTGGAGAGACTTTGTACAAAAACCACAGCATGTTCTCACTCCAAAAACACCAACACGGCACAGTAGTAAAGGTTGACAAGTAAAGAAGAACGATCCTTAAATTAAGTCACTCATCTGTGAAAAAACTAGTTTTCTCCTGCCTTGTTCAAATAGTGTTTCTGCTCTGTTAAACATACATCTTGAGTTCAAACCACAGCAAGGACAAGCTGACTAAACTAAATTCAGAGCAAACAAACAGTAACAGTAAATCAATTTCAAATACCAAATCAAATTTATTACTGGAAAGAAATTGGAATCTGTTTTCTCTCCAGAGTCTCTGCTTTTCTCAGTCCACCACAGAGACGTCCAAAATGCATTTTATGTAATCCTGCTGTCAAAAATGTAGTGTCTGTTCAATACAAGCCTTTGTTCCATCGAAATGAACATGAACAAACATATATGAATCATAAGATGGATTATGGAACATCCAGCAAAATGCTCTAACTAATAATGCAGCATCCAGGCTGTTTTGTCTATTTTGTTGACTTTAAATTGAGGAATTTGACATGAACATTTACTGACACATATCTGCACATGCTCAATTTTATCTCTCTTTCTTCATTGCATCTAAGCTTGAACCAAAGTCAGTAACATTTTTCTTAACTTTAGGCTCCTTGCTATCTTTTTGCATCAATATGGATAAATATCCTCACAAATCTAAGCCTGTAAATGCTCTGGAATTGAATGTTCTAAACAGAATAATATACTTATCTTTAAAGACATGTTTTATTTCCCTGATTCACACGGGTCACTGCCTCAGGTCAGGAAATCCAGACTTCCATTCATCAAGAATACTCATGTCCCTGAATTATTGATTTATTTTGTTTATTAGAATTTCAATTCTTCACAAATATAATACATCTCATCAACAGCAAAGATTAAATTCCTCTAAAATGCCAACATGTAGCGAGTTTAAGATTAAGCATTGAGCTCATTGGCATCTTAAACACACAACATGACACAATAACATCTTTAGACAGAAGCCACATGTAGAAGCAACCAAGCAAAGAGAGAGAAAAATCCCAAACCTCTGAGACAAACAGCACAGCAATGATTAATGTAAACATCCTCAAAACGTGACAGATCATATATTCAAACTCCTATACGACCAGGATAGATACACCTTTTTTGAAGTCTTGATAAGCTGATTAATTTCCTGGTTGAAAACTGCTTATGGAGTTCAGTGCAGCTTTGATAGGTAACAAGGTTAAAGATAAGACACCAGCTGCTCTCTGTCCTTGGGAGGAAGGAGCTCACTGATAGGGAACATGGTCCTGCTGGAAGGTACTGTCTGTGCATCTTAGAGTTGGATTGGATGCTTGAAGAAAAAAATCACAAGTACTGCTTATGGACAGTTTCTCCCTGAAAGACATTTTTACAATATTTTAAACTAAATTTCTGGATACGCACAGTTTCTACATCCTGTGAGACTGACCATTCTCTGCTTTAGCTCCTAGCCCGGTTGAAAATGAGCAACTATAAAAATGTGTGCAGATTAGATGAGGGGTGTGTGTGTGTGAGTGTGAGAGAGAGAGAGAGGGAGAGAGAGGAGGAAAGGGAGAGACCAAGCATGCTCTTCAGTGTGCACAGTGACTGGAGTTGAGTAATCACCTAGCAACTGCTGCTCAGAAGAAGTCAGCAGCTGACTGACACGGTCTGCTCACGCTGCAAGCTCTCAGAGCGCTGTGCAGGCTGTGGTGATGTACCTGCTGGATCATGCTGGAAGGACCAGGCTGGATATGACCATGACTGAGGACTAAGAGAGAGTGGACTCACAATTAGGCTGCATTGGACACTGGTAGCATCTTTAGGTAATCTTTGACAAACTTTTTGACAACCTTACATATTTGGTGCATGAGAAGCAATGTATAATGGATTGCAATCTAAATTTCAAAAGTATTTCTTTCATTTGTACTTGAAGTTTTAAGTTTTAAATGTGTAGTCTGTCTGTTGGGGAGTAACTCTAAAGGAGCAGAAGTGATTTGTGATTCTTCGGAAGGTTTCCCTCCAATTGTTTTCCCAGGTGACCTGAGGTGTGCCCGCAGGAGTTCAGAATAATCAGAGACTTCTCTGAGAACAGTTTGCACTCCAAGGGTTATGTAATATGGGGTGAACTACTCAAAATACAGCAGGGCATTCATGCACATTGATGCACACAATGCAATAATGTGCTCAAGCGTGAAAGACTGAGGTGGGGCATGAAGTGAGAATGCTCCAAGATGACTTGGATGATATTTTGTTATGACACAGATAACACTGGAGACACCTCGAAACACTGTGTAATGATAGAGATACAGCCTGTGTATCCTGCTGCTGTTTACTCTGTAGTGACTCCACATTTTTGAGGAGTTCAGAGAAATTACAATTTTTCAGAAGAACGCAGGGTTAAGAGATATGCATGAGCTGCTACAGTGAAGTCAGTGTATGTGAGCTAATCTGCACATCGGTTGACTGGGCTTTACTGGAGGGAAAAATAATGGCACATCTGTTAGAGCAGACATTTCTAAACTCCCCTTTTATGTGAAGATAAACACCATGTGGTGGTTAATGAGATGCTCCTTTTCACTCATGTACACTCGAGTTCATTCTTTAAGTCATGTGAACTTAATATGAAATGGAAAATATCACTTTGACTGTTAGGATTACATGTATTTCTTTCTTTTTGTAGATATTATCAAAATTTCAATCAGTAAGTGTAAATGTAAGTTTTTAATTACAAATTCAGTCATATTCTCATGATTCCACACTTATGTGTTTACTTTAGATTGAGCTTTATCAAAATTAGAGCCCAGCACAACAACTCTGGAGGAGCTGGCTGTGTTTTATCTACATTTATACTTGTACAAATGAAGAGTTCACAAGTGGACCTTTGGCCAAAAGAGTTAAATATCAGAACTGTATGCTAAGGATAAAGATGACCTGGTACATTTTTAAAATGCACAGACCCACATATTGTTATCTGGTCAAATTAAGTAAGATTATTCCTCAGAGAATCTTGTAAACAAGCTGGGACGTTCAGCAATCTTGGATTCAAGTTAATGATAAAAGACTGCAGCAATTCATGCTCAGTGACTTCTCCCTAATTACAAATAATCTGATTTACCAAAACTGTCAACACCCTCTGGACCTGTTATTAAATATGTTGAAATGCCACAGCAGCTTACAATCATCAATACTTGGCTTTTGTAGACTGTAAGAAAGAAGGGAGCGCTCCTTTCAGGCTGTCTTTCGGGTCAAAGACTAAAGTTAGTTCTTATTCCTTCAGTCGGAGATTTGAAGCGATTTTGTCTCTCTATGCATCTACCTGTCTGATCAAACAACCTCATTCTTATTCTAAAAGTGTTTTTAACACCTCACAGCTACTTAGACTAAATCCTCTTAGAGCAGCAGATCATAATCTCCTTCAAAGTGATGGTATCAGTCTGCAAAAGTAACAGTAATTTGTATGAAATAAGGTGGAATCAGACACCATAAGCTGTCTGACTAAACACTGTGCTGACTGTCTGATGGCAAACTGTGAGTGCTTATTTGAGCCAGCTGAGGGGATTAAGATTCATCAGTGCTAAAACATAGTAGGTATATAATATTAGAAAATAAACTACAAAAATATGATTGCTCTAGTACTAGTAATATTCATACTTCAGGGAACCACAGGGAAGTTGTTTATGAATAGCACTCAGTAGTTGCTTTACAGTGAGTTGGAAGTGAGTTTTAAGGTTCATGTTAAGCATACTTTGCTCTATAGAGAAAAGGATCATGGATCTTTTTCTAAAATTTTAATTTCGTAATTCTTTTTTTTAATTTAAGTCAGGCAAGACCGAACATGATAAGTAAAGGACAACCTCATGGATCTTTATTGTGATGCTTTTTGTTCATTTATAACTCCACATTGTCACAAATCGAACATCTCTCAATTGATGTGGTAAATGATTTGATGCTCTAATAATTTTCTGGGATTGTAAGAATAAAGGGCAATAAGTGAATCATCCAAATGTGTCATTTAAAGGAATACGCAGATATTTGAGGGAGTTCACTTGGTAAGCTTCAGTACTCATGCAGAGCTAAGCTAACCACCAAATAAGGTTAAGCAGGAGCTCTCCATCCTGAAACTTAGCGGTAGGCATACCAATAATCTGATGTTACAGTATTTTTTATGTCTCATTGGACATTGTTGCTCTAACCTCTAGCTACAACATGATATTTACAAAAACTGGACTGCAACTAATATTAAACTTTCTAATTAACCTGCTGCTGATCTTCAGGATAAAGAAAGATTGAATTTTAGTGTACGATAAACACGAGCAAAAGAAGTGAGATAAAATTACAAGTGAAAATTCAGCAACTTTAAGGCGAGCTAAATGTTCTTATAAAAACAAGGCTGCTTATATGAGTCAATACATGGCGTGTAGTGACATCATTACTAACAGAATAGACATTGAGTGCTTTTCACACACCTGACAATAGTCCTTATCTTTCTGTAAAGCAGCACCCCCATCCTGCACCGTGGAAACAACTCCTCTGGGATTGCAGCTTTATTGACTCTGAGGGTTTGAGCTCATTTGTTCATGTGCTGCTCGGTTTAAGTGCTCCTCCCTAATCCTAAAATCCTTTAATTGTCAACAAAGTCAGGCAGGTTTCTGAGAGGTTTCTGAATGCTACAGTTTGGCTGCTTAAACTAACTTTGAATAATTAAATCTGATATTTGCATATGCAAAAAATCCCCCCCATAAAGGAGGCTTTTTAATAATCTGATTGGAGCAGCGGTCTGTATCTTTTAGTATCTTAATGATGGGCAGGACCAAAAGTCAACTGTCATTTGGGATAAATATTTTTAATTATTACAGCTTTTAAAAACGGGGGTCTCTGAGACATCTGAACTGTTTCTTGATTGAGAGAAAAAGCTGTGTACCTCCTAAGGGTTGCTAAAGTGATTTACTGACTTCAGAGGGTGAAATTGAATTTAAAACATGACCTCTGAGGGTACATTACCAAGCAGGAGCAAATGGCTCTATAGCTCTAGCTGTTGTTGAGTCTTGCTTGGCTAAGAAAGGACATTAGAGAAAATTGGATGGCCACTAAGTGGTTCAAAATCAGCTTTTTATTGACTGAGAGCTTAGTTGCTTTGGCACATAATGACTTTTGTTAGTCCTTTAACACAAATTAATCCTGAACCATCCATCTACTTGTCATGTTGTTTAATGCTAATTATAAAAAACAAAAATTAAACTGAAGAATCAGTGGGGACGCCTCTGTTAAATCCATTTTTCAAACATGCAGAATTAAGTAATTTTGAGGTTTTTGCTGTAGCTGCTACAGGCCATACCCAGTAATTAAAACAGTGTCTAACTTCATAGTAATGATTTTCAAAGTTTTAATGAGAATGAGTGCTGTATAACTGAGTTAATTGACTGGCTACTGTCACAAAATTATGTTTGAGTGACTTTTTTTTTTTAAATTTTGATATTTCTTGATCCTGGAGTTAAAAATCCTTTCAGTTGAGTTAAACAGAAGATGAGACAATTCTTTGCTTTGTATTAAACTATAATTAAACATAAAAAAAGTACATTTTCAGACCGATTCCACATACATACTGCTGGATGATCTTATGTCCAGCACTAGAGAAATAATATTCACCTTTAATGACCATGTTCCAAGTCCAAGTTTGTTATGTTTCGCCCCTAACAATAATCTGATGTTACAGTATTTTTTTTATGGCTCATTTGTCATTGTTGCTCTAATCTCTTGCTACAGCTTCCTGAATAAAAACATGACATTTACAAGAGCACACGGCGGCAGTATGACGCTTATTACATAACATCTTTGATGCTGTAGGGCACAGTGATGATATAATGCATGTAAAGCTGTAATGCCACGCTTCACTGATATAGTATTTATTGAAACATTTATCAACTCATGATTGAAGAAGAAATGGAGGAAAGGGCAGAAGGGAGCTGAAAGGGGTGGAAGGATTAAAGCCAGAGTTAGTTACCAGTTTAATGAGTCACTCAAGGACCTCTTATTCAAATTATAAGTAGAAAAGGAACACATTTTATTACTTTTTACTGGTTTTGGTTGATTGGATTTTGGTAATTTTGGTACTTTTTGCATCAGGGAGGAATATTCAAAGGATGTTGTTTTAGCTCACGCTGTATGTCCTAATATCTTGGAACGAGACAATTGGTTCAAAAATAAACTGACTGTGAATGTCGCCGTTGAGTTACTTTACCCACAGCTGATCCCAAGTTGTTACATTGACCTCCCAAGGCCAAAGTGACAAAGGAAACACACAACACTGAACACACAACACTGAATACACTACACTGAATATAGCACACTGCTGCTTTTTCAGCAGAGATACCTCTCTGGCTGTTAAGACTGATCCGCTCTTTTGTGTTTCTTATTTTCTTTACAGAGATATCATCAGTGCATGGCTGGACTGCTCGCCCCACCCTATGGTGCGATGGAAAGTGGTTGTGGTGCTGACAGTAAGTCGCTATTTGTTACTGAATATCTGTTTCTTGGTGGCCTGGACTCTGGAGTCACATATTCTGTTTATAAGCCAAAGATTTTGTGATCACATTCAAGGGTGCAGGTTATATTAGATTTTAAACTGCTAAACGTTGAACAAAATTTGAACTTTAAGATCACATTAGACTTTGACATACCAACATGCAAGTGGTCCCAAATGTTCAAGAGTGTGTGTAGATTGTTAAAGAGATGTATTTGAGGTGGTGTTATAACTCCAGGGACTTACTTTCAGCTGCTCAACTCAACATAATAGGCTGAAAATGGCCAAAAATGATGTATTGAAAATTGTGTAATTTAAAACTGAATGAAATGTGCTTGACTATTTCTCTGTAGCTGCTCTGTACTGAAAGAATAGATATCGAGATAAACAAGTTTGTATAATGACGTTCTACAATATTGAGGCACAACACCCATTCTTATTTTATATGATGTAAAATGACAGTTTTTTGTCTTAAATCTATTACAGTCCAACCCTCCTTTATCTCTTTGCTTTGTGGTAAACCCTGATACTTTTATTTTTGCTTTTCTTTTGCAAGTTAACTCAATATTGACTCAGCTTTGCTTAAACAGAGCACTTAACTCACTCCAGAGTTATCAAGCATTAAAATAATAATGCACAGCATTGCGCAGTGAGAAAATCCAGAGTCAGTTTGCCTACTCGTAGTAAGTTGATTTTGTGATGTTTGTGTAAAAATCTTAAAATCTAACATTTCAATTTGATTTGCTACTGTGGGATGTGTTTAAAAGTTTATGAGTCCACATTTACAATTCATCACTTACATGTTATGGGGCAGCTCTGAGCGAGCAGAGTACTTCTGCAGTGTACAGTACAGTACATCAGGGATTTACAGTATGTACTCTTTGCATGAATACACCAAGACTGGGATCATACGAGCATGAAGCAGCTTGAAGCTGATGCATTCTGCTGTACAGTGCATCAACTGCTGCTCACTGGTTCTCACTATGGTCAAATAAATTAAACATGTTTGGAACGGTTTTCCTGAGTAAAGTAAGTGTTCTGGGCGGCCCGCATTTTGTACAGTTACTCTCTTCATGTATTTAGTATCACGCTACCTGAGCAGTAATACATGATCTTCTCCAGTTTTTCAGTTAGTAAAATGCTTCATCAACACTCAAAAAACCCCACTGTCCTTTTTAAACTTCGGTTTATCTTGGGTTCATTGCTTGCAGAAAAACTGAGTTCCCATTAATGTGATGAAATCGATGTGACACATGAATGAGTGGTGGTTGTGGTCACATGGACCTGCATATGAGCATCACAAATAGGATGATGGACAGCTGTGGCAACTTCATGAAAACACAATAATCATGCTCAGATTCTGCGTGGATCATAAGAGAAACACAGTCCAAGAGTGTGTACAATCACGCTACTCATCAAAATAACATATTACTTTAATCAAATAAATGTACTTGCTCTGGCTGGTCAAAGCAAACATACAGAATCAATGATAAGCTGGTGAACAAAGTGAAATTCAGGTGGACACCAAAAACACAAGCTAAATGAAATGGAAATATCAAACTGACTTTAAGTAGGTAGTCAGAAACATGACACCAAAAAAGTATAATGTTGCTCTTTAAGCATTTGCTGACCCTTAAAGGGGATGATGTGTTGAATATGCAAGAGATTATTTCCCTCGTGAGCAGGACAGCTAACTCTATCAATGAAATGTATCCCAGTTATCCACATTTTATGACTGCAAAACTCAACAAATAGTTATGCACATTTCAGATTGCTTTCTTTGTCAATGCTTTTTAAATATCCGTGTATAACCATGAGTAATGTGAACACTTCAACAACATCAAAAACCAGGAAAAGTTTGCAGATTGTTAACATTTTATTGGTCCAGTTTGACTTTTTCTTGAATTAAATCTTTACCAGCAACTGTTAAAATTAAACCTAAAAAGACATAAGTTTAATGGAATAAGATTGTTATTTTCTTCACCATGTTTTCCTTCATAATGAAATGGATTTTACAGTAAAGACCACATGTAAAAAATGGGAAGAACAAAGTTTACATAACAGATTTATTTTATTTCTGGAGGCATAACCTTAAGGATATGCAAGCCATGTTCCAGTTTCTAGGTATTGTGTGGATTCAGTATCAGTTTTGTGGTATCAGCAGTCTGAGAGGCACCTCTAAGAATAGCACAGTATTTTCCCTGCAGATACAATTGTGACTGTGCAGCTCTGACTGATTATGTTATTTGTCTTAGGGGGGGAAACAGGACAAGCTCAAAGCTCCAAACAGTGAGCGATAACCACACCCGACTGTACAAACCCTCTGCAGGACTCTTACATAGAATAAAATATTGTAGTTACGTCACTTCACTGCTCATTATAGTAACATAACCTTAGAGAGAGAGAGAGAGAGAGCATTTTATAGCAACTTTATTCATGAGAAATCATTGTTTTTCACTCTGAGAACTTCCCTCTGTAAGTTTTTTATGGCTCTGCTCCCTTAATGGTGAGCACATGGTAGCCAAAGTTACTTGTAACATCAGAAAGAAGACTGATAATTAAATAAGCCATTCCAATCAGATTCAATCGACAGTTAATATGAAAAGCACTTTATTTCTGATTGTGAAAAGGAACAGACTGTTCAGAGGGGAATGAAAGGAAATAGGCACGCATAATCTGCCATTAAAACCATTTTTTTCCCAGTTATCTTTGTCACAGATCCCGAGTCACTTTGTAAATACACTTTCTGTTTTCCATTTGACAGGAATGCCGGACAAAGAGAACATAAGCAACAACTCATTTGTTTCAGTCTCCAAACACCAGAATAAGGTATGTTTGCCTGGAACACATGAAATATTTACATGTTTTAGTGTTTACATGAGTTATAAAAAAAACTAGGTGAGGCCGTGTGGGGTAGACAATGCAGGTTTATTGGCCGGGTTCCTGTCCAGTAGAGTGTTACAGTAAGTGAACTTTAAACTAAACTCAAACTTTAGCTATAACTCGTCTCTACTACCCTGAAGTGACAGCAGCCTTTGCAGTTACACAACTCTCCAGCAGATGATGGGAATAAGTTTAGGATGTGACGTTTGGGTAAACTGGTCCAAATATAAACAGCATGACCGCAGTTTTTGTCTCCATCCTTAACAGTTCCTGCCCCACCTTTCACCTCCTGTCGCTGTTTCCTGACCTCTGGTTTGATAACATGGCACTGCGGCAGATTTATGGTGCCCTGTGCTTTATGTGCGGAGTTTTTATCTGTTTTGTAAAATAACCTGCTTCATTGTTAGATAACATAAAACCTTTAACTTACTGGTACATATATAAATAAAAGGTACCAAGACCCTTTTTTTTCATACTGCTCAGGAAAGTGGGTGCTGAGCAGACTAATTTTCTTGTGAATAAATAATGAACTTGAAAGGCTTCATGAGTGAAGCTGTTCACTGAAGTGTGCAGAAAGCATTTTAAATGTCATTGCCTGGCAGCCCACCCTGTGGTCCCAGCAGGGAAAAAACACTTCACTTCCGTACAGTAATGCACAATATGTGTGTCCCATTTAACCATCAGTCAAAAGTCTGGTTATAGACTATTATTTTAACTGAGAATCAATATAGAAAGCCACAAGTATGCTTTAAATTGACAGCTAACAAACATTAATTCTGTGTAAAATGACAGCAGTGAGGAAGACAGAAGAAAAAGGTCCATTATTAGACCTGACTTGTTGCTGTTCTGCATCATCACACCTTTCATTTGACCTCTTTTTGTCTCATATCCTTTAAAAAGTGTCATCATTGTCATCTTTGATTTGATCGTTTTCAACTCCTCTTGTATTTTCTTTCATTTCATTTTTTTTTGCAGAAGTCATTCATTGAAAGTCCAGCCAAACCTCACCTTAAATGCATTTCTCAGGTAGTAAACTCATCCTCGTGTGGGGGCCAATCATGACTTATTTGTGTTTGTGTGGCAGATACTTAGACGAACTCTGACAGCCATGACACTAAGCCTGAATTTTTACCCTGCAGGTTCCTTCAGATAAGATCCTGAGGGCTGGGAAGATCCTCCGTAATGCCATCCTGTCCAAGGCGCCACACATGATCCGAGACAGGAAGTACCATCTGAAGACGTACAGGTAAGGATGTGGATGATTAGATTACTCACTTTAGGTTGATTAAAAATCCTTCATTGGACTGTGAAAGACTATGTTTGCAGATTTAAAACATAAGGACAAACAAAGTAGATTCACTGGCACTAATGAAAACATTGTTGAAGTACAGATGTTGTAGTTAAGAAATCAAAAAGACGGGAAAACAGAAGACTCCTTTGCCTGACTGATGAATAGGAATAGTGTCCAATAACCTCAAAATAAAGTTTACAGTACAATAGCTCAACTTTTAATGAAATATGACATATAGCTGTGTCTTTCCCAGGCAGTGCTGTGTGGGGACAGAGCTGGTCGACTGGCAGATGCAGCAGAGCTCATGTATCCACTCTCGCATTCAGGCTGTGGGCATGTGGCAGGTGCTGCTCGAGGAGGGCGTCCTTAACCACGGTGAGACTCAGTGTGACGTCCGTGTCTGCTCACATGTGTGCGATAAGCAGAGATTTCCATGTTTCCATTTTTGGTTTGTGATTCAGTGGACCAGGAGCTGAGCTTCCAGGACAAATATCTTTTCTACCGTTTCCTGGATGACGAACAGGAAGATGCCCCTTTTCCCGGTGAGGAGGAGAGGAGGGAGAGCCAAGAGGAGCTGCCGGACACCCTGCTCCTCCTGTCACAGATCGGACCTGATGCCCACATGAGGATGATTCTCAGGAAACAGTGGGGCTCCTCAAAATCAATATCCTCTAAAACCACGTTAGATAAAGATGTGCAATGTTGCTCTGACTATAATCACATATTTCTTCTATTTCAGTCCGTCTGAAAGGACAGCAGATGATTTAGAGATCATCTATGAAGAGCTGCTGCATATTAAGGCTTTATCCCACCTATCCACCACTGTGAGTATATCCTCTATCTTATGTATCATATAAATGTGCAGACGTAGCTGTACAGTCAACTGTGCCACTTGCGGCATTTAACAAACAGGAAAGAAAAAGATGCAAATATGCCATCTGCACACCCATGCCCTCACATGTGTTACTTTGATAATCATCCACAAAAAGTACAAGTATATATTTCTGCTTCAGTTCAGTCAGAGTTGAGTCATGGGGGTATTCATATCTTTTTAAATGGATTTTTAACTCGTTCAGTTTCTGGGGGATCTGTTTTGACAGCATGAAAACTTGCCCTTTGCATCTTTATACCCTCTCTAGTTGCAGCTTGTTCCCGCTTAAGTGAAAAGAGTTTGTGGTGACACATCTTTTGTCATTATAAATGTGTCTTTTCTGCCCGCACAGGTAAAGAGAGAACTGGCAGGAGTGCTGATCTTTGAGTCCCACGCAAAGGCAGGAACAGTGTGTGAGTAACAGTGGATGACTATTTTAAAAACCTGATGTGATGTCTAACAACTTTATTTGTAATATAATTGCAGACGTATTCCAACAAATCCAGATTTGTCGTATATTAGATTTCCAAAGCTTTATTTTTCGTCTTTCTCAGTGTTCAGTCAAGGGGAGGAGGGCACATCATGGTACATTATTCTCAAAGGTTCAGTCAACGTCGTCATTTATGGAAAGGTTGGTACTTCTTTGACTCACAACTCAAAAGTGATTGTGTTGTCTTATCAGCGCACTGATGTATCTACTAAGATGTGATCTTTGTCACACAGGGTGTTGTTTGCACTCTTCACGAAGGAGACGACTTTGGAAAGCTCGCTCTCGTCAACGATGCTCCTCGAGCGGCCTCCATTGTGCTGCGAGAGGACAACTGTCACTTCCTGAGAGTAGATAAGGAGGACTTTAACAGGATTCTGAGGGTGAGTTAGTGTCAAACATGCACTGATTCTTCACAGGAAGAAAAGTTACCAAAAACAAACATAATATTGCCCTCTGTTGGCAGAAACCCAGCAATGCAGCAGTAAAGGATAGTAAACGTGCCAAGGGATGATAATTCAGAACTCGCACAACTAAACATGCTGTAGTGTTGTTGTCAGTGATGTCTTATAATTGAAGTTACAGATAAAAGACATGTAGAAATAGTGGACTATGGAAGAGAAATTGTCTGAAATCTCTATGAAGAAGAAATAAAAATATATACCTGTATAAATACTTACAGTAGTTCTTATCTTGATACTTGAATCACCATTTTACACTCTCTTCTTATAGCACTACCAGTCTACAGCTGAGATCAGATAACCAACATAATCATGTAGTGTTAAAGTTTGACTGAAGTTGCTAGAGAATTGTGTGTGCTTGAACATTGTTCACTTGTATTCAGTTAAAAGTAGTTTTTCAGTTTTGACAAAGACAGTCACTTGACCTGGCTTTCTTTAAGACTGAATAAAATTGACCATTACTAACCTGTTAGTAACCTTGCTTGATTTAAATCAATCAAATTAAGTCGAATCAAGTCAAAATTTGTTTATAAAGCACTTTTCATACATAGGCTGTAACACAAAGTGCTTTAGAGTCAGTTAAAAAAACGAAAAAACAAAGTCAGTGCATTTGTGCGTTTACTGCTTACTGATCAAGTCATAATGAGAATGTGTCAGGTTTTATGGCAGACAGTTTGCAGTTAGTTGTGGAGGAGGCAGCTTATAGTTATAGATGAGCTTAAATAGGACTATAAACAGCCTTTATAATTTCCTGTCTGTGCTGCATGCATGACCTACTGTGTGTGTTACACTGTATGTGTGTATGTAGGATGTGGAGGCCAACACGGTGCGTCTGAAGGAGCACGGTCAGGATGTGCTGGTGTTGGAGAAAAGTCTCAGCAGCAGTCGGACCTCCAGGCATGGAGCCTCGTCCTGCCATTACAAGTAAATTTACCCACAATTCACAGTGCAGTTTATACACAGCAGAGCTTGACTCATACACAGGTGTTTTCAGATTTGGATCACTGCACATTTTGTGTTTTCAACCCCAGTTCCCATGTCCTTTTCATGATGAAAATGTGACTTAGTGAAAACAAAGCCATTGCATTTGAACGTTCTTTAAAAGATTTTTGGATATTAACTCACAGAGAGAAAGGTTTCAACAATTCTTAACGGTTCTTAGTTGGTCTGAACTTTCGATGAGATTTGTTTGCAGGAAGAAAACATAAAAATATTCCCAGCCTTGTCCTCAAAAACACTTTAGTGCTTTCTGAATGCTGGACTCTGTGATTCATTGTGAGCAGCAGAAGTAAATGCTTCCCGACAGTGCATGCAGCACAAGCGCTGAGAAATCCTTTGCACCGTTGCCGAGAAGAGTTTCCTTAATAGAGGCATCTGTCACTGCACCATGGCTGCTGTAATACAGAGAGACATATTAATGGTAATGATGGCCCTAGATCCTAGGGGAAAAACAAGGCCTGGCAAGTCACAATTACTCGCTCGGGGTCGCCCTCTAATCAACTCTGCTCCTCACACATGAGAGTGTCAGGACTGCGTTTTCCCTCCTGAGAGGGGAAGACACAAGCCTGCTTGTGCAGCTCCCTCTCGTGATGCTGTTATCAAGTAATGAAAACAACTGTGGCTGGATTGTGTTGATCCTCCTCCACAGAGAGGATGCCTCTGCATTTTTAAAACTCTTTTTTTTTTGTACGTGTGTGTCTCCGACAGCTCTTAGCCCAGACTCCTCTTAATCTTCAGTTTGCCGAGAACTCTATGATTGCAGCAAAAGGGTTGTTATCAAATGAAGCAATCACAGACATGCGTTCAAGTTCAACACAAATCAGTGGAGGGCCATAGCCGTGTCATTAAGCATTAAGAGCCAGTGTTTCTTGATTAGTGAAGGGTGTGTTTTATTCTGTGTTTCTCTAGATACAAGGTAATGTCAGGGACCCCAGAGAAGATTTTGGAGCACCTCCTCGAAATGATGCGATTGGATTCACAATTCTCTGAGTCAGGTACTACTGCTGCATGCAACTTCCAGTACATCCTATGAGTGTGGCGTACGAAAATCTACATAAGATCATTTATTGTGAAGGGGTTCCTTCTGTGCAGTAAATTCATCCTGTCTGTGGCTCAGTCTTTCTCCCCTCTGTCCTCTGCCTGCTGCTCTGCTCTGTTCATTTGTTCTCATCTATAATTAGACACACATCACAGAGCTGATCTAATTACTCCCGCTTGTGTGGATACATATGGTTTTCATTTTGCCTGCAGAGGTGACAGACACAGGGCCATGTGGATCAAGGCCTAATGGCTCTGAAGGACTCTATTTGATCTGGTGGTTCCGCGGGTGCTTTATCGGACCTCCTCTCTTGTTTTTTTTCTTAACAGATGCAGCCTTGGATGACTTCGTGCTCATGCACTGCGTCTTCATCCCAAACACTCAACTATGTCCAGCGTTAATGGCCCAATATCCTTTCACTGCTGCGTAACCCAATTTGGTAACATATGACTCCACATGCCGGTACCTTCTGTGCTCTTCCTCTATTGTTTTGATCTTTGACTGCTCCGCACCTACCATGCCCAGGCCTCACAGGGCTCGGAACAGGAGAAGCTGGACTACACCCTCAACAACAAGCGCAGGGTGATCCGCCTGGTGATGCAGTGGGCTGCGGTACATGGAGATCACCTGCAGGAGGAGGACATGTCTGTGGCCTTCTTAGAGGTCAGCCTACACATAGAAGGAACAATAAAACCACATTTATATCCACTCATTAAGAGCATAAAAGTCACAGTGAATAGGTTTGGTTTTAGGATTTTTAAGTCTAGTAAGAAACTGTTTCTCCCCTACGTTTGTTACTGAAGATGTGCCAAGAAAAAACAGTTTTGAGTTTGTTTTAAGTTCTTTATTCTTTTGATTTTTGTTTTGGGTAGTGTGAAATTTAGTCTTGTTTGATTTTGAGACTGAAAAGACAAAAAATAAGTTCAAGCTGGGTTTTATAAAAAGTTTGGCACTATCATTTTAAAGGGATTGTCTTGGTCCAAATAAATAGAGAAATATAGATCAGGCAGATATAAAACACTATTTGTTGTAATACTCATTTTGGCCACAAGAGGTCAAGGTGTACCACTTCCTTCTGACCCTAATGCGATTAAACACAAATCCGCTCTGCGAGTTTCCATTTCCACTGTTACTCTAGATATAGTGACCTACTTTTTATGGTGTGATAATAAATTATCTAGCATCACTGTCAGGCTTTCCTGTAGCGATAAAAGAAGTTTAGTACATTGGCTTATAGAAACAAGAGCACCTTCAGTCCTCTAAGCAGGGATTTTCCTCCAACAACATTAAAACTATTTTTAACTATTTATATTATAGAACTATTTTTGTATCTAGAAACTGGACATTTTCAGAGATGAAAAAAAATCTATATTTTATTTCTTGTTCTGAACCAATAAGAAGAAAAAAATTGGATCAGTCCTCAAGGGTTAAGACTGAGAGACAAATATTGACTAAATTTAAGCATTTCTTTCACATTAGCATCTGTGATGTGGCACCATGTGTTCAACTTGAATTTAACATCAGTAACAAACGTAATCAAGTTTGATTTATGTAATAATGTTGTGTTTTGTAGGGGTTTCTTGAAGCTGTATCTAATGATGCCAAAGTGATTCCAGCACTCAGGGATCAACTGACTGAACTGGAGAAGACTGTCAAACAAAAGTGAGTTTCTAGAGACTCTGAGAAGAAGTGATTCAATCTCAGAAATGTCTCTATTTTACAATTTGTACCCACCTTCATCCTTTGGCATGTGCACATTAATGAATGAAATGGTTAGCAAACAAACATGGATAATGTTGTATTAAACATTGCTTATTTTTGTATGTTTTAGCTCTGAAGACGCCAGAGTCTCACAGAAAAAGGTAAAAAGTGTACTTCTTTATTTTTCCCTGCATAATTAACTTTGTATATCTGTTTTGTAGTGTTAAAGATATAATGGTGCCAAAGTCTGTTCTTTTTTTTTTTTTTTTTTCAGCACAAAATCCTTCTGCGACAGTTCAGTATGGGAGACGACAAACTTCAAAAACGTCAGCCAATAAAGAGTCATGATGAAAGTGAGTCTGGGACAAGTCCTAACATGTCAGTGTATGATTAGAGGGCGTATCCCAAACTGTGGATCATTTACAGATTATTGTTGCTTGGACTGTTGTGACATATCCACCCGTAAATACGACTATTATCTTAAGATCATTAGAGTTTTATCACGGAAAATAACTAATTCCAGCGACAGGTGTTGTTGAGGGTGCATTTCCTCTGTTCAAATAGAGTTTTATAACCTGTTACTCAGAGACTATATGAGGAGTATGATGTCAGGATATGATGCAGGACTTTTTGGTTGTGATACGACTTTGCTGTCTGTTTAAATAAATAATGTCATATTTGTGGTATCTTTTTCCTAGGTTTCTGTCTGCAGTATCAACCACAAGGATATTTATTTGGAAATAAATAAATATAAATAATAATACAAATATTTGGAAATATAAAGCATTGATCCAATAAATAAGGAAGCTGTTTTGCTTATGAACCCTCATTATGAGGCTGTGGTAATTTTTCGTAAATAGAGTAAAACTATCTAAGATTTTCTAAGAGAAGCAAAACTCTAAGAAGTTTGGGTAAAGTTGGTTAATATTTTATTTCTATCTCTGTCCTGTGACATCCTGTTTTACCCCTTAAATCTCTTGCAGTAATCCAAACGTATCTTGTTTCCAAACACTGCTTCGCCACTCCTTCATGCTGTGCCGCTGACTGTCCCATATTTGTCCTGATTTATGCCCCCAGTTTTGCTCAAAGTCTACTGCTGTGACCACACCTACACAACAATCCGTGTCCCCGTGGTGGCCTCAGTGAAGGAGGTCATTGGTGCCGTGGCAGACAAGCTGGGGTCAGCTGAGGACCTGCTCCTGGTCAGCCTCAGCTCTGCAGGAGGTGAGAGCGGCAGCAGCTACATACTAATCAAATGATTGGAGACAAGCATAAGGGGAGAGCCAGAGCAGGGTACCACAATGAATAATCACAGGATGATTTAGTGAGTCATTAGCTGTCTTTTGCGGTGAGTTAGCAGACTGGTAATGGCCGCTGTGATCGATGTGAAAGAATGGCCTGAATAACCCCAGCTAAGCTGACTGCAAGAGGTTTCGGGTAGAAATAGCTGCTCTTTATGGTCGTTTTGTTCCTGTGTTTGTGACAGAAAGCCCTACTGCAGTCTTTAAACATCTACACCTGACCTGCATTTACCTTATTACAGACAAAATAACAAATACACAACCATAACCATCGTCTTTCCTCGAGTTAATCATCATCTCTGGTATGTAACCTTTGGCATTACATGTAAAGAAAAGACTTTGTCTCGTTCTGACATGAGTATACTATCGCATTTAAAGATCCAGTTGAGGAGCAGATGGCACACTATTTCAATATAATGACATATCTTATCTGGTAATAACTTTTATTGTTATTAAAGCTGGAATGGGAGCCTTCCATATGTTGTGGAGAGACATTGGCTTAGCCCAAAATGAACACATGTTCACTTTGAAAGATCCACAGCCATGTAAACAGCAGTGTGAGACTGTATCTGCAGATAAGTGATGCTTTTAGATATGTGTTAGCATCAGTATCAACATGTACCCAGTGACTATGCTGACAGCTCCTTGAGATTGCGCCTTTAAGAGGATATTTTATGGGTGTTTAAAAGAAAAAGCTCAGGTTTCATTTAATTCTTGGTGTGCAATGTCTTTTTCATGAATGAAGAACTTATTAAACTTGTGTTGTCGTTTTTTTTTTTTTTTTTTTGCAGAGAAAGTCATCTTCAAGCACAATGATGTCTCAGTATTTTCCACTCTCAGTGTTAATGGGCGTTTGTTTGCCTGCCGGAGGGATCAGCTGGATTCTTTGGTGAGTTTATCTCTTCCAGGAATCACACATTGATCCTCGACATGAAGAGGAGGCCCACTGAAGCCCTGTGCAAAGCTGCGCATTGATAACAACCTTTTCTTAAATCTATGGTTCTTAAAGGCCTCTGTATATCAAATACTTAAAAATGTCCATGCTTTTGGTATTCATCTAGCAAGTCAAACTTAATTCATACTTACAAACAGCTGAACTTGGTGCTCGTGTCTCTCATTTAGCTCTTTTTTTAGATCTGTGTCTTTAAGCTTGCACTTACGTAAGAAGAACATCCATGCCTTTGTGGCATCAACAAAGGTGTTTCAAGACAGGATCATCAACTAAAAATCTGTTTTTATTCATTTTTTCAGACACCTCTGCCTGAGCAGGAGGGTCCCTCTACAGGGTTACTGGGCAGCTTTGAGTTAATGAGCTCCAAGGATGTGGCGTACTTCATGACTTCCTATGACTGGGAGCTTTTCAACTGTGTACATGAAGTAAGGCTGCAAAACCAGAAGTGACTCATTCTGTGATGTGTCTGATAAGATTTTGAAGATTAGCATTTTGCAGCACATCTATTTTTAAGTTCTAGCGTTAGTAAGAGTTGATCTAGTTTACTTTCACTTCATTTCATGTTGTGCTTACAAGATTTCTCTGTTGGGTTTCTTCTTTGGCGTCTATCAGCTTGAACTCATCTATCACACATTTGGGAGGCAGAATGTGAAGAAAACCACAGTGAACCTGGACTTGTTCCTGAGGAGGTTTAATGAGATTCAGTTCTGGGTGATCACAGAGATGTGTCTGTGCTCTCAGTTCAGTAAGAGGGTCCAGCTCCTGAAGAAGTTCATCAAGATTGCTGCCCAGTAAGAGGAACTTGCTTGTTCGCTTCCTGTACTTTATGATTCAGTCTTTTAATTGGATTTGCTGCCATGACTGTGTCTTGTTTTCTGTCAAAGCTGTAAGGAGTACAGGAACCTGAACGCCTTCTTTGCTGTTGTGATGGGACTGAGTAATCCAGCAGTATGCAGGTTGAATCAGACCTGGGAGGTGGGTACATGTATAGTTTGATCATTATATGTCCTAAATTATATATATATATGTATCCTAGCTGCAAATTAATTTGACTCTTTTTATTTTGCAGAAACTTCCCAGCAAATTCAAGAAATTTTACGGGGAATTTGAAAACTTGATGGTGAGTCAAAACAGCTCAAACTACACTCAATTAAAAATCAGTTTCCTGGCACTGTCAGCCAGTAAAGTGAGGTTTGAAGCCCTGACTGTGATGGATCTGTTTACCAAGCAGACGGCAGATCTCAGATCAGTGTGATTGTTTCCACAGGACCCGTCCAGAAACCACCGGGCGTACCGACTCACGATAGCCAAGCTGGATCCTCCCATCATTCCCTTCATGCCGCTGCTGATCAAAGGTCAGGCTGGTTCATCTGATATCTGATCGTTTATAAGCTGCTGAATCACTTTTCCTTAAAATGTATTTGTCTTCACTTTTGCTCTGGTTTATTTTCCAGACATGACATTCACTCATGAGGGCAACAAGACATTTATCGACAACCTGGTCAACTTTGAAAAAATGGTGAGGCTCTGCAGGTTCAGATAATTGTCTATTTTAGCCCCTCAGTGTGTTAATGATATACGTTTTTGATTATCACTCTTTAGCGGATGATAGCGAACACAGTGAAGATACTGAGATACTGCCGAAGCCAACCATTCAGTAAGTTTTAATCCTGAAGGTTTTATTTTCTTGATAACCAAAGAGTTTATATGTAACTACAGTTTCTCTCAGGTTTGAACCCTTTTTCACTCATCCTTTCTTCTAAATCAGGTCCAGATTCTCCTCTGGCGACCAAAAACCATCCAGAGGGTCGGACTTATGTGCGTCAGCTTCACGTTATTGACAACCAAAGGACTCTTACTCAGCTTTCTCATGAGCTGGAGCCCCGCAGGTCTTGAGAACCACTCAGGGACACAAATGTTACACTCTGATGCTGCTTCATGACATGACGTGTGTTTGCATCAGAGTGGATCAACTCATGTCAGCACAACATGGAGGACCTAAAATCATGTTAAATAATGAGGTGTTGTGTCAGATGCTGCTGCCTGACTTCTTAAGCCTTTTGTTACAGTCATTTGTGATATTTTAACAACTGTTACTGCTGGTGGATGAATTCCTCTCATATCACTCTGTTGCAGATATCTGCATCATCTCAATGTCAAACAAAAGCAACAACTGCAAAAGTGAGAGATCTTTGTAGATCTTGTTTATCAAACTAACATTTAAGATTTAAACACTACGTGAAACTTCCAAAGTGCAAACTTCATATTTCTGATATTCAGTTGTTTCCTATCTTTTGTATTGAGCAGTATTTATACATATTTAAGTGTGTAAGAGTTTTATGTGCTGTAAACTGTGAGCAGATATTTATTTTGACCTCAGCATGCACAGAATTATGATGATTGTTTGACTTTTTATTCACGTGAGCACATTTCTTTGTAAGTATCAGTATACAGTTAAGGTCTGAAAACTTTTTTGTGCTGTAAATATTAAATATTTTAAATGTTTTTGTTGGTTGTAAATGTCTTGGCATTTTAATACTTTTGTTTGAACATTGACATAAAGCAAGTTTGTAGCTATTGGTTGGATTTTCCATAAGTTGAAAAAGGGTCTGTTTTGATGATTTGGTTTAACATAGAGAGATGAAAAGAAACAAATACTCCAGAAAAGAGTTTTATTATTCAATCTAATATTGGAGAAGTTCAAATTATTTTGTCCTGCCTCCACAACTTTGGAGAATAATCTGATAGCACCTGTTACTCCTCTTTAAAAATTTTGTATTAAATTAAATTAATATAAAACTGGTTGAACAAAAACTGACAATTAACTATCTGGGCTTTTTATATGTGCTTTAAGTTAAATGTAATAAGACAAAATTTAAAAACATAGAGACTTGAATGGATAAGGGACGGGAAGGGGAGAGGGGTTGTAATAATAATAATAATAATAAATAATAATATTTAATAATGCATCAGATTTTCATAGCGCTTTTGTCAGTGACCTCAAAGTGCTTTACATTGGATACATCATTCATTCACACACACACTAATACCCTGGTGGTGATAAACTACCTCAGTTGGCACAGCTGCCCTGGGGCAGACTGACGGAAACGTGGCTGCCAGTTTGCACCTACGGCCTCTCCGACCACCACCACACAACACTCACAATCATACACCAGTGGAGGACACACACTGGGAGCAAGGTGGGTTAAGTGTCTTGCTCAAGGACACAACAGACAGACTAGGGAACAGGTTAGTTGTACCCTCCAGTACAGCACCACATAAATAACACAATTATAAACACATATTTTATCTAAATTTTATATAGCAAAATCTTCCTTAATGCATAATTGATGGCAAATATGTGGTATTTGGCTGTGTTTAAGTCCAAAAAAATGTATTCAGTTAATCTTGAACTGTGGAATTCAAGTAAAGCCCAGAAAGTAAACAATTTGATGGAAAATACAAAATATGAAACAAAAATAGAGCAAGTTAGTCAAACATTAGCAAACTTCTCACAAAAATAAAACGATGAAAAGTTAATAGACAAAATATGTGGAGTTCCTGTGTTGACAAAAGTGCTTTTAAAACCGTTAGAGGAGACCTCGAGGGGTCCGCGAACCACACATCGATCGCTCTGTCCTGGGACTCAAAACAACTTCAGAAGGTCTCACTGCGCCTGCTCCGCTGTTGTCCAGCAGGGGGAGCTGTTGTCATCGGATTGATGCCTGGAAAGAGTCCAGCCAGGGCTGATGTTGGTTGAAGAAGTTGCGCAACCAGTAAAACCACACCGGAGTGGGAGCGGAGGAGCAGTAAAACGTCACATGAGATTTCCCGGAACCCGAATTTCTCTGGTGTTCTTGCTGGAAGTTGATTTACTGTCCGGCTTGACGCCCTGCACCGACGACGAACTGCCCTGAAGCCGGAAACTTCACACCTAATGTCGGTATGTATGTTTGTAATGCCTGGAATATAGTAGAAGTCTGATACATGGCAGCTTAGAGGTTTCTGTGTGAATATCTACACTTCCCATCATGGTAAGTCCATTAAGACCACACTACATGTGAGTTTCATAATGTCATAATACGTGTTTTTACTGCTGTTTTAAATCTGTTAAAATGCATAAAGTTACTTACAGTGGTTCAACTAAGTTACAATAACACAGCGTGACAGTGATTCACGCTATTTGTCGGTACCAGTTTTATCCTTGCATGAATTCATGTCGTTCAAACATCTGTCATCTAGCCTATAAAGAACCGAGTTTGCAAGTATGCAGTATCTCCTGTACCACACACTGTAACATCAATGTTTCAGTTTAAAACAGCAATATCAAGATATGGATCATTGAACATGACCATGCTTTTCCTGTTTGCTTCAGGGTGTCAAAAGAAAAGCTGATGCCCTCTCCTATCCCTGTGTATTTTCTGTATTGAACTCCAGTGACTTGGCTACCTGTGGTTTGACATATGGCTATCAACCTGTAATTGTTGCAGTGCTTGCAGCAGTGTTTGCTATTAAGTGAGAACTGCAAGGAGGGAGTGCACAAGTGCTGCCATATCTGAGAAACCCTGGCCTCTGGAGTGGATGGACAATACTGTGGGCTGGTCCACTGAGCAGATTGCTGTGAGGCTATGTATAGCATGAATACAAGTAAATATGCAGAAAGCAATGGCCCCCCTTTGTGACAATGGAAGCATTCCCCGCTGAGAGGGGGTAGCAATCCCAACGAAGACCCAGGTAACAGCCCTTTAAAAGCCGTAATTGCTCTGCTATAAATGGAAACCTATGAGCAATAACAGAGCAACAATTTCCTGTAATGAGGGAATTATTTCTTTACAAGATGCTTTTATGCTGTTACAGACAAACAAAGGGTGCGATCATCAATCTCTGTGCACTCTAGCTTGGAAGCCTTGTACCCTTAACCCTGGCTGGCACAGATTCTGCATGTCTAACCTTGTCACGGGCAGCATGCACTCAATATATTTTTAGAAAATGAAGAAAATGTTGGTGTTTTTTCTGGGATTTTTTTAATCTGAGCTCTCTGATTGTGTCCTTACTTGTCCTGAACACAGCGCACCAAGCTGGAATAGCCTGTGACTTTGGCTGCACGATCATGGCATACCAGGGATGCCATCGTCCTTATACAAGCAAAGTCTGGATCCTGAGTTCATTGCTTACTAGTACTGATGATGGGGAGCGTGTGTGTCCAGAAGGAGACACGGGGGATAATCCCAGAGTGAATCCCAGAGCTAAAAAGAGGGTTATTACACTGACAGTGCATACAGAATTAGCCTTTCTGGGTCATGTTGGCAGCTCATGACTCTCTCAAATGGTTTATTTCAGAGTGGAGCACAGCAGCAGTAAGTTTGTTTTGCTTTTAGAGACTTTGTTGAGTGAACCAGACTTCCTTCCTTCCCTGTGATCCCCCCCGTTTTCTAGAGGCTGAGTTGGTGCTGAGTGTCATTATGAGATGTCGTCTCCAAGCGCCTCCTTCGTGCAAATCAAGTTCGATGACATCCACTTCTACGAGAACTGTGGTGGTGGCAGCTTTGGGAGCGTCTACAGAGCCAGGTGGATCTCCCAGGACAAAGAGGTGGCAGTGAAAAAACTGCTCAAGATTGAAAACGAGGTAGGAGTCATAATTGCGCAGGCTTTTCATATACTTTTTAATTGTCAGTGTAGTAATCATTTTAATTGCTACCCCATTTAGCGAGATGTGGTGACTTCTGTACCCATCACTCATGGTCATTATACTCCCCCACTCTTGGAAATGTGCTGCAAAAGGAACAATATTGCAGAATGAAAGAATATATCTGGCCCAATTACAGCAGGGACTGTTCTTGAAACCCCTCTGAGAGCTCAGGTCTATTGTCTTAAAGACAAAAAAGAAATTATCTTTGAAATCTTTTCAGAGAAACTGTATAACATTTGTTAGCTTGTGATAAGATGTTCAGAAAATTATTCAGCATTTCTTTTATGAAATTCAGATCTCAGATACCCATTCAAATTCATTCAAGTTTGTAGAGATGATTGTTCACTAAATTAGTAATGTAATCTGTTCACACTGAACCAATTGTTCATTTAATTATAGTGTTTGGCTACAGCAAATGAATTGGTTTTGTCAGGTTCTCTCCATTCAAAAGGTAGTCTCACAGTGATACACCGGGGGTTGTATTTCACATTAATCCATCTATGTCTCTCTTGTCTGCATGTGCTTTAACTCATTTATTCTAACATGCCTGCAGGAACAGTACAGAGCTTGTCTTGTACAAAGCTGTCCTGGCTGAAGCACCTCATCAATTTTTTGATCCCAAGAGGATGAATCAGAGTCACTTTTATTATCTCTTGACACTTTTATAATGTTGATGTTAAAGGTAGTTGATGAAATGACTCAAAACATTGGAATGGGCTGTTTATAAACTGTGGTTCAGATATTCATGGTTCCCAGTAGATGTTTCCTTTCTGTCCCAGTCTTTCTTGCCAATGGCTTTCCCTCAGGTCAAGTTTTTCACTAGCCCTATGAAATATATCAGCATCTCTCTGGCAGCGCTGCACAGTGTTCTGTTTAGTTTATTCACACTCCTCTGAGGATTAACAATCCCCAGGCTCTTCCTCTGGCACATTTCCTTCCGTTGTCCCAGTCTCATCTGGATTGATACCCTTAAAACCTCGTATAGACAGTCATTCCCCATTCATGATAGAAATAGAAATCTCCGCTGTAAGCTCTAAATCTTTGACTTTTGACCAAATATTAGCATCAGTTTCATTTGTTTTTTAAGTTCAGCTGGTGTAGAAAATGATCATGGAAGTCATCAAACCTCCTCAGCATTTGCATGTTAGAATTGTGACTGGCTGCATGTTGCATCCTAACATTGGGAAAATAGCTTTGTTGACTGATGCTTCTTACATTTCTGTACACTTCTATGTCTTGTGCACTTAAACACGGTTATAATTAATTATTTGTTTGGTGTCCTTATATATTTGTTTGACCTTCTCTGTGTGTTTATTTCTCAGGCTGAAATCCTCAGTGTCCTCAGCCACCGCAACATCATCCAGTTTTATGGGGCCATTGTTGAAGCACCCAACTATGGTATTGTCACTGGTAAGAGTTATTTTAAATCTTTACATTGTCTCTGTGTTACATTTATTATTAATGTATGTATTCGTAATATTCTGTGTACAGAGACCCATAAGGCTGCACAACGATAGAAAAACACTGAAGCTCCTGTAAGTGTGAAGGCATCATTTACAGTTTGAATGGTGCAGAGGTTTCTATGGAAGCATGAGTGAATTCCAGAGAGTTCACAAAGTGCACACATCCATACAGTAGCTGTGCGCCCCTTTCTGTCTAGGTTAGGGGTTGAGGAGAATAAAGCTAATGTAGTGGGGGGCCCTCTGTGTCTGCACAAGCTTTCACTGGGCGTGAGTGTAGAGGCCCTGTGGAGATCTTTTGTTTTGAGCTCTGGTTCAAAAAGAGTTGAGATGCTGCTTGAAACATACTTTAAATAAAGTAGTAAAATTTTTACAACCTGATTACAACTGATCAGTTATTCACTATCAAGGAACTCACAGTTGCAGAAATGAATACAACTCCCTGTGTTTAGAAAAGCAACAAGAAACAGGCTCTTTATTGACAAAGTAACTGAAAGTGCACAAAGCAGCCGAGGGGCAGCAGTCCAGTACAAACAGCTCAGTGTACATGTAGTAAGCAGGTTGTGTCATATGCTCTTAAAATATTTAAGCACTCTACATCAAAGGCTGAACGTTTTAGCCTATAGGGTGATGGAGTAAGAAACACCGCTCCTGTTTCACAGTGCTGTTACTCAAAGGTCTATAACAGCCCTGTAGTTGGTCTATGTTTGGAAACTCCCCGCAGGTTTTGCTTGTTTCTTGTTTCTTATCTGCGAAATGGTTCAAAACTCTGACAAAGATCAGACAATTCAAAACCACAGTGCTGCTGAAGCACACTTTATGTTCTTTGTTGTGTTAGTCAACACACAACACAGCTCCTAGAAGCAATTTTTCCATCCTGTGTTACCATAACTTTCTGACCAGTTTGGTTACTGGGTTGATACTGAGGTTAGAAAGTATTATGACAGAGTATTTCTTAATTTACAGCTGCTGTTTAATTTATAACAAACAAACAGTGTGATGATATGCAAGATCTTAATAGCTAAAGAAAATTAATGAGTTAAATCAGTTAAGGTGCAGTATGATTTGTGATTTACGTCATTTAATGTTGAAGTCACCAGCTGTTTATTTGTACAACAAATATTAGTTTGTGTTTAATTACTGAAATGACTCAGCTGAAGTCTCTCTGTCTGCCGTTCAGGATGTCAGGATCATTAGGATGAGGATGAGCGATAGACTGAGTAGTCCTGATACATGACACAAACACCAAAGTTGTGTTTGCAAAACATCAAAACTTTGTTGTGTTGTCCAGAAAATTGAAATTGTTAAAAATAAAACTAAATAATCCAAGCACAAAACCAACAGAGAAAATAATTTGAATCATTTGATATGCAACCTTTTCTCTGTAAAGTGCTCTTCAGTTAAAGCAGGAATCAAATTTTCTTTCAATTACAAGGGGGAAAAGATCTCCCTTTGGCTTTTGCTTTGGCAAATAGTTCAAAAATAAAACGGTTTATTGATAGCAAAGTAAATCGCTTCAGAGATTCTAAATAAAGTGCACTCTTACAGTGCTTTGTCAGACTGTCTTAAAATTTGCTGAACTGTGTGCAAGTGTGGCCTCTTCTGAAGCGGTTGAAGCTTGCTGACTCTCTTGCGAGTCTCTCAGCTACTTTGGCCGAGCTGATCCCCTGTGGTTGATACACTTACTATCCTCAAAAACCTCATACAAGACCACTGACAAAAGGAACGTACCTTTTTATGTAATTGTAACTAGAAAACATAACCTGAACAGATGAGTGAAAATCTCTGACCTGCAGTTTTAAAGGTTGGAGAGAACTTGCAGCACAGGTCAGCTTAGCTGCCTCAGTCATATTTGCTGCGAAAGGGAGAGGGATTGTTGTCAGGGAGCTTCTGGGCGTCTCTATTTATCAAAGTAGAATCTAATTAAAGGCAGTTACAGGAGAAAAGTTTATGGCCATCCTGACCTTGCAGTGTCCACATTCATCAGCTCCTTTATAAATATCTTTTGTCTGTTGACACCGGACAGGGGAGTTTCCTTACATCAACAATATCTACATCCTTTTTGAGAAAGCTGCTTGTCTCTGTTACTGGAAAGCATTTGTGGTCAAATATCTTTATATATATCTGCAGAATGATCTGAAAGTGAAAATGTAGAGCCTAATGTTACTGTACACAGGAGATAAGCCATGAAGAATCTAGATTATAGTAATTAGGACCTTATAACTTTATGTATTTTATGACTGCTAATAACGCTGCTGTCAAGGTGCGTGTGCATGTTTACATTGGTGTGCGGGAACATGATTAGGTTATTATGCACAAGCAGCAGTTTCCTGCTGTTTTGGTTGAAACATTCGTGGTTGTTTATCCTTGTTCAAGCTCTCACGCAAACCTCAGAAAATAGCCTGAAAAAGTGATCGGCTTTCTCTACATACCTCACAATCCTGGCAGAGCTTTATTTCTTTGTCTTGGAAATCTCTTGAGACTGAATAGTTTTTCAGACCCATAAATAAGTATACAGGTAAAGGTATAAAAGCTATTGAAAACAGAACATAAAGACAATTCCATTGTTATTTATTTGAGATAGATTTGATAACATGTTGGCTCCTGAGGGCTCCCCATAGTGTTCAGTTAAACTGTGATAAATTGAGCTCATCCACAGCAGTGACAGTGACAGGAGCGATCTGTAAACAAGACACCATCAGCTGCCTGCCAGGACACATCTGGCAGAATCTCAACTTTCAATTGTTTTCACATAATGCTCTCACATACTGCGCTCAAACGTGCAATGTAACATCTCAGGAGAACACTTTTGTCACGATGAGACATTTTACTGTCACAATCTGTCAGTCACTCACTCTAAAACAAAGTCAACTCTAATTACATGTCTCCTCAGAGTATGCCAGCGGCGGATCATTGTACGATTACCTGTCCAGTGATGAGAGTGAGAAAATGGACATGGGACATATCATGACATGGGCTGCAGAGATTGCCAGAGGTAAATATGACGGCTGCTTATTCATGTACAAGATCTTACTGGTTGCTCCCTTTCATTAATAGTCTATTAACAAACTTTGGTCAGTGTTCATCATGCAATTAGTTATTCCAGACTTTTTGTTTTAGCTTAGGGGTGTTCTGATACAACTATTTGATTTCCGATTCGATACTGATTCAATATTGTAGCCTTCAATGTTGACGGATACTGATATTGATCCGATAGTGGCACAAAATTGTGCATGACAAGCTTTTCACTCAGCTGCAATGTCTTTTTCAGACTTAAACAAAAAATACTGCCACAAAGCCAACATCACTCTTCCGCCTTGCTACTTTGTTTGTACCTTAGTACACGCTGTTGTTGTGATTTTGTGGGCTCAGCTTGCTGGATCAGGGCGCTGCTAGATAGAGGTGCAGGAATGGAGTCTGGAATGGACTGCTTGTATCAGAGGGCTGAAATCGTAGATTTTAGATGCAGGCCGATATAATCCAATACCTGTTTTTTTTGCTTTGTTGCTATCGGACCGATATCCATTATCAATATTGTATCGGGACACCCCTATTTTAGTTAACGTCTTTTATGGACTTTTTAAAAAAAATCATTGCTGCATAGGTGTGATGGTTTTCTTGTTGAAACTCAGAGTTGCTGTCATTCTCGGGCAGGTCTCCCTTGAAAAGGAGATCTCAGTTGGGCTTACCTGGCTAAATAAAGGTCACATAAAAAAACGGCCTTTTACAGACAGTCTAACAGCAGCGCCCTTCAGATGTGGCCGGTTTAGATCCATGCTGTCCTCATTTGTCACAGTTGTGATTGCTTTTGCTGCTGGTTACAGCTTTTGAAGAGCTCTTAGCATACATACATACAGACAGACTTAAAAAGATGCTTCATTTTCTGATGGGAAGAAAAGAAACCATCAACTGTTTTCTCTAAAAACCTTCTCTTTGCTCTTCATCTTCAGGAATGCACTATTTACACTCCGAAGCCCCGGTGAAGGTGATCCATAGAGACTTAAAGTCCAGGAATGGTGAGTGATTTGATTTTCTTTAATTAAATCATTTATATATTTTTCTTAACATTATTATGTTATAATCTTTGGACTAAAAACCTAACCCTCTTTCTCTTTCAGTTGTTGTAGCAGCTGACAAGGTCCTCAAAGTAAGTCTTCATTGTTAGTAAAGATTATTGCACATCAGAGTTTTGGTGGACTGCAAATGTTTGGTTTACTGAAAACACCCACTTTGAATTTTTAAGGAGTTTGAGTTTGAAACAGTGGCATATGATTTCCCTACAGAATATGAACACAAGAGGGCAGTGACTAACTTAGCATATGAGAAACCATCATTATCACTGGTCTTTGCTACAGCTTTAGATCAAAGATTTTGATATGAATTAAACCCTTTAATTGAAAGATAAAAAATATGAAAATTGCGGAGCTTATTCTGTGAGTTTCTGATTCATCAGAGGATTACATCAATAAAAATAAAGCAGGAATAGTGAGCCACATCCCACACTACATAAAGTTGTACTATTCAACTGTATGTAGTGTATTTGCTTGAAAAAGCAAACTGAAAACATACCTTTTCAGTCTTGCTTTTAACTACATTTTATATCATTAACTTTGTTGAAGTGTTTTAGTATTTCTCTCTTTCTAGTTTTAATGACAGGATTGTCTTTTATTGAGCTAATTTGGTACTCTTACTTTAGAAACGTTTACTGTTGTTTTTATTTATTTTATTTATTATTTCTTAAATTTTATTATATGTTACTTTGTCTTTAGATTTTAACCTAAACCTCCAGTGATTCATTATCTTGAGTTTTAAAATGGCGTTTCCTCAGTGCGCACACTCCTGTTTCCACGAAATCAAGCCCTTTTTAAGTTTATGCATTTTAATCCTGTTTCTGTTGGATTTAGATTGTGGAGTGGGAATTAGGGGTTGGGCTGGGGAAGATTTGGGTATTCTTTGTTTCTTTTACTCCTTTTTCTGTGTAAAGCACTTTGTGCTACATGGTTGTGTATGAAAAGTGCTATATAAATAAAGACTGATTGATTGATTGATCATTAGGTAATCGCAGAGTTTGATTGAGGGTGTCTTTAGATACGAAAACAGACATTTTGACTTTCTTTTATAAATAACATCTGTTTTGTTTTACTCGCTTTAGATTTGTGATTTCGGGGCATCCAAGTTCCTGACCCACACAACACACATGTCTCTGGTGGGCACATTTCCCTGGATGGCTCCAGAAGTGATCCAGAGTCTGCCTGTGTCTGAGACCTGTGACACTTTCTCCTATGGTGTGGTGAGTGACAAAAAGAGAGAGAGAGGAAGCCGTTATGTCCAAAATATTATGCAATTCTACATGTCCAAGTGTAAACATGGATAATTCCTGTTTTTGGCACAGAAGGCCTTTACAGTACAAAGTACTCGGGAAGTTTTTTCAATCATTGTTTTGAATGTTGAATTTCCCCTCAGGGATAAATCATATCTATAAATCTTTTTATAAGTTCTGCACAAATATTCATGCATGTTGCATCTTGCTTTGAGCTACAGGATTACTTAAGAGAGTTCCTGAGGCCTCTAAAGTCTGTGGCCACAGCAAAGAGGAAGTTGGCCTTACATGCATAGAAGGAGAAGAAACAGACTTTCCTGTAAAGACATGATTTAGAGCAGTTACAAATGCTTACACCATAGATAGACCCCCCTTCTACCTGTATACCTTTAACAATAACAATCAGTCTAAAAATATTTTGAATGGAGAAGCAATATTAAAGAAGACTAAATTATGGCTTTAGCAAAGTGCTGTCATGGAGCTCATGAGAATTTAATATTAAAAATAAATATATAGAAAACATTGTCGCAGTTAACACGCATATAATACTATGCCACATATATGTTGATGGACTTGTTTGCAGTTGCATGAGAAATCTGCACACATACTCAAAGGCTGAGTGACCGGCCTGCAGTCAGAGAGCACAAACGTCTGCCAGTCTCTCCTGGAGTTCACTCACTTGGTTGTTTGAATTAAAACAGTTGGAAACAGACATGTATCTTGTCAAAAATCATGATGAACCTTTGCCACCCTGAGGTGTACTAAATAGTGAAATTCTGGCCTCTGGCCCATAGCCTAAAATTGTAATGAACGCTGTAAGGGAGAGGAACAATGTCGTGGGAGAGATAAAAGTAAGTAAAAAAGTGAGTAAAAAACACACCAAATATGTTTAGAACAACAAATGAACTTTATTCTGTTGATTCTTCTTTTTTTAATGTCACAACTACAGCCCTCCTCCTTTATCCGGGCTGGGGACCGGCAAAATTGACTCAATTGAGACAATTTGGCGGAGTTACTGTTTTTTTTTTTTTTTTTTATTTGATTTTTTTTTATTGTTTTTTTTAATTTATTGTTATTTTTTTAAGTTTTTTTTTATTGTTTTTTTATTTTTTAAATTATTTTTATTTTTCTTCATTTGATTTTTTTATTATATTTTTTGCTGCTAGTATGGGTACTGGTTAAATGGTTCCAGTTGCAGATGGTGAGCTTTTCCTCATCCTTTTCTTTTTCTTGCCCTGAAAAAACAACATAAAATTGTTACTTTTCTGACCTGGTAACACCAGACTATGCAGTGTCAGTAGTATAAAGCTGCTTTTGAAATCTCAAATCACAACATTTGTGATGCTGCTGTGCATAGATTGTGTACTTACATAGTTGTTGATGGCTGACCAACCAGGGTGCAGCCGACTGTGTTCTTCCTTTTCCACTCTGGCCATTTCTTTAAAGTCCCCTCGCTGTTCCTCTGTAAGCTCCTTCCACTGTGAACAGACAAAAACATATTGTCAGAAACACACTTATTTCCAAACTGGATCATCCACTTGCGCATGAACAACACCTGGTGCACACCAGGTACTCAATAGTGAGTGTACAACATTTCCTCTATGCAAACTTTCGTACCTTTAAAAGTTCTTTACATGAGACAGTGAATAAAAAGCAACATTAACAGTTACAGTGAAAAGATAAAGTAAAAATCTTTGATTTATTTAAACCTGAGTGAACCATGTTCTGACACACTTACCCACTGGCCGAGGAAAGCATTCGTCTCTGCGCTCCCTTTCTCTGCAACTTCAGCTGGTACATTTTCTCTGTACATCTTCATAAACATCATGAAGGCATTTGGTGGCTTTTTGATGTACGAGCTGTCCTCCTGCTCCATTTCCCTTTTTCTTTTCCTGTTGGTCAAAATCAGAGAGAAAGTTAATGTTGTTGCTCTATCAAACTTTTTTAATTGAATAAATGTTAAGGTATGCCTAATGTCATTTCCATTCTCTTTGCTTATTATCACGATTTTTTATGAATAAAATAAAGTTTGAGTAATTTGAATCAATACTTACCTTGAGTTGGAGGCTGTGGGAAGAGAAACAGCGGGACTGGCACATGCACGCTGTTGGTCAAAGAGCTGAAGAGCATCTTCAACACTTGTGACCTCTGCAAACTGTCCAGCCCCACTGTTTGCTGGGTGAGGGGTGGTGTTAAACCCCAAACCAGCAGAGTATGTTGGGGATGGAGGTGGAGGTGAAAACGAAGGCAGAGGGTCAGTGTACTGGATCTGGAGCATGTCATCTGTCAGCAGGTCATCATCATCTTCAGCCAGTGTCTTTAACACTGTGCGGGGACTGTCCAATGGGCTCTGTAGGTCAAAAAGCTGGAGTCCATCTTCAGATGTTAAGTCCATAACCTCTTCATCGGAACTTTCTGCTGAATGAGGGGGGGTGTTAAACCCCAAACCAGCAGGGTATGTTGATGATGAAGGTAGAGACGAAAAGAGAGCCATAGGGTCAGTGGTCAGCCTCTGCTCTGTAAGGTAGTTTGCCTCAAGGAGCATGTAATCTACGAGCAGCTCACTATCTTCACACAGTGTCTCAAGCAGTGTGCTGGGACTGTCCAATGGCCTCTGAAGGTCAGAAAGCTTGAGTACATCTTTAGATGTCACATCCTCAAAATCTTCATTGGAACATTCTGCTGAATGAGGTGGGGTGTTAAACCCAAAACCAGCAGGGTGTGTTGGTGATGAAGGTAGAGGTGAAAATGAAGGCAGAGGATCAGTGGTCTGGCTCTGCGTTGTAAGGTGGTTTGCCTCAAAGAGCATGTTGTCACACAGCGTCTTGAACACTGTGTGGGGACTGTCCAATGGGCTCTGTAGATCAAGCTTGAGTAGATCTTCAAATGTTAACTCCTCAAAATCTCCATTGCAACTTTTTGCTGCGGGAGGGGGGGTGTTAAACCCCAAACCCGCAGGGTATGTTGGTGATGGAGTTGGAGTTGTCATGGTTGAAGAAAACTGCTCTTCTTTTCTATAACTTGGCTGACTCGGCTGAAATATTCTTCAAACTTTGTCGCGCTCTCCTAGACGTTGGCTATACTGCTTCGGTCTGGAGGTGAAGAGACTTCTGTTTCAGTTACTGGCTAACCTGTGATGTCATCAGTCATGCTCGATGACATCACCTTTTTCAATTTTAAAAAATGCAGTGCAGGGGGACATTCCATTCAATTTTTAAAAAATGCCAATCAAAATCTGCAATCATGACAGACTTGATCTCAGTCAAACTGCAGTCAATCTTTTCTATACAGTTTTTATTGGATGCATAGGTGGTCTAAAGCAATGGTTGCATCATGAGTTGATGGGAGGGGATGACATGATGTTGTTGTGTTGCTTGCGTGTTTTAACACCTTTGAATGCAGTGACACCTGCATGTGTCCACTAACAGTGGTTTTGCAGCTTTTGGGCCTCATTTTTAGGTCACCATGATTTTCACATTTGTTTTTGAATTGTGTGTGTGCGTGCATTTATTATCATTTGAAAATCTTAAATTTTGCTTGTGAATTGTTGAAAAATGTGTTTGTGGATGATTTATTTTTGAGACAAACATCACACAGTTTTCAAGATACACACACACACACACAAGTTGAGAATATTCACGTGTGGAGAACGCCACCTCTCCCATACAAATGGCGGCAGTGTTGCTCTCCCAGTTGAGAGCACAGACTCTGAAGAAGATGATTGATAGCAGTCCACCTTAGAAATGCAGAGAAGTTTCTCTGCTTTTATAGTGGATATCTGTAACTCATCTTCTTCACAGTCCATGCCTTTAACAGAGAGACATGAGAGACAACAACTCCAGCACTCCTCCTTTATCTGGGCTGGGGACCGGCAAAAATGACTCAATTGAGACAATTTGGCGAAGTTACCGAGGTTTTTTTATTTTATTTTACTTTTTTTTATTTTTATTTTTTAAGTTTCTAAATTAATCGATAGAGGGGTCTGAAAACTCGCCAAATATAGCAACAAGGCTGTAAGTTGGCAACACTGGCTGTGAGGTTATGATGTGAATATGTGTGAATAATGTGCTCCTATCCCTGATGTCCCTGGGTGACATGGCCAAAAGAATCATGTAGGTGAAAATTGCAGGGAAATGCGTATTTTTGTGATTTAAAGAGCTCTAGTGACTTCCATGTTGGGTGGGGGTGGTTAACTTCATGAGCTGCTGAACAATATTTAGCTAGGCACCTGGAAAGGTTATCATACAAAAATATAATCTACAAACTATTTTGTCAAGAAATAAAAAAGGGAGATAAAGCCCATGCATGGAGTCGGTGTGACTGTCAGATTATTGTCTCAGAAAGTTGGAGATAGCTTAATCTGGAGAGACTTCTTTCTTATGAGTTAACACTAATTTATTTTATGATTCAAATAAGGATGTCACATGTGCAGTATTTTTGGCAAAGACCCCAGAGGGATGTCAAACAACGCTACGTAGGTGGAGGAGAATCAGAAGCTCTCTGACCAGCAGATTTCTTCAAAGCCAAGGATTTACTTAAAGCTTGTTTGCGTAAGAGGAGTTACTCATGAGTCAAACTTTATGACCACACTTGAGACAAAATATATACAATCTTTGCTCTAAATGGACTATTTTTGTCCTTTTTTTCTTTATTTTCAACCACAAATGTAATATACTGAAAATAAAAAAAAACACTTGGTATGGTTCACAGAGGATGTGATAGGCAACAGCAACAAGACAGAACTCATCTGAAAGGGTCCTTTTGTTTTCAAAGGCAGAGATATGACAAATATAAATTAAATGTAAAAAAATGTACAACTCACTGGTTAAAAAAAGGGATCTTCTCCGCTAAGATAAAGAGCTGTTAGTAATTTTCATTTCTGCATTTTCTTAAGTGGACAGCAGCTCTGACCTTTGCTGTCTGGTAGAAACTTAGCAACTCTTTCTTACTTTTGAAACCTCAGTGAAACTTCTGTGCAGAAAAATGTCTTGGTAGTAGTTTATAAATAAAGAAATAACTTTAATCCCGAACATATATGACTAAATTACTCATTTTAAGTTACAATGCAGTAATATGCATTTCTTTTCATTTATAATGTTTGAAAAGTTTTCAGACGATGTAAATGACGGCAATGAGTCCTTTTAGCATCAAAGGTGCTGCTATAGGAATTCATTTCAAGTATCCAGTCTGCCGCTCAGACGCTTCTTTGAGGAGCTGATTTCTGTAGAAAAATGTAAACATGAAATGAAAGACGGCTGGTGAGAGCAGAAATGCAAACTATGGTACACATGCTACAAACAGCCTTTGGGTGTCAGGGAAATGGCTCTCCTCTGCTTTTTCATGATCTAATTTTCCAAGGTGTCTGCGCAGGTAGTTATTTTCCGAGTCTTTTGAATACCCGCTGAAAAGAGATGAAATTATCAAGGTGCTACTGTTATTGAACTTTAGAAATCATGGCAGCCTTTAATTGTCTTTGGAAATCTGAATTGAGTCTTTTTGTCTACTTTTCACTTTGCATTTGATCCTCAAAAAGAAAGAGATATTTTAATGTTGAATTTGTGTATGAATGTAAATGCCACATAAACACATTGAAGGTACTCATCAGTGCTGCAGTGTTTATGTATTCACATCTTTTACTTGCAAAACCATACCTGGAAGACATCAGATTCATGGATGTTTGTGCATTCAAAGAGTATGCGTATACATTTGTATAATTTAGCCGCGTTACAACTGTGTTTGTTTATTGACCTTGGTTCTTGACTTCTCTAACAGGTGCTGTGGGAAATGCTCACCCGGGAGATCCCCTTCAAAGGCCTGGAGGGGTTACAAGTGGCCTGGCTGGTGGTGGAGAAAAACGAGGTGCTCAAGTGTGAAATGACCGTATATGTACCGTTTTGATCCATACTTTTACCTTTACACTGAATTAACATCTTGGCTCCTTAAGTGCATTGTGAAATACATCTCTTATGGAGTGGTTTCAACTGTCTGTTTTCAGCATATGTCCTTGTTCTGGGTCATATGTGTGAAATATTAGAATTAGAATTTATAGAATTTATATGAACATGAACAACCATTAAACATAGTACAAATTAAAGACATAAACACATGCACATTGCATGTTCAAAATGGAGTGGGAGGAAGTAGAAACTTTGCACGAATAATCAATAATTCATTTACCTGTTTCCAGTTAAATATTAAAGAGAAAAAACAGTAATTCTAGATTTGGTTTATATTGTTGAGGGGTGAGTGACACCCACCAAAGAAAATGTAACATGATTAAAGCAACAAAGTGGATTTGTGTTTCTGCTGAGTTCTCATAAGCTGACACACTAACATGCACAGTTGTCGCTCGTATTAAATATAAAATAAATCCTAAATAAATATAAATAAATAATCTAAATAAATCCTTGAACTCTTATTTAATTCTGGATATAAAATCAGAGAAACGTGTTATCGAGATCTTTTCAGTCACAAACTCTTCTTTGCTTGACCTTAGTTTGTAAACCTCATTGTACAACTTTCTGTGTGTGTTTCAGAGGTTAACCATCCCGAGCGGCTGTCCTGCCAGCTTCGCTCAGCTCATGACGAGCTGCTGGGCAACAGAGCCAAAAGTGAGTGATCTTCCGGGATTAATTGGTATGCAAATTATCTACAAATGTACACTTTCCTGTGAATCTCATCCACAGCGAATGTTTGTATGTTGATTTAGGAAAGGCCAATGTTCAAGCAGATCCTCTCCACTTTGGACTCCATGTCTAATGACAGCCAACTTCCTCAACAGTGCAACTCTTTCCTTCACAACAAGGCTGAATGGAGGTAATGAGATCAGCCCAGTAAATGTATTTATTACTGTCTTTTTCACAAATATACTGCCTCTGCCTAAGGAAATGGAACTGTTTTGGAAGAATGATGTGGAAATGTAGCTGATGGGGGCCATGAAACACAGAAAAGACTTGAGATTGTGCATATAGATCTTTAATAATTACACTGATAGCTACATAAAGGCATAAAAACCTCCAAAGAATCATCCATCTGGATATACTTCCTCTCTTTACCCATAAGGCCCTAAAAATAATCACCATCTTTTTCAAGTAGAAGTGTTTAATTGGGTTGTATGAGCAGCTGGAGGTTTGCTGATGTTCAGCACAGCCTGAGTCTCAGCTGTTACTTTATTCTCTGTCTGCCTCTCTGCGGGGCTTGTCTGTGCTCTGAGGTTTTTTCCTCAGAAGTTGTGCTGGTGGCATCGTGTCCAGGCAGCCATCTGCAGGTGGAGCAGGTTGGAGCTGATCTCACTGCTGGAAAACAGAGGCTGAAAATGTTTGACACAGACAGACACATGTGGTCGGTTGCTACAAGTTAAACTGGCTGCAAATGAAAGTGGGAGTTTGTAGATCAGAGTTTTCTCGTAGCTGTAGAGTGATAGTCTTTGTATGTGTGCGCAGTGCGGGAATAAAACCTGTTTCATTTTTGGACTTATGTACAGTGAGACAAGGTATTTTCACTCCTACTTGATGAGGATGGCTTAACTCGCTAACCTGTCCTTAGCCATGTGTTAGAAAAACCAAAGTTAATGGGAAAAATCCATCTCATCCTGTCTGCACCCCCGATAAACAGCTTTTAACATTTCTGGATTCAGATTTGGCCTCAGTTCAAGAAAGTTTGCTGTCAACTCGAAGAGTTACACACAGAAAAAAGTGACTTTTTAGTGCGGTAAACTCTACTAGGGTAACTGTCATAATTTCTACCTTGTATTTTTAAGATTCAGTAAGAACTAGAGTTTTAAACATTCAATTATTCAATTCATAAATAAATTGAATTTAACAATTTTTTAATGTATAAAAAGGAAAGTAGTAATGAAGCAATAAAGTAGATAATGAATATCTACTTAATTACTTTATAACAGCAAATAGTACAGAGATATAAAATGTACTTAATTTTCAGTAAAATGAGGTTCCTACCTATGAAAAACAAGTAGACTTCACTTAGTTTGTTTAAATAAATATAACTTTAAACTAAATGTCAGTAACAGTAAATGTTACTTAACATCTTCACAACTGTTATGTTTTATGGAAAGTAAAGTTTACTTGATACTGGCAAGTGAGTGTTACTTGATATTGCAGCATGAAATTTTAATTAAATCATTTGAGGACAAATACTTACAATATATTATCTAATAAGATCTTATAAATTATTTCTTTCAGTGTAGGACTATACCACTGGTTGTATATAAAGATGAAGTGCATGTTCCATAATACTAAAGCAAAGCCAAAGCACCTCTGCCCACTGGGTTCTGAGATCTTGTGAGTTTGATAGCGAGTTTGCTCAGTAAGGATCCACATCCGACCCCTTCCATGAACCAAAACACAACTCCAACTCTACGTCAGACTTTTAGCATCAAATAACTCATTTACACTAATCTATGCTCAAACTGATTTTTTAAGGCATAAATCAGCCAAAACAAACTGAAACCAGTTTGTCAAGAAATTTATAAAAAAAATAAAAGCCAATTTAAGTGATGACAGTGCAATGTGTAGAATAAAACAACACTGAGCAGAACAGACTTGGTGGGAATAGAATGTAATAATTATAAGTTTGTCGGATTCACCTGAATATTGAAATCACTTTATTTTTTTGACTGAGAATCAGCCTCATGTATCTTCCTCAGAGGCCGCCATCTTTGACCCCCATATTTCTTACGAAATGCATAATGGACAGACTGGTACATACACCTGGTTTATATTTGGTGAGCAGAAGTTGTTATTGTTGTGCACAAAAGAATTCGTGATAAAGGTAAAAATTTGACAAATGTAGGGCCATACTAATCATCTATCACAGAAGCTTCTTGTCCTCAAAGGCCACCGTTGTTTCACTAAAGGGAGGGGTGAGCAAGAAGGCATTTCAATTTAAAATGTGACCACTAGATGTCACTGAATACTCCCATTTCTTCTCACTACACCTTCAATGCAAACTGAGTTACTATTAGAAATGTTGACCTGAACAAATATCTCTGCCTCTCTGTATCAGGGAGGAACAATCTAGTAACAACTGAGTAAAAGTTGAAAAACACTTGAGTTTGTTTAAGTCGGGGAGCCTCAGGGTGGGGTTAGCTGAGGACTAGGAGGAGTAGGAATGGGCTTCCCTGCTTGTGTTTTGTGTGTTTGTGAACACAAAGTGTACAAATTTTTCGTTGGGCTGAAGCACAGCATGGGTTTTCCTGACACACTGTGCAGCCCCGCCCGCTGAGCAAAACAAACATCCCCAGCGTGAAGTGAACATGAGACACTGTCCTGTCCTTGGCATTCAGGGCTTTAGATGCGGACTAATGACCCTCTGACTGTAGAGCAGCGCAGAGTTGTTTACAGGAAAGTTTTATTTTGTTGTTCAATTTCAGCCTTTGCCACTGATTACTCTCCTTAAAAAGGCAAAAACTGAAGCTGGGTGATAGAAAGGGGCAGTGAAGTAAAACATAGATCAAATACAGTTACATATATCTTAAACTTTGGTGAAAATCTGAGTTTTTAAGATACCAAACACTTTAAATTTTTCTTTTATTGGATTCAAAAAGCTGTGAATAAATTAACAGCTTTAAATAGTTCCCTGAAAATACAATCCTGTTTTTGGACATTTTAGCTAAAAACTACAGTGACAAATAGTTTGAGGGCACAAGTTAGTATGGTTAGCATGTTTATAGCCTCAATTTATTTACTTTTTGTAGGATAAAATTCATCTAATCCATGACTGTTTTTTATTCTTTTGACTCAAAACTACAAATACAGAAAATATTAAACCACCATGTCGCTAATACATGTGACACAAAATGGCAAGGTATATTTTAGTATGAAATCTGGATATTTGGTGGATTGTTTGCATTATTTTTGTTGTGGTACGCTGCAGGATTATTGTTCTGTCTCTGCGTTTTGCAGGATGGAGATTGAGGCCACTCTCGAGCGGCTGAAGAAGCTAGAGAGAGACCTGAGCACCAAAGAGCAGGAGCTGAAGGAGAGAGAGCGGAGGCTAAAGATGTGGGAGCGCAAACTCATCGAGCAGTCCAACAGCCCGGTGAGTTCCTCATTACCCCCTCTCCACCTTGGTCCACCTTGACCTCCAGCACAGTGGCCATCAACTTTCAAGTGGTTAGAGCAGCTCTGTCACTTCAGCTTTACAAGCTTAGATGCACGTCCACTCAGGATTCACCTGAGCTTCCTCTCTGGGATGAAATTGAAATGGGAAAGCAATGAATCCAAAATATAAAGTGTGGGAAATTCCACAATAGGCGAAGGTTATGAGAAACAGTGTTATTGAAAGAGTTATGCTGGGCATCCACCAAACGATTTCCACAGTCCCAGACTAAAAACTGAAAGTCTTAGGTAAATCTAAGAGTTTTACTGGAGTCACAGCGGAGTCACAGCAAAGTCACAGCATGCTCCTATCATCTCGATCTTTATATTTAAGATGGTAATCCGCGCTGTTTTGTATCAGTCTTTCCCTAGTCTTGGGTTTGCGACAAGTTACAGTGACGTAACACAACCATCAACCAATAGACGAGCTCTAACCAAAGCGGAAAAGGAAACCTGACAGTCAAAACAAGAAGAATAAGAATGTATCAAGAATTACTGGTGATAAAATGTTGAAAGTGGACAGTCCAGAAAGAGGAGCGGATAGTGGAGCTGTGGGCAGATCAGCCTTGTCTATTCGACGTCAACTGCAGGGTTTCCCCTACATGTAATGGCGCATGGCCATGGCTAAATAAAAGCCACCACACCTCAAAAATAAAGTTTTTTTACACACTACTTTGGACACAGTATGTATTAGTATATGCAGCGCATACAGGCTGCACCGCAGGGCGCGTGTGCCGAGTACTAATATTAGCGAGTTCTGAGTTGTCATATGTGAACACACATCTGATTAATGAGCCCCTCCCTTCCCCGCTGAACAGTCAAAAAATGCTAAAAGGATCTGGTTGTAGCCTTGTAAATAGTGACCCTGCAAGATTCACAGTCTTGGTAAATTCTCAGTCTGAGACTAGGCTGTGACTAAAAACTCGAAGCACTTGTCTTTAGATGTGATCAAGTGTGAGCTGATAGTTTTCCAGGAATCTTTTCCAAATCTTCTAGCTGGCCTTAGATGGTGCTTGAACTTCACAGAAGTATACACCTGAATCATGATGCACACTTTGGAGCTGCGTCGCTTGCTAGGACTCATGTTGAGTTTTGCATTGTTGTGTTTTGCATCATATGTTTGCATGCTAAACACAATGGATTGTGGTGTGGTTTCCTTTGTTTCACTTGTCTGAGCCAAACCTCTTGTGACTGAATGCCACAGGAGTTTATAGTATGGATATCTTGAAGGCTGGCGCTCAACAACACAGAGGTTCCATTGTTTAAGTTTTAATTGTTAACCAAACCTTGAATCAAGAGCACTAAACCCACTTCCTGTGTTCACCCTCTTTTCCTGCCCTACCCTTCTTTTATTGCTGTTCTATTTACCTCCTTAGAAAAACTCCTTTTCCCAAATCAAATGTCCTGTTTCCTTACTCATGCTCAATTTATGGTTCCAAACTGGATGACTCACTTCCTTCTCTTTCTTTCTTTTCCTTTCTTTACTTCTTTCCCGGTGTCCCTCTCCATCTCTGCCTCTCAGCTCTTCTTACCTGTGGCTAAAAAGATAAGTGCTAAGTCGTATTATCAGTCAAAGACGAAGGAGTCAAACAGTTCACAGATGTCCTGTCAGATCACAGCCTCCGGTAACGAGGAGGTGAATCTGCAGTCCACCAGGATGATGAAAGGCTTTGAGGACGTGTTTTCCTTGGACTTTGGCCTCCCTGTGCTGCACTCAGGCATGCAGGTTAACATGCAGGCCCGGCAGAACTCCTCCACTGTGTCGAGCTGTGTCAGAGAGGGACACAAAATCAACATGACTCTGGGGAAAGGATGCTTTGCTTGGTCTGAAGACAGCGAATAAAGCTCTACCGTGTTCTGCTTTCTTGCCACAGCTGCATCTGTCACATCCTGTCATCTCTTTATACTGATTTGGTGTTGTGGAAGCACTTTGTCCTGATAAACTGCTCGTCAAAATCTGTTAAATGTTCAAATTCAATTATTCCTGCTTATCTCTAAAAAAAACCACCACATCTTTGGACACCATTTTCTCTACTTTGTAAAAGTTGTATTCAGAATTTGCCTTTGGAAATAGCTCAAATAAACATGTTATAGATTATATTTGTAACCCTCCACCTATGGAGGACCTATTATGGATGTCATTTACTGTATGCCCTAATGTGCTGGATGTATAGTGCCATGCTGTGAGGAAAGAGCCACGTGAGCCAGTTGCTTAGAGAAGGCCAGGCTTTTATGATGAAGTGACATTTTGCTGACATTAAGATTGGCCAATTTGTTCTGGATGTGGTGGAGTGCAGTTGTTGAGACGCAGTCTCTTACCAGGATGAGAAAGTACATGTTTTTTTTCCTCTGACTGACCTGAGTTCAAAACAGCAGGAGAGGGACTTTTTTTCTGTGATTGTCAGCTTCATTCTCTCATTTGACTTTTTTTACTTGATGAAACAGGCTTCTTTCTGAGGCCTGAAAGATTAGAAGAAATTCAATGATGATTAAAATTTAAGCAATTACAGGCCTCAATCACTGCTGCTATAGAAGCATCAATTTTAATAGAATCATCCATGCAGTTTCAAAGCGTACAGTCAAACTAAATATAGCCTCCAGACCTGCACTTTACAGTAGAGAAATGGTATTAGCATTAGCGTTCAGTTCGATATTATGTTTCATCAGGGGTAAGGATATGCTTCCTTGAGCAGAGCCCATTAAATGCCCCCCTCGCTTGTTATCATCAGTCAGTCTCATGAGGACATAATCCTCTGTATTCCTCTGTTGTTGCTTGTTAGTTTCCTGCCGTGAGCTAATATTCCTATTCAAACACTGCCTGTGCTCCTGTGCCACCAAATCCCTGCTCATACTCCACCAGACATAACAATTAACACAGAAAGAAACACTTGTTAGGCATTTCATCGAGCTTTCAGCAAAACGATACACCGAGCAGCGTCTTGATGTGACTGATTTACCTGCATCTCACATTGTTGTGCCAATAAATCAATTTCTCTGATCTGTCTGCATATCAAGTCTGCTGTGAACTGAATTTATTTTTTATCAAAAGATAGTTACAGGACAAGGCCTAATCACTTTTTATTATGCTAACACTCATTTTTGATACAAAAATAGAGTGTGAATGTTGTGATTTTGGTAGGATTGTAAATTTAAAAGCAGATTTAGTTCTTGTCATTCTGAAACTCCCTGGGTTCATTGTCTGGTTACCCATAATCCACTTAGTCCACATGGGGGCAGAATTTAGTGAACTAGAGCCAACTCAAAGATGTTTTATCCCTCTGCACACAAAAGTGTGACCTCCTTTGAGTTGAAGACACCCAGGTTTGTGTCTTTGTCAACAGGATCTTAATAAAAGAAGCATAACACATTTATAGAATACAATTTTCTGCTTGAAAAGTGCCGCTCAGTCACTCCAAAGAGACTTTGGCAGAGGCAGACTGTTTCTGAATCTGTTTACTTCCGAGCAGCGGCACTAGAGGAGGCGGAAAACGCTGCAGAGCTGGTTGTCTTCATGAAGCGGCAGGCTGCACTGAAATATACGGCGGCAACTGTCTATTGAGCCGAGCATTCAGTTCATAATCTGAGCTGTTATCAGACGTCGTGGGAAGACGACAGTGAATGGGGATTACTCATTCATTTAGTCATCTTTCCTCCAATTTTCCGTTGCATTATTTCTGTCATTACACACCAACCTCATGAGCACAATGATGAAATCTTTATTTTGGCTGGCGAGTTTCTGCCTGATTACATTTAATGAGCAATAAATGATTTATCATTCAAATAGATCACATTAGATCAGATGGATGGACATTTCAGTTTTGATATAGACCATTAGAAGCAAGTTGTCTCAATCCTGCGGCACAATAACCCGAAAAGTAATGGCTACAAAGATATGGAAAACATGGCTTTTCCCTGTTCTAATAACATTTATTTAAGTCTTTGGATTTCCATTTTGAGATCTCTCTCTCTCATAAATACATGCATTATTTTACTGTCTGTATCCACCCATGTTCTGCTCTGTTATTTCTGTTCTCTGTTTTTATGCAGTTGCTGCCCACTCTTGATATCTATACATGGACAGAGGAGCATGTGGTCAGTACGGTTATATTTTCCTCATTTCTAAAGCTTTCATTTTCATTTTTACGTCACAAAATACCATCACTCTCTAATAAATATATCATCTTTTTTTTTCCTTCAGTATTTCTGGATGCAGCAAGTATTCGGTGCAGGTCTGTTACTGTCTCCATTATGATGCACTCGGATTTTAATTCCCACTTTTGTTGCCTCAGTCTTTTAATTTTTGACCTAATCTGTCAAAAAAAAAACCCCAAAACAAAACATTGTATATGTTTCTGACTCAGGGGAGGGAACGTGTGGCATGCACCTTTACGCTGACCTGTTCAAAGAGAACCACATCACTGGAAAGAGGTTGCTGTTGCTCTCAGAAAACGATATGCGGGACATGGGGGTCAGGTCTAAAGGCCACGTCATGCACCTTAAGGTAAGGCAAAACTAAACAAACCTTTTTTTTGTTGCTGGGAATCCTTGCATCGCTGAGATCTATATTTTCTGATATGTGGGGTGACAGCTAATCTGATATTTTCTCTTTGGCAGGCTGAAATTGAAAAGCTAACCCATGATTACATGGGGTTCGTCCACTTCCCCCCGCTGTTGAAGGTATAGGGTTTCCTCTGTGTCTTCAGGAAGATGTTTTTCTTTGCTTATTTTTCTGTGTGTAATTGGACTCTTGCCCCATTTATCTCCAGGATGAACTAGAAAAGGAGGTGGAGAGGGTGAAAACTGTAAATCTGGAGCTGGTGTTTGGGTACCACTGGAAACCAGGAACTGGGAAATCTGTAAGTTTGTAGTTCAACGCAGACACACTGTGCTAACTGTGAGGTATAAATAAATGCTAAATGTATGTAATTTACACTGATCCGATTAAAAACTGTAACAATCTTTGATAAGTTTGGTAATAATTGTAACCTCGGAAAAGCACGCACAGAACCCTGTTTTTGCCATGACTGAATCAGCCTCCTTGTACTGAGGCTGTTTGTTCTGAAGATTCATGATGACGGCTGTTAAACTGATCATTGACGGCATCACTAGACATGTATAAAACCAGACAAATAAACATTTCATTCTCAGCCATGTAGCACATCCACATCGAACTCGCAGCCCTTTGTTAGGGTCTCAAACTGTGGAGAAAGGGTGGCTCTTCACTTGCTGTTTGAATTTAATCAAAAATAGCCCATTTAGCCAGAAGTCATTTTCTTTTTAAAAGGCAAACGTTATTTAATCTTTCAGCTGTTCATTGTCCCATCATAAATAGTCCTCTTTCAGTGTGTTCGGCAGGGCTGAAACGAGCCTGCTAATTGCCTCCCATTTCTTCTGACATGTGGTGGTTTAGTGGGTAGAAAACACAGCAGGGAGAAGGAAACAGGAGGCTGAGAAAATGAGAGCTAATTATTTTCCCCTGCCTGGTGTCAGGTTCCGTGTCAGCCTTGTTTTTACAAACTGGAAGGTTTTTTTGCACTAAATAAAACAAACCCGCACTGCATTTTTTTTCCTTCGCCCCTCTTTGCTGGCGATGTCATGGAAGCAGCTGCACTTCTCAAAGACAAAATGAGGGTCTGCGATTGTGCGGCCACCATCTGACAGCCACTGAGGGTCCCCTACTAATGAGGATATCACCGTGCAGCCAAGTGAAAGGTGCTGAATTATGTATGAGTTGTCATTAGACGCACTCGGGTCCTAGGCATCATTACCAGACATTGTTTCTGCTGGAGTGATTAGACTAGCATGGACCTGGGAGCCCTGGTGCGACCGTCCAGCGCCGACACCAGGCCAGCACGGGGGCCACTGGTGTGTTTCTGAGCCAGAGGCTTGCTGAAGCTTCCCCTTTGAGCCATTTCCAGCCCCGGGGGACGATGCAGGAGAGGGAGAGGGCTCCTCAGACGAGTGTGTTAGTGCCACTCCTCTGATGTCTTTCTCTGTGATCACTACACAATGGATTGGCCTGTGCCATGAACCCTGGGTGGTTAAGCAGTGACCTGTGGTTTCGTTGACAGCGTTTGGGGATTGGCAGAATCATTACTGCTTCGTCAGCATTCAGTATGAAGGAGAGGAGGGCTGGGGTATGGCTCAGATTTGTGGCTTATAGTGAGGATCTGATGTGTCCTGCATGCATCAAGTCAGGAGGAAAACCTTCCCCCCTTGTTACTTAAATTTGACCAGATTCCTGCTGCAACAAATTAATTCTAGCAAGAATAAAAAAAACCATGTGATGTCTTATAAAGAATCAGTGCGGCTACACAGAAATACTGACTTTTTTGGCTCATATTTTCAGTATCTTTCTAAATGTATTCACATATTTCTTACACTTCAGATAAAGGAGAACTCGTTTCTATTCAGTTCATCATTTTGCATGCTTTTGATTGTTTTTATATTTTATCAGTAGAGGTTTTATATTCTGTCATACTCTTGTCGTGTATCTATAACATATTACTTTCTTTCCTCCCAAACACTGTGAGGCTTTGAGGCCAAAGTCTTACCACTACCATCAAACTACCTCTAGGTTGTGCTGTTGGTTTATATACAAGTGCAACCAAGTTCTCCACACTAAATTTACAAAGTTTTGCGTGCAATCAGGTGTTGTTTCAGAGTGTGCCAGACCAGCGTTTTATTATAACGCCATTTGTTTTTTGTTTTTTTTTGTTTGTTTGAAGGACTGTAAATGGAAAATGTACTTAGAGCTGGATGGAGACGATGTGGCAGTAACTTACATCAAAGATGTCGTCTTCAATGCCAACCGCCAGGATGTGGAAATCTTGCGGATGACTAAGGTGTACACTGGAACACATTTTCTGACAAATGATTGGTTTTGTCTGTGCGACTGTGTGTTTTTCATCTGCATAGACTCCTTTTTTCTTCGATAAGGTTTGAAATATGTTCCTATATTCACTTTTTTTCATTGCTTTGCAGCCTCCTTTTGTGATGGATAAATGGATTGTTGGGATAACAGAGAACCAGAAAGTGGACTACACAGTTAATTTTGAAGTGAGTCATTTTACCAGCTGTCTCCTAAGCCAGTTTCAAAAGGGAGATCAGAAGTGCATTTAAGGCTATCTCAAAGCTGAGGAACTGAAATGAGTGTTTTTATCCATAATGTCCTTAATTATTTCTCTGTTTTGACTTAATCCTCCAGAATGATGTCAAGTCACCAAGGACGACCAGATACAGCTCTTCTATGATGTGGAGCCTCGTAGGTGGACAAGATGAGATCAAGACTGTGGAGCTGGCCATTGAAACAGCACCGACTACCATTGACTGGAACCCCAGAGACAGGAATAACTGTGGTATACTGCTTCATAGTTTTGCTTGAAATCTTTAACAAATCTACTAGAAATCTTTGTGCTTAACACAGTGGGTGTTTTTGTATTTAACAATGCATATCTTCCCTTCTAGATATTGATCCTACATGGATGTACAGTGTAAGGCTGAAGCAGATGATATCCCAGAAATCCCAACAAGCCACTGCTCCGCTGACTTCCTCCCAGGCCCGCACTCTGCCTCAGTTCCTGTCAGCACATGAGAGCCAGAGCTGTTCTTATGCTGGAGCTGTGCGTCGCTCTCCAAACCGCGCCAATGCATCGCCCTGGATTGACTCTCGCAGCTCCTCACCGACTACCAGCCTGTCTGCCAAACTCTCCCCGCTTCATCTTGGGTCAAAGGGCAGCAGCCCGTCCAGCACTACATCAGAGAGCACCTTGGAAAGGGAAAGAGACCGTCCTCTCAGTGCAGGACCGATGTACAACTCCAACAGAAATCCCTATTTTGGCAGCACATTAACTGTTGGAGGAGGGCAGGGCAGAGGTCAAGCGTGGACCAATACTAGAGGTAGCCATGTTCATAATAAAACCAGCAGAACCTCAAGACCGCCAGCGAAGCTGCGTTCCCACAGTTACAGTGCCCCATCACATAACCACCCCTCCATGATACCAGGTATACTGTCTGTAACAGGAAACCCCAGTGAGGAAAAAGAGGGAAGCAAAGCAAGTGATGGAGGATGGATCAAAGTGGAGCGACAGAAAAGATTACCACGTCAGGACAATAAACAAGTTAGAGGTAGACCAAGAAGAGGGGGTAGGGGGGGACGCGGTGCTGGTGGAAGATCATAGTGCAGGCCTTTTTAAGAGTTACATGCTCTGACAGGTTTTACAGCTAAATTTTGTCTATCTACATACCTAGAAATAAACTGCTTACTGTAATAGAATCACACTGATGTATATATTTATGACCTCATGTTTATATTTTTACTGGCTCCCGTCAGGTTTATAAAATGATATATTTATTATTATTTCAAATAAAGAAAATTGACTCGTGCCTCCACCTCTTTCTTTCATAAATATCAGATGGCAATGATTCTCCAAAATGACAGTTTTCTGTCCAATTTTCACACAAATAAACATTGTTGATGTTGTGATTCAACATTGCAAAAAGGTTCATTTTGAATGCTTTCCTTAGTGTGTCAGTGCGTTTTGAAAAATAGCACAGTCTTCCAGTAAAACATCAGTAAAAGGCTGTTACAAACTCAGAGGTACAAAGGTTTATTTGATAAGGCATACCCCACCCAGGTACTGTGTGTTTACTGCATTGCTCTCTCCTCTGATGGTTCAGTTAAAACCACTTCCTGTTGTTTGTAATTTGAATATGTTTCTCTCTCTCTCTCTCTCTCTCTCTCTCTTGGCTAGTCTTCTGTGACATGTTGTCTTATTTATCAATATTTTTCAGTTTCATTTGGTGATGTTTGCCTATCTTTTATTTTTCTTTATCAACTTAAAAAACTTTTAACATATTGTAGAACAAAGTCTGGGCAAAGAATAACATGCCCTGGCTCAAGTTGTCTTGAAATTACGTATCATTAAGAAAAATTAGGGAAAAGACAAGTCATACAAAAATCCACTCCAGGCAAAATATTGGACCTTTGAATGTCTGGATTAAAGTCAACTTTTTACCCGCGCTACATGCAAATTCTCAAATAAAAACTTCGCGCCGCTACAAAGTACCTGAAAGATCTGCCGCGGCTGTATCAAAAACGTCTCAATAACAGACGAACTATCGAACAAATATTATTTAAAAATTATCCAGAAACACTTAAAAAATAGTTTAAGTCATGAATACGTCTCCAAATTATACTACAAAAGTACTTAAATTTTAAAGAAGTTGAACTAGTTTTATACAGCTTCTAGGACCTTAGGGTGGCGCGGGAAACGAACAGTCCCTAAACTACATGCATCTGCGGGTCCTGCATTGTTCACTGCAGTTCTGCAGCCCACCGTGCCTGTGTATCAGCAAAGACCCAATCTAAAGAAAAAATGCCCTGTACACGCTCCAAGGTAAGAAATACAGCCTTACATTACTCTTATTTAGACAAATTCAGCATGACCTTATGTTTGGGCAGATAAGTGCACCCAATTGCCTCAGTTTTTTAAAAGCTTTTAACTCTGGACGTTTTGTGGGTCACCTCACTTAAAAGTATGCATGCTCAAAATATTAGCAGATATTTGCATTGCATTGAGTACCAACACTGCAAAATAAAACCCTTTTGAATGTATTATACTAGCAATGCAAAGTAAGATATTGTAGTTTGTTGGTATTCCTTTTCATCATTAAGCAGAATAGACACCGAAATATGTCCAGGTTAGAATCTGAAATCGCACTAAAGTAAATTGGATAGAAGCATGGGAAAATATAGTTATGTTTTTTTTTTCAAGTATGCAAGATCCAGTCACCTACATATGGAGCAGTTTTAAAGACAGGGGTGTGTCCTGATGACTGTTCAAGCTTAAGATACAGACCACGAACCCTGAGAATCCGAGAAACCACTGATCTGAACTTACTTACAAAAATACCGTTGAATTTTCCTTTTATCGCTTAGACATTTTTATTTCTCATTTTTCTTTTTTTTCTTGGTTTGTTGTGATTGTGTATTTCATTTTGCTTCACTTAAAAATAGGTTGCAATGAATATTTTAAATGATGGTTGTCACTACAAACAGTAAGACTAAGTTTGAGCATGAAATCCTTATTTGAAGTCTGTTGGTATGAATTTGCTTATTTTCTAGGTCACCATTTCTGCCCTGATCCCACATTCTGGTGTAAAGACTTAGCAGTGATTTTATTTTCATGCTGTTGCTTATTTACCTGTTGATTTGTAGACTCTGGCTTCCCAGCCTCCGTCCACCAGGATGAGTTTAAGGAGTTTCCGAAATGTCCCCCTTGTTCCCATCGAAACGTCGTCCTCTTCCTCTGAAGACAGCTGTGATAGCTTTGGCTCTGATGGAGGCTTTGCAAATACGGTAATCTTAAAAACCTTTTCCATGATATGGTCTGTAGAGTGAGGTCTTTGCAGCATCTGAAACTAAAGATTCTCTTTTTGTGTAGAGGAGCAGCTTGAGACCAACGAGGAGGATGGTGGTCAAGACGAAGTCGTTTGAGGCTTCATCAGGGGAGGATTCGTGCAGCGGGTTCGAGAATGCGATCAACACTCAGATGAAGGCCATGGTAAATTTGAAAACAGGCGTATAAATCACACTGCATGTATAAAAAAAAGTTAGCAGGCATCATTCCAATTGTTCTCTGACTCTGTTTTAGAAAGTAGACACGGAAACACCAAAACGTGGCCGCAGGCAGAATGTTTTGAAGGTGGCCATGACGTTTCCCACCAAAAAGACTGGAAGAAAGAGACCCGCATCTGAGCAGCTCCCTCCAAAAAAAGAACAGGACCCAGGCTCTGAGGAGGAAGAGGAGGAGAACTTTGTGCGAAAGAGAGCCCTGAATATCAAGGAGAACAAAGAAATGGTATGATCTAGTTTTGTTTGTCAGAAGTGATTTCTATTTAAGAATGTTGTTCTTTTGATAGTTTTCTTACTTTGAGATTTAACCCATTAATTTATGTTTTTTACCAGCTTGCAAAGCTTATGGCAGAACTTGACAAAGTCCCTGGACTCTTTCCTGGACGGATGGCATTATCTGCACCCAATACGGTACTTAGAACTCAGGATAGCTGCCTGAAACCATCATCTCTCATATCACACCACCACACAGTTCCTTGGATCAGTATTAATCCAAACTATCTGACCTTTCTCAGCCTCAACGGGCACCTCGGCGCTCCATGGGTACTCCAGGAGTTCGCAGAAAGAACCCAGAGCGTTTGTCTCGACCCCACACCCGCTCCCGCTCACTAGTAGATGGACCTCCTAGCCCACCACCAGAGGAAGAGCCTGAGGACAAGTTCAGCCTGGTCCGCAAAGGCCGTTACTATGAGGAAGTTGATGAACCAGTAAGACCTACTTTCCCTCTCTCCTAACAAAGTCTCTTATTTGACCACTTAAGTAATAACCATGTTCTGACAAGCCACGTTTGCTTCATGTGCAGCCCCGCCGCCGCTCCTTCCATTGGTCCAAGGCCATCCCGCATGTTGTGAGACCTGTGGAGGAAGTCACAGAGATAGAGCTGCAGAGGATTTGCACCAACGTGCGAGAGAAAGTTTACAACAGTGCTACTGTGAGTCCCACCAGAAAAGAAATTAAGAAGCTGCTTTTATTTACCTGAGAGCTTAAACTAATAAAAATGTGCTCCTCTTTCAGGGATCCACTTGCCACCAGTGTCGTCAGAAAACAACTGACACCAAAACCAGCTGCCGTAATCCAGAGTGTGTTGGGGTCAGGGGTCAGTTCTGCGGACCCTGTCTGCGTAACCGCTATGGCGAGGAGGTTCGAGATGCTCTGTTGGACCCGGTAAGTATCTGGATGTCAAAATTTGCATTTATAGGTGAATGACAGTGCTGGGCATGTCTCATGGGTTTCCTTCCCCTCTTCTCTAGGAGTGGCAGTGCCCACCGTGCAGAGGGATCTGTAACTGCAGCTTCTGTCGAGCCAGAGATGGCCGCTGTGCCACGGGAGTGTTGGTTTACCTCGCCAAATATCATGGCTACGATAACGTGCACGCCTACCTGAAGAGGTGAGTGCAGCATTTGTAGAACTTGAAACAAATTGTGAGATTTTGGATTCTCATTTTAACATGGTTACTCATTTTCCTTCTTATCTGCAGCTTGAAAAAGGAGCTGGAGGAGAGCGGCAATTGAAGAGCTAAAGAAGAAGAACCAGACTCAGCAGCTGTTTCAACAAACACTGTTTCACTGTGTTTCAAGCACCACAAGAAGATGCTGAAAGCTCCGTTTTAAACATACCTTTCAAGTGTTTTAGGTTTTTATGTTCTCCGTCTTCCAGCCTAAAGCTTGCATCGGTTTCTGAGTCTCTTGAACTTTTAACATGGCTGATTTTGTCAAAACAACCCCCATGATTTTAAGTCTGTAAAATGTTTGTAAATAATCTAAGTGGATGGGAAAAAAAAGAATCATCAAATCTGCTGTAAAAAAGGAAATCAGCCTCTTTTTAGATGATCTGTATTTTACATTGTTTTAAATGTATGCATTTTACACAGGCCCATTTGAAAATGAATTAGCCTCCATCCTTGTGCCTTTTTTGTTTTAAAAAAAATCAGCTTGATTTATGTTTTTGAAAGTTGTATTGAAAGTCTGCTATGAGTGTGAATGTTGAGGAAAAAAACAAAAATGTTTGCTTTAGTTGGTAAGTCCTGTAGAAACAGTTGAGTGATCTGCAGGCTGCTGAGGTGCTGCAGGTAGAAAGGGCACAGACCGGGGTCCACTGCCCCTCACTTCTTAAACTGTGTGATATAGTACAGCGCCTGGTTAAATATCCTTCATTAGATAACTGTCACTAATGGTGTGGAAACAATTAGCACACTCTAATGGGAATCTCATACCTGTAAATCATTTGATCCTGTTAAAGCACATTTTCGCTCTGCTGCCGTCTCTTTGGCTCATTTTCTGCTGTACTCTGTTAAGTAGGAATGGTTGAAGGTGCTGCTGAAGAGGCTGTAGAGTTATGGCCTGCATTTTTTTCTTCAAGTGTAATACTCTACACCAAATGACATGGAATTAACCTCTATGTGTTTTTTTTTTTTTTCTGAAACGTACTTCATTTGACCCACACCGGGACTCACTGATTACATGACACATTTTCTAAATAATCAACGGTCGAGATTTGTTCTCCAGTTCATTATCTCGGAGCTGGTTGTGTTTATCAGATGTCTGAGTACTGCTGAAATCCTGATGGATGAATCTGTTAAAGCTCCGTTCTTCTCGTTGGTTTGTATACATTTTCAATAAAGAATTGATGACTGCAGAGTCGTGTCATCAGTTTTCTTTGATCACCAGCTTATCCAGGAAAGCAAAAGCTGTCATTAATGCTTATGAAACATGGAGGAAAAATCGTACATGCTGAAGATCTAACAGAGTCCAATCCAATTTATTAGTATTTCAATTAGCACTACCTATAGTAGGGTATTTGTTCAAAACATAACTGCAAAACCTCACTGTTGGCACAAAAATGTTTTATTTTGAAAATATAAGGGGCACCAGTTTGGCCTTGTGGTACACAACATCCCTTGTCACTCCTCACAATTCCTTTTGAAAGAAAAAAATGCTCAACAATAACTCAGCTCTGAACGGATTTCACTCACGCATCACTATCTCATGACTCCTCAGGTTAGCTCTGGTGTCAGTAATGCTCCACTTTCACAGGTGTTTTGAATTCCTCAGTGGACGTTAGATAGTGATGTCTCCTTATGTTTGCTTGGTAATCTATCAGTCATAAAGAAATTACAGTGTTGTGATATTATCCACATCGTGGGCTCTGCATTGGATATTATATTTTGACTTACACTGTCATTTCCAAACCTTTTGTGCTATATGTTTGTATTTCTTTAAAACTGTTTTGACTTATTAAATCTGGAAATATTGACAAATGTGCAGAGTCAGACTGTGGATTGAAAGACTGAAACATTAAAACCCCCTTGCTCACCCCTCACTGGTTAAGGGACAGTTGCTTTTCAGGACAGGGAACTCCTGCACCATACTTATGACTGACTCTTTCCTTGTCAGGTTTTTAATATCAGTACAGTTTCTCTTGGGTACAACTAAGCTCTTCTTAATCTTTTGACCATTACATTTAATGGGACCACTAGAGATTAAAAAAAAAAAAAAACCTCACATAGTCACAACTAGTTTGTCTAGTTTAAACATGGTGCAAAATAGTGACCTATGTAAAAAGGGACCCCTCTCCTATGAATATATAAAAGGTTTATTATTAGTTTGAAATTGCAATAGCCACATTTAGGTGACTTAGATATACGTTGAATATAATATTTAATTTCTACCAAGTCCGTTCTGTTGCATACTCGATTCAAGATGCTGCACTATTAACCCTTTTGCACAGTTTTAAAGTAAAGTTACAATTAATAGCCAAAAAGGTTACTGAAGAGTAAAACAATCATCTTGTTAGTCACTACATAATTTTAATGTAAATCCGCACAATTATAAATAGATCTGATAGGGCTAACTGCAGTATTCATTAAATCCTAATACAAACAAATGTCCAAGAAACAAGAGTTTTCTGTTAGAAACCAGGAGTAAAAAGCATACATTACATAAATATTAAAGTCCCGGTGAGAAGTTTTTAACAGGTTGTTAGACTAAAATAGATTCTGATGCCTATAAATGCAAATGGCATTTATAGGCCATTTCTACAATCTGAATTAAAATGCTGGGTGTCAGGCCAGATGATTGACAGCATGCCGAAGAATCAGCCTTTCCTTTTTTAACAGCAAATATTCAAAATGAGTGACACCAGTGGCTGTTGAAAGAAGCAGGTTCAGATTTTGGACAAAAAATACTTCCTTCGGATAGAGACCGAGGTCACCAAAATGATGAGATGTACATTTTTTGTCCACAGGTGGCGCCAAAATCGAAACAAATTTAAAATGCTCTGCAGGGGTTTTCATCGAAGGTATCATAAAATTCTAAGAAAATTCTAACGACTAACTATCATCTATATTGTAGATTTATTTCTGTCACTTTGATTTTTGCCTTTAATCAGTGACTGACTATCAAACTAGAGCTTCCTCTTCTTAGTTAACTGAGTTCATGGCAAGATGCTTCATAGAGGATATTACAGCAGACTCTCTGACCATGTGGTCTCACAGTACTGGATGTACGGTGTAAGTTATTTTGTTAACCAGCCAGACCAAGTCTAGCAGTCACATACATACTTTAACTCAGAGCTGACCAGTTTAGGCCCTGAGAGATAGTAATAGACTGTATTCATAATAACTAGAGACAGCACTAAGTTACCTTTGATCACTGCTTTTACTATGGACAATGATGAAATGTGAGCTGCAGGTTGGTTAGAAAGGTGTGGGCTGCTGATAATTTGGTTAGCCTTCAATGTTCATGCTCCGGCCTGTCTGTAACAACACCTCATTCCTTACCAATCATGGACTCAAGGGAGAACCAAAATGGTTTAACATGACTCAGCACACCTGCAGAATGCTGACACTGCTGTCTTAACCATCAGCTTATGGACATGCGTATGTTCTGAAGGAGTCCTACACCCTGACTGCATACAGGTTCTTTGAAGGTTGACTTGAACGTTTCTATATGTTAAAAAAAAATAGTTATTTTCTTTTTTTGTATGGTATTTAATAATCAATAGAGAAAACAACACATCCTAATAAGTGTCTTACCTTGCATAGTGGACGGTTTTTGATGAGCTATTGTACCTGCTGTGGTACAGTACAGGACAGAGAAAGAACTGTACATGAGAAGAAAAAAAAAAAACCAATCACATGAAACATGACTACACTGCCAAACATTTACAATAAATCTGCTCCTCCACGGTATGACTAAATCTATAATTAGACATCACTGACACATCTTCACACTGTGTTTATTAATTCAGATAAAATTAAATTCAAACAGTTTTAATTCATGCCATGTGTGTTTGACAAACAGTATGAGCCTAATAACTGCTTATTTATGAGGATACATCCAGTAAGATAGTCACTCTATCAGACATGCCTTCAACCTATGGCTGATTTTTACATTAGAAATGTGTCTATCTTTTCTGTCTTATGATGCACAGATCATATCTTTCCTGCAGTTTTATGAGAGAGTAGATAAGCATGGGTCTTGTACGTACAAAAAAATGAGTAGCTCGCTTTAGCCTATTTTTTGTCATTCAATAGTCTATTTTTAAACTATTTTACGAGGTTAGAGAAGAGAGGGGAGGAGAGATCATGGTAGGATGTGCAACAAAAGGTCATGACTGAGAATCACCACCAACAGCTGCAATGAAAGCTACATACAACCTCTGTATATGGGGTTCAGGCTTTAATTTCTACATCAAACTGGTGCCCCACATTTAGCTTATAATTATGTCAACAACTTGCACCTTAAGTAGTGACTTTCTTAAGTCTTTTATGGTTGCAAACACATAATCTGCCCTTAAATTTTTTTTTTTTCTAAAACATTTGTTTTGAATTCAACAGTTTGAATAAAATAGCTGATGTAAGGGGCTGTCAGAGACTTCAGGGTGAAACTGTGTTTTGGATAGAGCCAAAACACTTATTTATTTCACCTGTTTCTCAACTTCTGACACAAGAATATTACAAGACAACCAACAGAGCTATGTCACAATTCTTCACATAAAGTCAGATTATACTAGGATTAAAGAAAACTAATGTGTTATGTTAGTTTTATCGTGCACTCAGGTCTTAACTTTGTCTTTAGCCTCTTAATCATGCATGAGTTGGACTTGAAATGTGTCTTCATATGATGCAACCCATTCAAATGCTAATAATAGTCACTGGTTACAAATTATGGCTTGGTTGGACAATCAAGTTCATTGAGCTGAGCTTGACGATAAATTACAAAATTATTTGCACAGTATCTGTAATAGACTAGGTTTACATAAACGTATATATAAAACATAAACATATGATACTTTGACTTTTGGAGACTGTCTTTTTCTACCTTTTTTCCCTCCAAAAGGAACATTTGAAAAACTATTATTAGTATAATAAAGATGCACTTGAAAATACTAGTCCTGTATTAAACACCAATGATCATCCACTTTGGGGTGATGAATATTTAGGGAAGTAATTGTTTACAACGCTCAAGCATTGAGCTGATCTGGTAATCAGGCTATGAAATACAATATTTATTCATTAGAGCAGATTTAATGAGGCCTTGCGGCGCTAATTATGAAAACCAGTGTAGCAGTAAATGAGTAGCGCACGGTGGCGGGCTGCGGGGTACCTGTAAGGAGGGACCGGGGGGTTGAAGTGCCCTGAGTCACATGGCACAGTGAGCAGCAACACACTGCTCTGACTATGGCCGCTTGATACATCACCGGACCTGCAGACAGGTCACAGATGGGCCCTGTATCCCAGCATCCTCTGCACTCCTTCCTCCAGGAATTAGGGCTAGATTCCTGAAAAACATCTTAATAGTTAATCTCTTTATTGCATATAAGCAGACGACACAGTAAGGGGTTTCATTTTAGACTTTTAAATATCGTCACCCTTAAAACACTGCCAGTTGTAACGCTCGTTCTGCAGACTCTATTTGTATGCAGGTCTTGAGATATGTGCTAAGATTTCGCAGCATAATATGGGTTTTGATTGACTGATATTTTCATTATGGCTGCAGGGTAGCGTGCAGACTGTTAATTTGCTTGGGAGTCCTGCAGGTCTACGGTGATTGTAGCAGAGCCAGAAGAAAAGCTGAATAAATGAAACTCACAGGGCACAATCACAATCTGTGGGTCAAAATCAACTGATTAATTATAATTTAGAACCAATCTGTCAGGCCTCTGTAATAAACACCCTTTCAGACTTGCTGCTTAATAACCAGCTTTGTGAGGGACCAGTGTAACATGGGACACTGTGGTACAACATGTAAAGCTACTGTATTACAATCTGGTAAATACTTTGGGATCTTTGTGTTATATGGAGTGGATCCACTTTCCAACGAGACAACTTTCCACACAAGAATCTCCCTCCTGCTCTGACCTCCACATCCCATAAAAAGTGTAGTGAGCAGAGTGCTGTTAAATGCACAGTGAGTGACTCCGGGTGGCAGCAGCCCTGTGACATGTTCCTTTCCTCCTGTTCCTGCCTGCAAAGTGATGGAAACAGCGGTTTGGTCCAGGTGTCAGGGACATTATCAAGAGAAAAAAGGGCTGCCTGCAGTTGCTCCATCTCACAGGAAATTGCCAACTCACCCTAACAAAGAAAAGGCATAAGTGCACTTGCTGCTGCCTTCAAGGAGAGCGTGATAAGATGACA